CCCACTGCTTTTCGCTTCCCTTGGAGATTACGCGGCAACCGAAGAGCTCTTCGAGCAGTTGCAGCGTCTCTCGGGCCGTGTGCGGTGGCGCTACATCTTGCATAAACAAAGCTTGTAGCGTGATCACCAAGGGGAGCGAAAAGCATCCTCACAGTCCTGACCTCAACCCGCTGGACTACTGGTTTTGGGGAGCCTGCAAGGACAGAGTCTATCGCAACAAGTCCGGTAGCCTGGGTAGCCTGGAGGAGCTGCGTCTCAGCGTCGGGCTATACGTGCGTGAAGTGACAGCAGACACCGCGGAGAGGGTCAGTGCGTCAGCTTCCTGGAGCGCGTTCAGATGGGCCTTGAGCGTGGAGGTGCCCACTTCGAGCACATGCGCAAACATAAAAGACGCACATATCCCATTTTTGAAACGGTGATGGCAACATCAGTTCGACTGAAACTTTTTCATAAAATGGGTATCATATAATTTGTCAAACGATTTTCTTTAAGTTGTGAAAGTTTCTTTTTGATATCTCTTACCACGTTCGAGAAATAGCTGCTGAAAAGTGACACACTTTTTTTGGCCCACCCTGTATATGTGATCTTTACGGTAACCGTGTTGGTAAATAAGGTGCGACATTCTTGTTGTTGTTTTGATGTCTGCCATTTTGTGGTTGCCATTGTGACTTGTAAATACATTATCTGATGACGTGGGCTTCGACATGTATTTATTTGAGACAAAAAATATAAAATCGGCTATTGTCCCTTGTTTTAGTGATAGTTTTTTATATGACGAGCTAAGGCGTCGTTTGTTAGAAATTTTGTTTTCAATCAGGAAATTTCTAAATTTGTCATAAACCAACCTCTACCCGAGATGTGTCATTTCAATTTATCTGATTATCTGTCAATCTATCATTCTCTATTGAGACTTGTTTAAATTAGGTATGTTACGGGTTACAAGTGTCAAAGACTTCAACCAGATTCTCAACTCAGCTCAGCTTTCCGCGCCGATGCGTAAAATAGGACGTCTTCCTCACCATCTGCGTGAGCCGTAGTCATTCACACACACTCACAAGGTTAACTGGGGGCATTTCGTCACAGCACAAAACACGTGACTCGTCTCAGTCGCACCCCAGCCGGGGAGATCACCCAAAAAGTCATCCATCTATCGAAAACTGCCGAACGACAAGCTAAATGACACCCATCATGGGCACGACGTCAAGCTAATGCGCTATGACACGAGGGCCTTTAGTCATGCGCCAATTGGAGCCTTCAACGCCTGTGACGTCACATGCCGAGACGGTATGACGTAGCAGGCGACGATTGTGGGGTTTTGAGTGCTGGGAAAGTTGGAGTTACTAGGTCATGTTTGGTCGGTACTGAGAAATGCACTGACTCTGAATGTATGGGGGAAGGTGCAGATTTAATGGAGATATTGGGCAAATATTTGGTATAGAAGTGAGATGATGATGATGGTAACTATTGAAAAGTTGTTCACGGTGTAGATAAGAATATTTCTAGTCAAACATTGGCCTGAGAGCAGATCTTGTAACGAAGATATTTTTACCGACAGCATAACTTCTAATAATGAATACCGTAGGCATTAACCCTCGCACGACCAGGCCATTTCTCATAACACGAACGACCAGGGGGGGGGGGTTGTTACGACCCCCCCTGGCGTTTCGAAACGGAAGGTCGTAGAGCTTAGCGGAAAAAACCAACGGATTGCTCTCAACGAGATCTCGCGATTGGTGGTATATTTTTTGGTCCTAGGTCAACATTTGACCTACTTTTGACCGGTCAAAGGTCAAATTTTCGGAAAAATATACTTTTTTCAACTTTCGGCGGCGATTGCGGCAAAACGGTGGGAGATATCGACTGAAACCTTCACTATCGTGTTCCTTGATCAATTCTCTATCGTTTGGTATGTATTTCGTTTCCCTAGCTCTAAAAATGGCGCGTTGGGAGCGCCGGAAATCGGCAAGGTCACAGTCGGCGGCAGAAATTCGAAAAATCAAAATTTAAATTTTTGAAATCTGTTGTATTTTTGGATTTGGGAGGTCCATTTGCTCCCTATAGAAGCTAATATTGCTGCATATTCCCATTGAGGTGACAAGAATTAGCAAAATAGTGGTTCGGGCGCTTTTCAAAAATAGTACCGGACGCTGTTCCTCTTGTGACGTCATAGCTCCGTGACCTGACCTGACCCGGTCAAATTTCTTATACCATATGATAGCCAATACTTGCCCCAACATGCATGGGAAGTTTCATCACGATCCATCAACCGATGTCCGTACCACCGGCAGGAAACCTCGGGCGTTGGCACTCAGTTTGTGAAAATCCGGCCGGAGGCTGTACCTATTATGACGTCATAACTCCGTGACCTGACATGACCCGATCAATTTTTTTTCGGCAAAAGATGCGCAAAGGTTGCCCCAGAGGGTATTTAAAATTTCAGCCCGCTACGACAAGCCGTTTAGCGTGCACTTCGAAAAAACCTCAGGGGGGGTTGATACAACCCCCCTCTAGGCGTTCTAGGGTTAAGAAAACGACGAAATAAATAAACAAATGTATACGCTGTGGTTTACACCTCTGATATCGATTCATAAGAGCCTCTCATGCATGCAATGTGAGCCTTGTCTGTCACGATATGGTGATTAACATTAGCATCAGGCGACGCCGCCAACAGCCTCTGACCAAGACACCACTGCCACATCTGGCATCCTTACTCACAAGCTAATACTTTTGTGTCATCGCGTTTTTTGAATTATGTTAAGCATCGTTCTTACGCCACCTTGAAAAACGACTCACATTCGCGATATCTTCAAATATAATCATGGAGCTTTGCCGCAGGAGCACCTCCTAATTACGCTAATTACCACAACTTTATCATACAGTCTCAGCACTTGGTTCCCGCCCACTCATCACCCATCCTTCCCCCACCCCCAACCTCCACCCCTCCCCCACCATAACACACCCACCCCACCCCGACCCGTCGCATTTTCGTCACGCGCGTCGCTCCCGTCCGACTAGGTCGCCCGCGCCGCCTCGAATATGCACATTTTGGCTCACCAACCGTAACAAGCCAGCAACGATGAGTTCAGGCTGCGAGCAGGGTGCGCCGGGTTAGGTCAGAGGCCGTATCATTTGACTACAGGTGCGGCTGGGAAGAGGAGGTGTAGCGGTGCTGAGGTGGTGTGGCTGTCTCGAGGGCGAGGGCGAGCGAGGGCCAGCGAGGGTGCGGAGTCTTGTGACGCTACTGTCTTGGTGGAGAGGAAGAAAGGTGTCTTGGCGACAAAAAAGACAAGCTCCTTGGAAGCGAGGAGTAGTGCGGAAAAGACAATACCCCGGAAACGAGGGAGAGTGTTAGGTCTTTGCCACGGCAAGAAGGTTGAGGAAAAACGATTGCCTTGTCGGCGAGGGTGGAAGATAAAGACGGAGCAAAGTGTCGTGGCGGCAAGGCGTAAGACTTCTCGGATGTAGCGAAACAGCACTCAAATGTCTGCTTAGACGAGAAGGTATCATTGCCTTGGTGTCGGTCGCAAGCTTGTAAGCGAGAGTTTTGGTAGAGCGGCCAGGTGGAATTGAAGTGTTTTGGCGAGAACGGTCAGGCCGAACGTTCGATCAAAGACTGATGACTTTTGGGTAACTAACAAATACGGCGGTCGAATGCTCACAATATAAGAGCTATTTGACCTCTGAACGTCAGAAAATCACTCCTGGAAAAGTGGTGAAACTTCCAGAGGTGGCGTACGAAAATCCTGAGACTACCCACTGAAGAATTTCTGTTGAAGCTACCAGAAAAATATTTCATCGCTCGAACCAAACTGTGCCGTCAATGATCTCTTCAGCGATGTATCAAGCCGTCAGCTTCAACTGACCACCAACCATGCAATCCAACCTCACTCTTTTCCTCTCTCTTCTCTCCCTTTCCCTCATCCTCGTAATCCTCCTCCCTCTATCCTTTGTCTCCTCCTCTCCATCCCCCTCCTCCTCCTCCCCTTTTCCCACTCCGCCCACCTCCCCCATTCGTAGCTTCAAATCCAGCGTAGAGCGTGCGCCCACTGCGGCTGCTCTGAGAAGAACCGCCCCAATTCCTCCCTCGGACCTGCTCCCGGCGTCCTCGGTTCTAACTAAACGGTCTGACTATGGGTATATTGGCAGAGATGGCGGCGGGCATGGGGGTGGGGGGCATGGGGGAGGGGGGTATAGTGGAGGGGGACATAGTGGGGGAAGTGGGGGATACGGGGGCGGTGGGGGAGGATATGGTGGCGGTGGGGGAGGTTATGGGGGCGGTGGGGGAGGTTATGGGGGCGGTGGGGGAGGCTATGGGGGCGGTGGGGGAGGTTATGGGGGAAGTGGGGGATATGGGGGAGGATATGGGGACTACGGAGGTTACGGGGCCTCATCAGGAGGAAGCAGCTATGGTGGAGGCGGAGGGTACGGAGGCGGGGGCGGTTATGGGGGTGGGGGCGGTTACGGAGGTGGGGGAGGGTATGGTGGGGGACATGGGAGCAGTTGTGACTGCTCCCAGTTCAACCTCCTAGCGCTCCTAGCAGGAGGAGCAGCTCTGGCTGCCTTAGGAGCAGCCCTTCTAGCCCAGTTAGTCCAAAACGGAACCATCGGAGGTGGTCGAAGCCTGTCCTCTCCATTCCTATCCAATCCTCTCGACCCACGTGGACCGCTAGGGATGCTACTGCGAGGAGCGATGTCGGATGTCCTCTACTCAGCTGTCGTTGACACGATGGGGAATCGAGAAATGATCGGTGACGTCACTGTTGACGCTGTCTGTGGTGCCACTGAAAGACTTTTGGCGACGAGAAATGCTACGAGAGCTGCGAGGAGACTAACCGCTCGGGTTGGGAGACCAGCGGGGGCCGCGACGTTGACCTACGGTGTGAGCCCGAGGATGACCCCAGCGGTGACCGCTGGGTTGACCTCGGGGTTGACCCCGTGGCTGACCCCGTGGCTGACCTCAGCGAGGACGTCGTCAGCTGGTCTGGTGCCTGAAGGTCGGCAGTTTGGAGGAAGCATTGACCGTTTCCTAACCGGCACTCAAACTGGAGGTGAGGAAATATTGCGAAATTCTAATCCGCGTCCTGCTGGGAGGGGACCCCCCTTAGCATCTGTTCCTCCATGCCGTATTGCCGTGTGATAAGTACGCTACAAACTAGCAATTTCAAGTATGTATATTTAGTGCTTTATCCGATTCACTCACGCGTAGGCGCTATAATTTCAACCATACAGTTTTAGATACCTAATAACGTTTTAGTGAAATCGTGTCATGCCATTTCAGGCTAAATGCTCTGAATAGCTCAAAAGTCCTGTTTTGAGACAAGGCGTTAGAGAAAAGTGACTTCATTAGCAGCCGCCTCGGCCTGAATTGTGAGGACTCCTATAGTACCTAATTGTTGATAATTTTTATGTCGACGTGACCTGTGCCGACAGAAGTCACTTTGAAGTCAACAAAACTATCATTTCTTCGTCAGTGTTGACCTTGAACTATCAAACTGTTAACCCGCGCCGTGCTGGGGGGGGCGTTTTTACGCCCCCCCCCCCCCCCTCAGGTTTTTCACGAATATCTCAAAAACGGCGGCGCGCAGCGCCGCCGTTTTTGGTACACGTGTTCCTACATCATTTCCGCACATGTTGTGAAAATTTCAGACCTAGGCCTTTCAAGGTCAGGTCACCAGGTCACGTCAAGTGACCTTACCTCAGAAAAAGTTCAAAGGCTCGCTATAGCTACACCGACTGAACGATCACTTTGAAACTTTCAGCGATTGATATGAGTAACAGTATGTATAAAATGTTTATCTCGGATTTTTGATATCTGTGACCTAAGGTCAGGTCAATTTTGCGACCTCTCCATTATAAGTCAATGGGAGAAAATTGAAATGCGCCTCTTTTGGACGAATATCGTTCAAAACGCTCTCAAACATCGGTTCATAGGTAAACATGACACACTGAATAGGAAAAATGCACCTGTGACCCCTCTGTGTGCCCCTGAGGTCATCTCAGGTCATGAACGGTCGCCAGCAGTTTTTTGGCTATAACTTTTGATAGAGACGTGCTAGAGCGGTGAAAACACGTCAGATGTGTTCAGCTCGACGATACGGATCGACTGATATGCAACATGACCCTTTTCGGTCAGGTCATGACCTTGACCTGAGGTCAAATTTTCAAAATGACCTTTCAAGGTCAACGAATAGTTCATTCGACGCGTCTCGACGAGAGGAACACGATGCTGGCAAAAGTAATGTCATGGCGCTTATGAGTCAAAAGTTATTGACGAAAAAACGTTTTTCGTAAAAACGGCTATTTTTGGAGTTTTTGCCCTCTGGAGGCTAAACCGTTGACCTGAGGTCAAATCTGAGAACATTACTCAGAAAGGTCTGTAAAAGGGCTATCGAATGCGCTTTTCCGCGGCGCTGTAGCTCTATCGGTTCTCGAGATAGCCGTTGGCAGTTTCCAAAATGTTGAAATAGTCAACATTTTACCTTTGGTGACCTCTGGTGACCTGACCTTTGACCTGACCCAAAAAATGACCGGAGTGTTTTCGTCCTTATTTTTGACGCTCTTTCGATTGCCGCTTACCGCGTGTCGCTAAGTGGCCCAGGAGCCGAGTTAGACGGGGGGCGTGAAAACGCCCCCCCCAGCACTCGGCGGAAAGTTCAGGCCACCAGCACGGCGCGGGTTAACTAACGCTAGCATTTCGGAAGCTGGACGTTTTGGAGATATAGAGCCTCTGGAAAGCCCCCTGTCACTGGCGCTATGAACTATACCCAAGTCATAGTTTATGTAATATAATGTATCTTGCTGAGAGCTTTCGATTGCCGTTTTATTAGTGTCTACCACCATCCGTTCGGAAGTAAGGCAGGGGACCGAATCCAACTCACTCTCCTTCTACTAAAATGGCACATCAGGCTGAATAGTGAATACCCCAAAACTACTCGCATGTACTTCACTTTATAATAATGGGCCAAGAGCTGCCAAAAAGACTGGCATGAGCACTAAACAGTACTGTAGTCTAAACCTACGTTTTGTTCGTGTTGCTGAGCTATTTCACCTCCACTGACCGCACACACGATCAAGACCGGCCTACCACCAGTCACAGCCGCCTGTAACCAGCAGCGTATATTGCAGCACGGTAACAAGTAACAGCATCTCAAGGCCCTACGGCTGAAGTTGGTCCCCTCGGTCTCTCTAGGAACAGTCAGTGCAGTACGGGCCGGAGTTCTGTTTGGTCACCGTTTTGTGTTTTCTTTTCAGCACGCTGTCGCTTTTCCCATGTATACGGAAGTTCATCGCTGGCGTTTCTTGGTCTCTCATTGGTCAGTCGCACAGTCCACGTGACTTTGTGACCAATGAGAAGCCAAGAAATCAGGCTCATAGCCTGCTGATAAAAAACGGCGACCGGTGCCCATGTGCAGGACGCTTAAAGGGAGAGAGAGAGAAAGAGAGAGAGAGAGAGAGAGAGAGAGAGAGAGAGAGGGAGAGGAAAGATGAGATGAGATCGAACTGTGACCCGCCCGAGGGCTGTTCAAATTTTAACGTTGTTCTGCTGTCTACTGCTGGTAAACGCTTGGCCAATCATAACTGACAAGGGGCCGTTATTATTGAACATTGAACACTGAACACGGAACAGCCATAATGATATGGCCATATAATCTAGCCATGTCAGTAAAAACAAGACCATTGCCGAAATGCATGCGTACTTTTGTCATGCTGACTTTTGTTTCATGTGATTTTTTGTCAGGAAAATCTGTTCATTTTCAGGAACTTTTCAGACTTCCTCTTACAACAACCTCCAACGCCTTCGTTACCACTCGCATGCGCTCACATTCGTTACATTACCCGCTTCCTCTCCACCACATTATTCTAGCACCTCTCCATCGCTCTTGATCGCCCTCTCATTATCTTATCTAATACCATCTTCAACACCTTTAATATAATTTCTAACATCCCTTTCACTAAATTATTTAGCTGGTCCCGTAGCTCAGTTGGTAGAGCGTTGGACTCCGCGTGGTGAGAGCACGCGTTCCCGGTTATAACAGTCCGGGTTCGAAGCGCGACGGGCGCTCGACATTTATGGGCCTCCTGACAGGTATGGCTGCGGTTGGTGGCAGGCCGTAGCCAGGCGAAGTCAGTGAGGGGACCGGCCGTGCGCGGCTATGTGCGCACGTTAAACTTTGGAATCTAAACTCTGCCATAGAACCGGAATTGCGCGATCGGAGGGTAGAGGGCAGGGTCACCGCAACAAGCTTCGCTTAGCGGTGGTTCTGTCCTTGTGAATCCTTCCTATCAAAAGGTTCGGACTAAATTTATATTTAAAAATCCCCAACACTCGCTTCAGTATCCTCCCCATTGCCAAACATCCCCTCACCTTTCCCTACAACACCTTTAACAACATCATCTCCCCCCCCCCCCTCGGCAGGATACGGCGGCGGAGGTGGTTACATGACGTGCGACTGCCTCTCCGGGATCGTCGGAGCCCTCGCTGGATTCGCCGCTCTTGGAGCTCTTCTAGCCTTCGCCATAATCCAGGCTCTGAATAATACAACAACCACGGCAGCGCCGGCTGCTACAGGAGGAGGAGGAGGAACGGGAGGAACGGGAGGAAGGAGGAGGAAGAGGAGGGCGTCCTCCGAGGATGAGGGAGTGGAGGAGGAGGATGAAGACTGGTGGTGGAGCATGGAAGCTCTTGTCGGATGGGATGGTAAGAGAGAGAGTGGGAGAGAGAGGGGAGGGGGAGAGAGGGAGGGAGAGAGAGAGGGGAGAGAGGGGGAAGATAGAGGTAAGGAAGAGAGAGAGAGAGAGAGGAAGGAAGGGAGGAGGGAGAGAAGGCAGAAGGGAAAAGGGAGAGAGAGAATGAAAAACAAAAGAGAGTGAGAGGGGAGAAAGAGGAGCAGATTGAGGTGTAGAGTGAGAAAGAGAGGGAGAGAGACAGAGAGACACAGAGAGAGAGAGAGAGAGAGAGAGAGAGAGAGAGAGAGAGAGAGGGAGAGAGAGAGAGAGGGGGGAAGGTCATACACAAGTAGAAGGAGAGTAACTTACACCAGCACCATTTCACCTCGATTTACCATCTAACTAACGTCATGAAGAAATAGTATGCAGTGCTCTAGCGAGGAACATCTTGATATATGTAGTTAGGATTTCAATTGAACTTTTCCTCGATAATTAATTGAAAATGCAATAAAAAGCAAATATAACATTGTTTGGCATATTTGCATTTTCAATTATCAGTTATGTAGGTAATAATTCAATTATGTAGGTAATTATCGAGGAAAAGGTCATTTGAAATCCTAACTACTTATATCTAACTAACGTCCTTCTAACTCAATTTACCGGCCCACCTCCCACCCACCGCCAGGCTGGCAACTGATTGAACTCCAGCGAGGCGCAGGGTTCGTACCGCGTCTTCTTCGACTTCTGGCGGAGGACCAGCCTTCTTGCCTTCCAGCGAGGATGTGTCAGCTGAACGAGGCGGCTCAGAGGGTCGGCGAGCCTCAGGCAACGTTTGTGCAGCTGGCAAGGTGAGTTAGGGTGGAGGGAGTAGTGGTGGGAGGGGTTATGTGCTCATGGCGGGGAAATAGTGTGTAGGAGGGTGGTGGTCTAAGGGGTTGTGGCTTTGTATTTGGGAAGCAGATTGTATGTTCTACATTGTAGCTGTATGTAGCTGACGTAGCTGTAGCTGCAAGTAACTGGGTTCCGGTTTACCATAAAAAGCAGCTAAAAATTGTAAAAGTGACTACAAGTTTGTAACTTGCGAGTTTCCCAAACTTCAAAGCCTTGACAAAGACAAGGCGGACCGTTCGTTTCACAGGTCAGGGAGACAGTAGCAAACGTCATGCGCGCCTTGGTGATTCTGGTTAGCAAAGTTGTTGAACGAGAAAGAGCTGATCGATGGTTGTCTGTGGCTGGCGAGGGAGCATTATAACTATCATGCCATCAGCCTCTATTTTGGGGAGGGGGATCCATCGCTCGTTATAGGTATTTAGGATCAACAGATTACAATATGTGACATTTAAACCCAGTGCTTTAGCAACACTATCAATTTCAAAGACTACATGGTCTTGCACCTTCACAGTTGCGTTCCTTTACATAAAGCCAGTGATCCTCAGCTAAACCGTCGAGCGCTTATCGTTTTCCGAACGCCTGGGTAGATACTGTGCCGCCGTACTTCAAGCTTACGCTGCAGCCGCTAGATGGCATTAGTAGTATGCGCCTGAAGTTATACTGACCCGCAATGCATCAATCGCTCTAACGCGATTTTAGACAGCTACAGCTCTTACGGTAAATCTAGACAGTTAAAAGCTTTCATATCTGATTCATTTTCTTTATTTTTCAGTTTACCACTGTCATACTTCTTATCTTCGAGTACGGTGGACAATCTACCAGCATTCTGCGAGGGAATAACCACATCGAGACAACGGGGACAGTGTCGCCACCTATATCAGAGCTGCCAGATTTGATCACATGAGAACCCGGCCACAGTGATCGAACGTGCGACGCTCGTCAGTTGTGATGCAGCGTTGGACGGTGGGAACAGAGCTGCGAAGCAGCAATACCTACTGGTACAGTGATCCTCGGGATCCTCCGAATGGGTTGTAAGTTCCTCAGAAGGACAACTTTACCCACGAATGAAGAACGAGGAATAAGGTGTAGAGCCAAAGCAATAATGAATGTGAGCGGTTGCAAGCGCATATTTTATGCAGCTTACTGCAGAAGTGTCTGATCTGGTTACAGGCAAATAGACCTATAAACTGGCAGCATTACATGTGAGCTATACTATACAGGTAGTCTATACGAGTTGACAGTAATCAATAGGTCATACGGCATTGGAAATAACTGAAGACGGTTTGCCAGTTAAAGGGCATATTGCGAACAAGATCCATGAGGCTTATTAGTTATTAGCAAGGGCATGTAATTCGTCTGTTCTGTCAACGGCGTTAGAAGTTTTTCATCTAAAATATATTGACTGTCTGAACTTAACACGTTAAAAATGCGCTTCGCATGAAATGTGATAAGAGAAATAAATTGTAGCAATTGAATACACATCAGTTTTTCTGGGAAGACAGTCGAGTAGTGCAGGGCACACGTCATCTACATGAAGTAACTTATTTCCTCGACCAATGCCATTCAGTGAGCTCACCTCCCAAAGGATTCGTCTCTCTCTCTCTCTCTCTCTCTCTCTCTCTCTCTCTCTCTCTCTCTCCCTCTCTCCCACTCCCTCTCCCTCTCTCTCTCCCTTGCACCTCGACCCACCCTCCTTTTCTTTTCTCTCTTCCTTCTTGTCGTTGCCCCTCCCTTGCCTCGCGTTTCTCTCCTAACGCCCGTCTGTTCTTTCATCTTCCTCCCCTCCATCCACCTCCTCTCTCCTTCTCTTGCTTCCTCTCCCTCTCTCCCTCCTCAAAACACGTCACCTGGTTATGCATATTTTATTCAATACATATCGATGCTCCCACTCAGTACAGTAACCATCCGGTCCCAATCCAAACAGATACTGCGCCCGAGCGGGCCCGCCTCACTGGGCGGCCGCCAGGTGGCGGGCGCGGCGGTCGCGACTCCGAATAGAGGTCGCTGCCGTCGCTCAAAACTCTCCGCCCAGACTGCGGCGGAGGCGCGGAGACGTCACTACAGCGCATCATGGCGCGGGTTCGGCTGCTTCAAGGAAAGTCGATCAAACGAGTCACGTGGTTCGTTCCACATTTCTCTGGGCTGGTTGAACAGCTGCTGCAGCTGCTGCAGCTGCAGCTTGTCTTGTTGGGGCGGCTCGGGGAGATCCCAGAGCCGCTTGACATGATACATCGGGTCGGAGTCGGGGGCGGGGGTGGGGGCGGGCGGGGACGGCGGCTGACCGCCGGCCGCGCCGCCCTGCTCCCCGGAGCTGGCGACCTAGCCGGACCAGTTGTCGTCGCCCCACATCTGACGACGAGAGAAAAACACAACGGGAAAGGGCGTTAATTGTCTATAACATCGGTAAGTCACATTAGCTACCTACGTTAGCAGGAAAATGAGACGGGCATAGACATAAAGACGGGACGGGGAACGGATCCCAAAGCGTAATAAAGTACAGGACGTGACTGTTGTCGACTCCTATACGGTTAAAAAAAAAAACTATTGGGATGAAACATCTCACAACATGTGAAAGGTGGGAATCCCCAGAAGCCTATGTGTTCTGAGGGCTGGTCGGTCAGTCATGGTCAGTCAGGTAGATCGGTACATATTCCCCAGCCAGTTCCTGCTCAACACTGCAGCTGACAGCAAGGCCTTGAAGAAATTATGAGGCACAAGCACATCCTAGCCTGATTGATATTCGCGTTCAAGGGCCATCATTTTGCTGGAGCCTGTTTACCAAGTGCGTCAGACTGTAGCGCACCCTCCCTCCCTCCCTCCCTCTCTCTCTCTCTCTCTCTCTGAGTCTCTCCCTCCCTCCTCCCTCCCGCTCTCTCTTACCTGGTGTGAGTCGTTCGCTCCAGCCGGCTTGCTCGCCGTAAGTCCGGACAGCTGTCCCCACGAGTCCCCTGCTCCGAGCGCGGCCAGGAGGCCTCCCTGGGCGGCGTTATTGTTGTGTTGCTGGTGCCCCACCACGGCGCCGCCCACGGGCCGCCCCCCGAGCGGTCCGTACGGCCCTCCGTAGGTGGGCAGGCCCTGTAGGCCGGCACCGTTGGCGTAGCAGTTATAGCGGCCGGCGCCGCCGCTCAGCTCCGAGGTCATCGAGGCGGCGCGGCGCAGCTGACGGAGACAGAAAGACAGGTTAGAGTGCAATACAGACATTAATAATCAACGCGGGAAGAGGTACAACACAGCTAATTAAAGAAACGGTGCAGCAGTGGGAAGGAGAGACAAATGTTAGAATACAGAATACAGATACCACACTACAATACCCTTTTGAGGACAGATACAGATAGAACGAAGTTATAGAAATTCTAGCAATGCGCATGGAGTTGTAGGGAAATAAAGAAAGACAGATGGTTGACATATTGCTATCGAGGCCGCCGCACGGCAGACGTGGAAAAAACGGGGAAGTGGGGGACATCACCGCGGGATGTTAACATATAAATACACTCACCACTACGTAAACACAGGGTGATATCCCCGCTCTCTTACCGTGTTCATGTCCTCATAGCTCATGTTCATGTGCTCCATGTTGTAGGCGGAGGTCGGTATGATGTCGTCGGCCGGTGGCGGCGGCGGCGGCGCCGTCATCCAGTTACTGGTCCCGTTATCTACCTCCTGGGACGGCTGGTACTCCCACGGACGGCTGGGGGGGGGGGGGCAGAAATGAGATACAGAATACAGGGACAGATCAAGGTGCATATAATTAGTGACAGTCCAAGAAAGCGAAACACAGATAACTGACAATTCTGCCGTGCAAAGGCAAAAAAAAAACGATTAAGTCGGCTCTTAACTAGGTCATTATGTCAGGCCAGAGGTCAACCGAACGTAGTCGGTTTTGCCTTTATACGGCAGAATTAGGACTAAATCATATTACATGACTTCATGACACCAGAAAAAAACTACAATCAATTATTTAAGACTATTATGTACACAATTGTCTAGTCACAACACGCCCAAAGAATCCAATATAACACTGATAGACAAACTAGGACGACATATTATTCTGTGCGGTATATGTAACCCTCTTCCCTTTCCTCAGGCGCGTCAGACTACACCGACCCTTTCAGTGTCTAGCCAATGAACCTGCCCCCGCTACCAAACCTCCCTTCCTTTACGTCAGGTTACACAGACCCTTTCAGTGTATAGCCAATAGTCTTGCTTCCGCTACCAAACCTCCCCTACATTCCCCGGGCCTCCCAGGTTACACATACCCCTGCAGTTTGTTCCCATAGTGCTGCTGTTGCTGCTGCTGCTGGTGTTGCTGTTGCTGCTGTTGGAACTGTCGCTCACGGATGCTCCGCTCCATGCCAATCGGACGCGGCAGCTGCGGGTGCTTGATCCTGGAGGGAAATGTCGAGAAATGTCAGCAGAAGCGTGGAAAATATCGAGAAATGTCGGCAAAACACGGATAATATTGAGAAATGTCAGTAAAACGCGGAAACTATCGAGAAGAGTCTGCATAAAGACAAAAAGGCGATAGTTATCACCTTTCACCAAAAGAGAGGGCAAAAATGAGAACATTTTCGGGCAAGGACGTCAAAACATGACGGCGGAAACTAGAGACGGGGAGGGCTAAAACGAGGACAGTGGCTGACTCGCATATAATTTGACGGCGGCTGGTCAGGTATACATAGCGATATTGGTTTGCTGTGAAGCCGGTCGGGTCAGTTACAAGCCCACATATTTACAAACTCATATACCATATATTTGCAGCGATATCGGCGGCGGCGAGTGGGCATTGTCTTACGAACCCTCCGATATGGGCGGGGGCGGGGGCGGCGCAGTACTCACATATTCGGCGGCGGGTGGTGCAGCGATATCGGCGGCGGGTGGTGCAGCGATATCGGCGGCGGGGGCGAGTGGGCATTGTCTTACGGACCCTCCACGATTGGCGGGGGCGGGGGCGGGGGCGGGGCGGCGGCAGCGGCGGGGGCGGCCGGCGGCAGTACTCACATATTCGGCGGCGGGTGGTAAACCTATGGACTAAACTAACTCTCCAAGTTTGGCGGGGGCGGCGGGGGCGGGGACTGGCGTACTCACATATTGGGCGGCGGCGGCGGCGTACTCACATATTGGGCGGCGGGTGGTGCAGCGATATGGGCGGCGGCGGCGAGTGTAGCAGGTCGATGATGTTCGGTAGCGGAGGAGGCATCCCGTGGTCCCGGCGGGCCGGCGGCAGACCCATCGGCAGACCTGGTGACACGACGGGAGACGTCAGAATGTGAACAGACGGAAGGGACGGAATGAATCTTGAGTAGACACACTTATTTGCAAGGGTCTTAGGGCCACGCCGGCCGCTGCCAAAGTTATTTCGACCTCAAGTAACGATAAGAATACGCTCGTGCCAGGTACCCCATATGAGCGGACTGAATCTACGATGTGATTGATCGAAACACTCCTGAACTCATTATTAGTAAATTGGGGCACAAAAGAGCGTTGACAGCGAGGTAATTTGCGACCATAAACTAGCCATTGACCTTCCCATGAACTTCCATCGAGCTTCCAATGACCCTAATCAGACGGTTGATCAACTGTCAGGCTCTGATCATCAATTATAACAATCCAACCGGCTTCCCATTCGGTTCCCCTCATCTCATCTTTCACTACCCATAAACGCATTACATTAACGCTTTCGCGGCACCCCAAACAGCTATGTTCCTCCCCCCACCCCCTCTCCCCCAAAGCCTCTCACCTGGCGCTCCAAACATGCCCGGATCGGGCAGTCTCTGTCCAATCGGCGCCGGCGGCAGCCGTCCCCTCAGCATGCCCAGATCAGGTATACTATACGGCGCGCCGGGCGGCACGCCCACTCCGGGCTGCGGCTGCGGCGGCTGCGGCGGCGGCGGCGGCGCCGTGGGGCGGTTCAGCGGCCCTCCCGGGGCCAGCGACCAGTCGGGGGAGACGGTCGGCCGACTGGGAGCGGCCAGAGGAGGACTGGGCGCCAGCGGTGGTCCGGCTGACATGGAGACGATTGGAGTGCCAGGGGCGCTGCGGCCTGTGGGAGAGAGAGAGAGAGAGAGAGAGAGAGAGAGAGAGAGAGAGAGAGAGAGAGGGGGGGGGTCAGTGATGGAGACACGACAGCTGTTTCGGACGAAGAGAGATGGAGACATTCAAGGGGTGTTAATAACTCGTGTCCTCATATAACAATTGCATTCTAAATGCAAATAAAAAACATCCATGAAGCAATTTAACAAGTCGACTCAACAACGTCAAATGTAAAATGTTAAATACGACCAAGTCCTACTAATTGACCAACCAGACGAGTACAGACTGAGAACAACAGAATCCGATAATGGTCTCCTGAAAATTTCACCGGTTTACTGCTTCCATTCCCAGCGCAGAACCTCGCAGATGCACTAGAGACAGCTGCTAGCTACAAGCCCTTCCATTACTAAACCCTATAGGTTAGGTACAGGTCTCGCGGGTTTTAGCGGTAGGTCGCTCGGCGAGCGGGAGGGCAACCAGTTCCGCCTCTGTATCGGTGACCATTTGCTCCGCCCAGTTACTCGCGAGCGCGTACTACGGCACATAGTAAAGTGGGGAGGGAAGGGTTAGAGTGGCAGCCTGCGTAGAGGCTAAAACCGGTTTCTATCGCCTGGGCCGGCGACACGGCATGCCGTCAGGGGACGGGGAAAGGTCAGAGGTCACTCACAATGTGCAGTACCGCGTCCCGTCCTCTCTGCCTGCTGACCAGCGCACGACCTCGGCCGTTAGCCAATCGGCATTGAACGGTCAAGGCCACCCGTAGCCAGCGGGCGGGGTGAGCCGGCCGGCAGCGTGCCGATTCATAGGTAGTCGTCCAAAGTTTTAGCGGAAGCCGGGAGACGACTGTAATGTTATTTCTTGGGAACAGTTCTGTCATTTAACCCGCGCCCCGTTATGGTCTCCCGAGCATCGGTCCCATGGGGGGGGGGAGCATTTTGCCCCCCCCCCCCAAGATCTCGAGAACCACGCAAAATAACGACAAGCAGCAAACGGTGTTGGATGGCCCCAACGAGGAAATACCTTTTGGTTCAATTTTATTGACCTAGGTCAAACCGATGACGTCACAGTTCAGGTCAAATGTCGAATTTTCACCGTTTACAGGCATTTCAAGAAATGTGTTGTAAAATCCAGTAAAATGCGTGTCATTCATCGATAAGGAATCGATGAATAACAATTATTTTCGATGGGGAACTTTTCGTCAAACACATATTTTGCTATTTGGGGTCACTGATACCAGGTCAGTTCACAGATGCCAGGTCACTGAGAGTCACAATATGAAGATAACTATTATGTGATGCATGTTGTCTGGTCCATTTTACATGACAAATGCGATTATGTGGGTCAGGCAGCCCTTGGGGGCCAGTTTGGGTTATGTTCTGGTGTCAAATCAGGTCAAATTTTTAATTTGACATTTTTGCTTAAAAAGGGTATCGTTTCGATGCAGCTCGTCACGGGGAGTCTAATGCTGGTCTTTGTTTTGAGCTACGTAGTCTAGAATTGTTAAAAATTGAGTTAAAAACTGACGTCATCAATTTTGAACAGCTTTTCGCTAAAGGTAACTTCGCCAAAAAAGGAGGCATCGATCTACAATTTGTAACGTAGATCACCGAGAGCAGAGACTATCATATATATTCCGTGTTTTAAACTCGATTTTTTTTTAAATTTTATAACAGACCAATTTTTCAATTTGGGGGTCAAAAGCTCAAAAGTTTTAAAATCCCAGATAGCGGTTTTGTAGCGCCGTTTTTTCTCTACACGACCAGATATAGAGCTTCGAAATTGCTTGTTAACTGTAGCTTTTGTCATGTGAGCGTTTCAAGATTTAATGTTTTTGCTCATTTTAGCTCGAACATGACCCCAGTTTGACCTCAATAACTCCTGACATAAGTTAACTTAAGACTTGAAGTTTTGTGTGAAGGTGTCAAATTGGTGCCCGGGAAGCTATTGAAAATTTGGCGGGGCTGCGCGCCGCCGTTTTCTTGCTATTCAGGAAAATACACGCTATATTGCGCTAAATTGCCCACCCCCAACGGGGCGAGGGTTAACCCGCGCACCGACGGGGGGGGGCGGATATCCGCCCCCCTGAGGTTTTTCGCGGATAGCGGGAAAACCGCGCCGCGTAGCGCCGCGAAATTTGGCACGACTATTCTCTCATCAATTTTACACATGGTGTGCAAGTTTGAACCTCCTACCTTTTAAGGTCAGGTCACCAGGTCACTTTGAATGACCCAACCTCAAGTCACTTTTTTGCAACTTTGTCACCGTGCCAGAGCTACAGTAGATGTCGGAGGCCTTTGAAAGTCGCAGGATGTTATTAGGTCATTAGTAGCTACAATTTGTATATCTCGGAATTTTTATGTCGGTGACCTAAGGTCAGGTCAATTTCGCGACCTCCCCATTATAAGTCAATGGGGGAAAAATCCACTCCCTGCACTGCCGACTTTTTGTCCCATTCTTTCCATGCAACGCCCATGGGGCTAATGTTAAAATGCCAAAATCAAAGGGAGGCACGGTGCCCCAGTGCCGTTTCCGTTACGCCGCCTATGTGCGAAGTGCTCCATAGGATGACCAGAGCTGGCCTCCCGACGAGACAGACACAGAGACATAGACAGAGACAGAGAGACGCAGAGAGCGAGAGAGAGCGAGAGCGAGAGCGAGAGCGAGAGAGAGAGAGAGAGAGAGAGAGAGAGAGAGAGAGAGAGAGAGAGAGAGAGAGAGAGAGAGAGAGAGAGAGAGAGAGAGAGAAATTAGCCTTTTTAGAAAACGGTTGGTATAGGTATTAAGCGACAATGCACGGATTTAAAATGAACGTTAGTTAATCCTTCTCACAGCTAGCCTGCCCCACGTGTTTCCATTTCCATCGCTAGTGACCTCGCCTTTAGGCTATGTGACCGGAAACCGGCAGCTAAACAGCAGATATTCTAGGGACGCGGAAAGCTTGAAGATTCGCTGTGCTACAATGCTATTCCTAGTGGTTTTGATGCTTTTAAACCTGGCTAGATTGGCTCCATACGCTCCGCAGATCGGCAAATTTGTAGTTAAGCAGCCCTGAAGGCACCGGCCAAGTTCCACCGCTGGTCCCGGCCAAATAAGACACAAGGGACCAAACACAATCTCACATGTAGAAACGTTTCTAATCTTAACCCGCGCACCGACGGGGGTCTGCGCCAACTTAGTACCGACGGGGGGGGGGGCGGATGACCGCCCCCCCCCCCCGGAGATCTCGAGAACGAAGCAAGATAGCGACAAGCGGTAAACGGCATCGGATACGCACGGTCAAGATCTACAATTTTTACTAAGGTCATTTTCAGGTCAGGTCAAAGATGACGTCACAGGGGCCGAAAAAGCCAAAATGGCGGCGCTAAATATGGAGAGAGTTTTTCTCGAATAACTTTCGAATTAGTCAAGATAGGAACAAACTAAGGGCATCATCGTGATCCTCTCGTCAATCCGCATCGAATGATATATATGTTGACCTCGAAAGGTCAAGGTCAAAGGTTGACCTCAGGTCACGTGACCTCGAGGTCATCATGTATATCATTCGATGCGGCTTGACGAGCTGAACACAATGAGACCATCCACGCGTCTGTATCTTGTTCCTGTACGGAGTTATTGGCCAAAAACCTTTGGTGACCTTTGATGACGTCACATGACCTCACAGCTGCCCAACAGCAAAACAGACCTCAAGGTAGTGAAGGTTGATCGTATATGAAGTCATGCATGGTATATGGGGCCATTCCGACCCGTTTTAGTGGTAAAAACAGGGAGTTGATTTTTCCCCCATTGACTTATAATGGGGAGGTCGCGAAATTGACCTGACCTTAGGTCACCGATATCAAAATTCCGAGATATACAAATTGTAGCTACTAATGACCTAATAACATCCTGCGACTTTCAAAGGCCTCCGACATCTACTGTAGCTCTGGCACGGTGACAAAGTTGCAAAAAAGTGACTTGAGGTTGGGTCATTCAAAGTGACCTGGTGACCTGACCTTGAAAGGTAGGAGGTTCAAACTTGCACACCATGTGTAAAATTGATAAGGGAATAGTCATACCAAATTTCGCGTCGCTACGCGCCGCGGTTTTCCCGCTATTCGCGAAAAACCTCAGGGGGGGGGCGGATATCCGCCCCCCCCCGTCGGTGCGCGGGTTAAGTCTAGAAACGAACGGTTAATGAGACATGACACGCCGAATTCTGGCCTATAATGGGCTCTAGAAACTGGTCAGAGATCAGAGGTCATTTTGGTCAGGTTCATGAAATTTTCAGGGTAGGTGTGAGCTTTCAATTGCAGATGGCCTGAAGTCCAAACTTATCCTGACTCCTGACCGCATGGGCGTTTATTTACTTATGGGGAGAAAAATAACTTACGGCACAGAAAGCTTCGCTGCTATCCGCCACTATTTACACGAGTTATTCAGGAAAAACCAAGGAGAGGGGTTCATTTTATCACCCCTAATAAAAAGTAGGGTTTCCATTAAAAGTAAACGGTAACATCGATAAATAACATCTGTATGTTTCTCAATTCAATATGGTGAGTTCTTTCGTAAGGTTAATAAATGCATATTAGGTAAACAATATTGTAAGTTGACATTGGCACGAACTTTCCATTCTATTTTATCCCGTTCGTTCTAGCCCCTCTCGCCTGCCCCCCCCCCGCCCACACACACACCACCACCACTACCACCAAACCGGCTGAGTTGGCTGAGGCGAGGCTGGCTAAGGCGAGCGCCTCCCCTCCCTTCATGCCAAACAGCGCCTGGCTGTCGTGACCTCTGGCCTCACCGCCCGAAGGCTCGCCCGCTGTCCAAGGACGCCCTGCGCGGGCCGCAGTGATAGCCTCTGCCGAGCAGTGTCCTGATTTTCGTGAATTTGGGTGGAAACCCACACCTAACAGATTCTCTTTGTGACGTCCCGGAAAGCCAAACGACGTCCCTGACAGATAAAAGTCGATAGGTATATCGAACACCAAAAGCAAACTAACAAAAAGAAATATCACCTCTGTAGCCTAAAAACACGGCTATGCAAAATGACAATAAATATAATATCCTAAGCCCTCAAAAACTCACTCTTACACTCAACTCCCCTTTCCTGGCCAACTGCCGCAACAGTAAACAACGCGGTTTTATTTTATTTTTGTTTTCTGTGCGTCAGATATGGATAAGTTTTTTCCTTTACCATGTGAAGGTTATGCTGCCATATGAAGGAGAAAAGATGTCGGAATAGAGGGATCTGAGGACGTCGTTTTCCACTTTTCAGTTTTAGTAACTGTGCAGTGTATAGATAAAAATTAATCATGCGAATATATTACTTGGACATTTATCTATAAGCACGCAACATACCTTTTGTATCAAATTACTGAAACATATTTAATTATTTTTTCCCCTCAGAAGGTCACAGTAACGGGTTAGCGCTGCCCCTTGAACATGCCCTTCAAAAGTGGTTAATTTTGCATATGTTGATAGTGGTTGGGGAAAAAGTTTAATGTTTATCTGTTTGAATTAAAATAAAGCCACCGAATTTCAACAGTATTAATTCAAGTATGTCGTCCTTGGCTTAAAAATACACGCAATGTTGGGGACGTCGATTGACCTTGTTATTCCCATTTAATCGACGTCGGTACAAAACTGAAAAGTGCACAATGATTTCACATTTTTTTCCAGCCAAGAAAAATTCAGCGTCCACCTTGGAGTTTTCTCAATTGAATTTCATAACAGGAAGCTATGGAAATTAATTTTCCGAGCTGTTTTCCACCTCTTTGTTTGGACGTCTGTTTTTTAAATCAGTCCTCTTGCTCGATATGATATCCCTCTTATGACGTCAATATTTAGTGATAGCCGCTGGCTCTTGGGCTGATTTTTGTTGAAGCATATTTGTTGTTGACTGTTATGTACGATCATGGACAAGAACTAGACATCTTCAAAGTGTTGTTTTGGTGTTTGTGGTGAATGCTTGAATTTTGTATTTTACTAGGGGTAAACTGGCATTACTTTGTGTCTATATATGATCATTTGAGGTGCCTTGAGGTGGTATTAGTCAATATTGCCAGTGAAAATCGCTAATTTTAAGAGATTTAGGTAAGGGCTTCAGTGGCTTAGGCTCCGCACCGATATCGACGTCCTTTTGAAATAGCGACGTCCTCGCGGCTTCAATCACACTCTCCGAAAAATCAATTTCAGAACACTGCTGCCGAGTCCCGCCTCTATCCAACGTTCACCACGCGCTGGATTCATTCATGCCTCTGTGTTTCAGCGTCCTACCCGTTGGGTGGCACCACTGTAGTCATAGGCGACTGCAGGGAAGCCGCGGTCAGAATGCTCCAAACGGCGGATTTTGAGGTTTTCTTTTAATTTCTCCGAAACTAGCCGGCATACGATCGAACCTTTTTCCATGCTCATGGGAGGGAGCCATACGAATAAATCGGTCACATCTTCAAGCCTACAAAGCGGAAGACGAAAAAGATATAGCCGGAAAGGCAAAACCTACGCTTAAAACCCGCGGGACCTGTACGTTCCATAAATCTAGGCGAAACTGAACTTCCCACACCAACCCAACCAGATGCCACCCTCCCACCTCAAACCCCAGCCCCGCCCCCTCCTCACACCCCTCCCCTCTCACCAGGCGGCGAGAGCTGCTGCTGAGGCGACCCTCCCGTCGCCGGGCTGACCGGACTAGCGGCAGCCGGAGGCGGGGCGGACACCGACACCGCCGCCGCAGCGGCCACCGCGCCCGCCTGGCTACTGGCCGAGCTGACAGGCGCGGAGCTAGTCATCACCGCTGCCCCGCGGTAGCCGGGAGCCTTGGCGGCGTCGACAACTCCGACGGCCGGCGAGGAATCGACGAAGGTGGCGGTGGCGGAGGTGGTGGTGGGCGCGAGAGAGGTGATACCGCTGGCGACCACGGCCGCAAAGTTTTTCTCCTTGCTCTGGGCGACATTCTGTGGGAGGGAGGGGAGGGGAGGGGTTAGAAGAAGAGATAAAGATGAAGAGTAACGTTAAAGAGAGAAGTCATTGGCACATCATGGAGGGAGGCCATAGCGTTAGATCAGAGATGCAGATTTCTCGCAGTGATTCATTGAGGAAGCAACTATTTAAAAATACATTGTGCGGATGAAAATACTCCCACCTCAGGCCAGGCCGCCAGACAATGTTAAGAATATCCCGCCATTAGAAATCATTCTGTCATCAGAGAACAAAATATTGAAATTACTTGACCCGACAGAATCCGGCACTTCAACGAAAGTTTCCAATGAGTGCACCGGAAGCCAGAAATCACAGCCAACACCCAAATTTACTCACCTCCCGCTCAGCAAACAACTTACCTACACCCCAAACCAACCCCTGACCCTCACCCCACCCGCATTCTACACTTCTCTTACCTTCAGAATGGGACTATAGTTGAACGGCGAGTAGGTCTGTGTCGGCTGCGCCGGGGCCGCCGGCGGCTGAGACGCCGCGGACGCCGCCGCCGCCGCCGACACCGCCGCCGCCGCAGCCGCCGAGACGGCAGCCTCCGCGGCGGCGGCGGCGGGCGCGGGCGCGCGACGGCCGGCCGCGGCCGCCGCGGCGCTGCTGGGCGGCTCCACCTTACGCTGCATGAGTGGTGTGGCAGCGCGCGGCGCCGTGGCGCCGGCCGGGCCGCGCGCGCCGGCGGCGGCGGCCGAGGCCGTCTTGGCGGCGGCACCGCGCTTGTCTGGAAGAGGAGGGAGTGTTGGGTTAGATAAAAAGTATGTGTGCGTCAGCTGAGGGCTCCGACCTGACTATCTCGTTCTTTTTATTATCACTGCAGGGCACATCCCGGCTTTTGATTCTGTTTTTGTTCAATACATGATAAACCATAACTGGCTTTCACCTTGTGCAAGAAATACAAACGCAGAGACGATTCAGTGAGAAGCACTCACCATCGCTGTGACGCAAAGAGCGAGCGACCTCATTCAGTAATGTAGACCGAAGTCCCATCGCTGGATATCCCAACAAACACACCATGATATTTTACGTACGTAAAATACGATTTATGCGTCAGATTTTACGTAGCCTTCAAGACTGTCCCAATAAATCCACCACGGCAGCAAATGCCAATCCAAGTGTTCCATCAAACCCTTAGCCTTTCACCACCCAAAATATCTCCTACTAACACCCCCCCCCCCCCTAGTATTATTTTGGTGACATCAAACCCACTAAACCGTCCCACCAAGCCCACTCCACTCCCTTTCTCAACCCACCATTAGCAGCATCCGTCTGCGCCCCGGCAGCGGCCGCGGCGGCCGTCCGGTGGCCCCCGGCTCCCGGTCGCTCCCCTCCCAGGTTCAGCTGGCGCTGGACGGCCGGTTTGGCCGGGGCCGAGTCAGTAGCACGGCGAGGAGACATGGTGACACCCGTGTGAACGAACGTCGTGTCTGAAATGGGGGGAGGGGGGTTAGTTAGAGTTTGGTGACGCCAGTCAGTGGACGATGGTGGTGTCTGGGAGGGGAGGAGGGGGGGTGGGGGGTGGAGTTAGTCATGAGTTTCATGACGCCAGTGTAGACGATGGTGTTATTTTGAAAGGGGGAGAGGAGTTATAAACATAGTTGGGTCTAGCAACGAGTCCAAATGTTAACGATGTTGCGAAGCCGTGAATTGATGACGTTCACTTAGACGCAACTAACGTTAGCTAAGGGAAGGTTACATGCAAACCTGCAAGTGTGCCGGTTTTGGCTTTGAAATTGAGAACGCATCCGAAGTTATGTAGGCATTCGCAAAAAGCAATGGAGCTGTAAAGTACAACTAATTTGTGTACCATTCTTTCCAAAACAAGGCAGTGTGGTCATCAGCATTTACGGGAAAATGTTGCAGCTCAGCATGGTGCTTAAAATATGTTGCTTGCTGGCTCAAACATAGCTAAAATTTCTTAAAACCCTTAGCTTGTTAGTAAAACACTCCCAGCTCCTCCCTCACTCACCCGTCAGCGCCTGGGCGGCAGCCGCCTTGGCCGCCGCCGTCTGCTGCCTGCCCGTCTTGGCGTCTCCCGCTCCGGCTCCTCCGCTCTGCCCGGCCGCTCCGCCACTCTGCCCGGCCTGGTGGGGTCGGTGACGTCCCAGTAGCTGCGCTACGTCGGCGTCCGGACTGTCGGCCAGCTCCGTTATCATAGCGTGGGCCGTCTTGACCGCCTCGGCAGAGCCCCTGTAAGGGAGGCGGGGGAGGGAGGTTAGTCGAAATGGTAAAAAGATTCAGTGAGAATGCGCTACAACTTAGTGAGCATGCATCAAGACAGGTACTCTGTTGTCCTCTGGTTCATGGACATTGACTCCTAAAAGATACACGACAACGAAAAGACAAAAAGCGGAAGGAAACAATTATCATAACAAAATATGTCTCAATGTCAGTGAAATCTGTCTAAATGTCAGTGCTATCATCACATCTGGTTAACCAAAACCAGCGAATATGCTGTGATCAAATTTGTCCCTGCCCTCTCGTCGCCTTCCTTTCACCATTCATTCTTTCCTCCTCCCTATCTCATTACGTTTTTCCCTCAGCCAATCATCATCTCTAACCCACATCCCCTCCCCCTTTCACTCATTTCCTCCCATCCATCCTTCCTTTGCTTCGTTTCTTCCTTCTACTCCAATCCACCCCTTACTCTAGCGCTCGTACCCTCCCCCTCCCCCCCTCCCCGGCCACTCACTTGATGGTGATCACGCGGTCCGCCTGTCCCTTGCTCTTCTTCTCGATCTCCACATGAGCGCCGCTCAGGTCCCTGATGGCGTTCACGTTGGACCCTCCTCGGCCAATGACACGCGAGATGGCGCACGTCGGGACCGTGACACGCTTGGTACGAGATGATGAGGAGGCGCTGTGGGGGCGAGAAACGTGGCGCGGGAGGGTTAGAAATGGCGCGGGGAGTGTCAAATGTAGTGCGGGAGAGTTGGAAATTGTGTGTGGAAGCAGATATGGCGCGATAGATAATTGGGAGGGAGGGAAGAACAATATAAATGGGTTCATCGTCTCACAGAAGATGGAGACACTGACATACGACCACAGAGAGTTTCTGAAGCAACTAAGAGTGCAAAGCGAGCAAAACTATGTGAAATACATTACCAACGCACCATAATGGCAAACATTCAGCAAACAGTCACCAGATTTTATCCTACAAAGTACTACGAAAGAAATCGGCTCTATAACAGGTTACTGACGAACAAATTATTAGCAATTCATGAGAAAACCTATTGACATTAAGCGTTCGTTTGTCGATCATTGACAATACCCAATATTTACTAAGTTCCTTTACCTCCCGTAACGTTTACTCCTTTCCATACTTTCCCTTTCTCCTTTCCTTTCCCTTCTTTCCCCATTCTCTCCGTACCTCCTGGTGGTGACCTCTCGCCAGCCCTCCTCCCTGCCCTTCTTCTTGGGACTGGCGGCGGCCGCCACTGTGGCCGGGTAGCCGGGCGAGCGGAGACCGACGGGGAGCACCACACCGCGAGCGGGCAGGCCCGGGATCAGACGACGCTCCTCCACCGCCGTGTCCGAGGTCTCACTGCCGGCGGAGACGGGCGGGGGTGAGGGTTTGGGCAGGGGTAAGGGGTAAAGGGTAGGGGTGGGGGTAGAATAGTGTGGACGTAGGCAAGGTTTGGGTAGGAAAGGGGTATAGGGTAGGTGTCGGGGCTAGCCGGGCCAGGGTTTGGGTAAGGATGGGGTAGGAGGTAGATGTCGGGGTTAGAGCAGGGTTTGAGTCACAGTACGTCGAGCCGTCGAGGAGACTGATATAAATAGTCGGGAAGGTAGAAACACAAGGTAAAATATATGATAGAAGTGATAGTAAGATTTGTAGAAAAATAATTCACCTGCATTTGATATCAAGATACTACAACGAATGCGGGATTGAAAAGCAAAACGAAAGTTAATTGTTAGGGCTTAGAAAACATGAAAATATGGAAGAAGAATGAGATAAGAAAGAATATCAAGTACGGAGGAAATCTCGTTGAGAAAATGATTATGAGAAATATAAGTAACTCTAGACATGAGATAAAAAAAAGACTCAAAAGTGGGAGAGGCTAACAAAGTATTTTTCAAAAGTGGGAAAAAGACTAAAAAGGCAATGGCTTTACATTTCCCTCTCAAAGCAAAGAAACTCCGGCTTCAACGGATCTCTAATCCCTCCCCGCAACCTGACCTATTCAAACATATCCCAAAAACAACCCCCCCCCCCATCACCCCACTCACGTCCTATCCTTTTTGGCCGCGCGGGCGGCGGCCGGCGCCGCTGCCGCCGCCGCCGCCGAGCTGACCGATCCGGCCGCCGTCATCCTCTCCCTCTCCTCCTGAAGACGCTTCTGCTTGTCCTTCCTGCGGCTCTTGGCCGAGGCCGAGGGGGCCACCGAGGCCGGCTCGGCGGCCGGCGCCGGCTGAGGTGAAATGGCTACAGTCGGGGGTGTCCGGTCTGTGTCGTTCATGGTGACCTCTTGCTGCTGCCTGCGGGGGGCCACGGGGGATAGCGTCGTTAGAAAGGAAGATAGATGCGGCGAAACGAAACAGGGAGGGCAGACGCGCAAAGAAGGGCGCGAGCGAATGCGAAGTGAGTTACAAAGAGATGTTACAGGAAAAATATAAAGCTGAGAGAAAGATATTAAGAGTTATAGACAAAAAAATCATGTTCCCACAAGCTTTAATTGTGCAACAGCATCTTGAAATGAGCACAGTTTATGCGTAATTAATTCACGGAGATGAAAGGACTAGCTTGATCGTTTCAGCTGCAATAAAAGCCGCGCGATTTCATAACAAGATAAACAATTACCTTCTTCTCACACACACCCACATGGTTGCATAAATCGAATATTATCCCCAAATACAAACCCCAATTACACAGTCACCAAAACGAGCCCGAACACAACACCTGAAACCCAGACTTTCATCGCCACTTTCAATCTTCCCGATAAGCTTTCCTTCCGCACCCACGTGCCTTACCGTCTATTGGTCTCCCCATTTTCGCGCTGAGCCTCAAGAAGCTGCTTCTGTCGACGTTTCTCTTCCCGCTTGGCGCGCTTTCCGGTGGTGGGCCCGTTGGCGGCAGCGGGGGCGGGGGCGGCGGCGGCGGCGGCCGGACATTCGGCCGTTCGCGCCAGACCGTCGCCCGCTGCCAGACACGCACACAAACACGGGTCAAACGCCAGTAGGGGCACGAATAAGCGTTTTGTTGACTAGAGCACAATCGTGACCAAAACAATACTGTTTCATGGTGGGTACCGTTAAGAACACGTTTGGGGGAAATTGATGAATATAAAGCAAATCAAACGAGGGCTCAGTCGTTGATCTGTTATCGATCTCTTTGGTTACCTTCACGACCCGCACAAGGGAATCTTCAACATTAATGTTTGAAATATCGTCATGACATGTACTGCTGACTCGATCATCTCAGAATACATGCTTCTTTCCATTATCCGTTTTAAACATGCCCCTCTATCCATCCCTCCATCCCCTATATTCCCCTCCCCTCACCTGACGAAGTTGACGACTGGCTGGTGGCATCGAACCCACTGTCCCTCTCCGGACTCGCTCTGCCAACCCTGGCAGCCGGGCCGGCGGCGGCGGCCGGCGGGGGAGGCGTGGCTTCACGCTCCTCCGTCTCGGCGGCGCCCGAGGCCGAGCCGTTAGCGGCGCCCGGCAGCCCGGCCACCTCGTCTGTGGAAGGGGGGATGGGAGGTTAGATGTTAGATGTAGACATTGCACAGACATTGATAGAATAATGGATAACCAAGAAATTATCACATATTAGTGGAACTTTGGGCGGCGTCTTTCGAATGCAAGATAAAAGAGGCGGTCATATTTTCCAAACGGCCTGCCTTTGCCAGCTCTAACTTCTCTCCCGTGACGTCCTGTCCACTCCTGTCCTTTCACCTTAAATTGTTCCCATTTCTCTTCCGCCCCTCTCACTTAACACGCATGCCCCATCTCATGTGTTCGTCAATACTTCCTTCTCCTTCTCTTAATTCTCTCTTCTATCTTTTCTTTTCTATCTTATCTTCTCCTCCTCTATGTTAACTAATTCTCTATCCTCTCTTCCCCTCTCGCTCCACCCACCTTCATCACCGCTCTCCTCTTCGTCCCTCTGCTGCCTGGTCTGTCTCTTCTTCTTCTTGTTGTTCCTCTTCTTGGCCGCCTGGCACTGCCGCTGTTTCTGAATAGCGTCCTCCTGTGCGAGTTCCTCCAGCAGCGAGGTGGCGTTTCGGTTGGCCTCGGCCGCCTGACGCTCCTTGGCCACGCGGATGATCTCGACGCAGGCCTGGCACTTCTTCACCAGCTCCTGGGGACGGAGGATGGAAAGGTCAGTTGTGGATTCAGCAAATAGCATTATGGCCTCCAACGGAGCTCAGGTTTTAGGTTTGTCACAAGCAAGCGCCCTTCCCAATTATTATCAACAAGAATAAATAAATTCAATGGTTCAAGCACTTAAATGCATCAATAGCCTTTCAGCGGTTACATACATATTTGGTGCTCTTCTCTGTCTTACCCTCGCCCTTCCCCTATTCCTCACTCTTTTTTTCTTTTCTTTTTCCCGTGTTCTACTCTGAATATCTACTTTTTCCAAAGTCACTACTCTAAGAAACATCCATCTTCTTCACTGATCGCTCTTTGTCCCTTCCTCACCCTAATTACATCAACCGGTCCTCCCCTTAAGATCCCTCTTTTCTCTCTCCTTCCCTTCTTTTCCCTTCCCTTCCCTCTCTCTCCCTCGCATCCTCACCTTATCGTTCACCATCTGGAGGTACCTCATGAGCTCCGTATCAGAGGGGAACTGGGTGACATGTTTGACCATCCACTTCACTACTTTGACGTGGCCGCGACGGTAGGCCGCCATCAGACAGGACACCTGGCGACGTGAGACACGGGGAACGGATAATGTATAATGTGTTATAAGTAACGGCGGTAACCTAGGCCGCCATCAGGCAGAACACTTGGCAAAGGAACACGGTGTGGATAATGTATAATGTATTGTAACGGCGGTAACCTAGGCGGTCATTAGACAGGATACCTGGCGACGTGAAACACGGACGTGTGGATAATGTATAATGTGTTATAATGGCGGTAACCTAGGTCGCCATCAGACAGGAAACCTGGCGGAGAGACACGGTGTGGATAATTACGGAGCGAGCGAAGCGAGCGGAGTCTTACGTAGAATAACGGAAATTTCTGAGTATGAGCGGCCGGCCGGCCGGCCGGCCGGCCGGCCGGCCGGCCGTGCGGACGCTTTTGCGAGGCTTATATCTCAGCAACCACTTGACCGATTTACATGCGGTAATTTTTGTAGGGTAGCTTCATTCCTTCTACCAAGTATTGGACTATTCCCGATGCATGTGGGTGACCCCTTATGCACGTGCCACGTGCAAAACGAAGAGGTGTCAGTTTTGTAATTGTTGCAATATCTCGGTAACTACTTGGCCGATTGCGCTGAAAGTTGGCATGTAGGTAGGCACCCACTAGGCACTGCATGTCCATGTGCCAGAGTTGGGGTGCCGCTGCACGTGCGCACGTGCAGGGGTCGTTTCCAGATCTCGAGAACGGCTCGACCGATTGCGCTCAAATTTGGTACACAGTTAGGGACCGGTTACTAGGGTGCCGTGCACAAGTCAGTTGGGACCCATTTTGCACGTGCGCACGTGCAGGGTGCCGCTTCCAGATCTCGAGAACGGCTGGGCCGATTGTGCCCAAATTTGGCACATCGCTAGAGACCAGTCAGTAGGGTGCCGTGCACAAGTCAGTTGGAGGTACCCCCTCGAAATTTCGCACGTGCAAGACTCACCCCCTCGCTCGCTCCGTTAGTCGCCCCAAAAGGCGCTATACTGGTACTGAATTAAGGGAAAATCCTGAGTATGAGCGGCCGGCCGGCCGGCCGTGGGGACGCTCTTTAAAAGCTAATATCTTAGGAACGGGACATCCGATTGACAAGCGGTCTTCTTTACTGAATGTCACTTGGACGTAAAAGTTCTGTGGTGTGATGGCCACCATGCGTTCTTGCCAACCACCGCACGTGGCGCGTGGTAAAGTTGGACATTTTTTAAGAACCCCCAAAATTGCAACCTCAATAACGGCACAACGGTTGGGCCGATTGAATTGAAACTCGGTACACAGTTAGGTCTCCATCAGATAATTCATCTGCATGTGTTAAGGTTGGGGTGCTACAGCACGTGCGCACGTGCAGGGGGCGCTCCCAGATCTCGAGAACGGCTGGGCCGATTGCGCTCAAATTTGGTACACGGTTGGGGACCAGTTAGTAGGGTGCCGTGCAAAAGTCAGTTTGGACCCCGCTTGCACGTGCGCACGTGCAGTGTGCCGCTTCCAGATCTCGAGAACGGCTAGGCCGATTGCGCTGAAATTTGGCACATCGCTAAAGACCGGTTAGTAGGGTGCAGTGCACAAGTTAGTTGGAGGTACCCCCTCGCAATTTCGCACGTGCAAGGCCCATCCTCTCGCTCGCTCCGTTGGTCGCCCAAAAGGCGTTTTACTGGTACGTAGAATAACGGAAATTTCTGAGTATGAGCGGCCGGCCGGCCGGCCGGCCGTGGTCACGCTTTTGCGAGGCTTATATCTCAGCAACCACTTGACCGATTTACATGCGGTAATTTTTGTGGGGTAGCTTCATTCCTTCTACCAAGTATTGGACTATTCCCGATGCATGTGGGTGACCCCTTATGCACGTGCCACGTGCAAAACGAAGAGGTGTCACTTTTGTAATTGTTGCAATATCTCGGTAACTACTTGGCCGATTGCGCTGAAAGTTGGCATGTAGGTAGGCACCCACTAGGCACTGCATATCCATGTGCCAGAGTTGGGGTGCTGCTGCACGTGCGCACGTGCAGGGGTCGTTTCCAGATCTCGAGAACGGCTGGACCGATGGCGCTCAAATTTGGTACATGGTTAGGGACCGGTTAGTAGGCTGCCGTGCAAAAGTCAGTTGGGACCCATTTTGCACGTGCGCACGTGCAGGGTGCCGCTTCCAGATCTCGAGAACGGCTGGGCCGATTGTGCTCAAATTTGGCACATCGCTAGAGACCGGTTAGTAGGGTGCCGTGCACAAGTCAGCTGGAGGTACCCCCTCGAAATTTCGCACGTGCAAGGCTCACCCTCCCGCTCGCTCCGTTAGTCGCCCCAAAAGGCGCTATACTGGTGTATAATGTGTTATAACGGCGGTAACCTAGGCCGCCATCAGGCAAGACACCTGGCGACGTGAAACACGGGGAAGGTGATGTATAATGTGTTATAAATGGCGGTAACCTAGGCCGCCATCAGACAGGATACCTGACGGAGACAACGCGGGGAATAAGTTTAGAAAGATGCCACAGGTCAACAGGTAGATCACACGACAGCCACGCGACTAGCGCGTGGTCGGATATCTGAAAGATGGGCTACATCCATCGGATTCAAAATTCAAGTGAAAAACGCGAGGGCCAGCTAAACACAATAAAGGGAAAACATCGGTTACTGCAAACGCCACACTCATGAGCGTTCAAACTTCGCACGAAAAAAAAATGTTCCTCTTAGACACAATATACATATTCACCAAAGCAGAAACTGTGATATTGCAATCCTTTTTCAGACAAAAAAAAAATCCATCAATCTCTCGCTCCAATATCGTCCTTTTTCTCATTCACGCCTCTTCCGTCATACCTTTCGGTTATCCTGCGCGTCGATGTTGGCTCCAGCCGTGTAGAGTAGCTGAACCACATCCAGGTGACCTCCGTTAGCGGCCAGCCAGAGAGGCGTGTTGCCCTTCTTGTTCCGGACCTCGGCCTGGGCGCCCCTGTGATACACGGAAAAAGGTACGTCAGGAAATGTACGGAGCGGGCGAGAGTGTATAACAATCCGCCTGGGCGCCCCTGTGATATACGGAAAAGGTACGTCAGAAAATGTACGGAGCGTACAGTAGTGTACAGTAGAGCGAGCCTCTCATACATAAAAGATAGATACGTCAGAAAATTACGGATCAGAAATAAAGAATAATAGGGCGACTCTCGTACATAGAAGATGGTTGCGTTAGAAAAGTACGGACTGAGTCGGGCAAGTAAAACCACGTCAATGTAATAATATGACAGGGGCCGATGTTACAAAATGTACGGACCTAAGGCTGCACAAAGGGCATGTAAAATATTACGTCTCAAACTGATGCCAGTCTTTCCAGCTTCTTCCCAATCCCTTTCCCCACCCCTCCTCCCCCTCTCACCTCTGCACAAGCAGTTCCACAAACTTGTAGTGTCCCTTATCCGCCGCTATGGTCAGCGCCGTATCCCTGCTGCTAGGTACGGGTGCGGCGTTCACGTCAGCGTATTTGTCGAGCAGGACGCGGCCGACCTCGACGTAGCCGCCAGAGGCCGCCTCCATGAGCGGAGTCAGGCCCGTCTGTTGAGGGAGGAGGGAGGGGGGTAGAGTTAGAGTTAGATTGAGACTAGTCTGTGGAGAGGAGGAAAGTAAGAGTTGGAGTTAGAGTGAGGTCCGTCTATGGGCGAGGGAGAGGGAATTAGGGCTAGATAGACCTGTCTAGTGTGGAGAGGCGTAGTGGTGAGCGTCAGGGGTGAAGTGAGATAAAGATGTGTTGCATTTTGTAACGGTTTACAGTTAAGTGCAATAGACTTGTCGAATGGAAAATTTAACATTGCCTTATTACCGGATAAAGAAAGAGGATACCATCAACTATTTTATATTTCTCATCAGAGTAGGCAAGTATATGAAAATATAGAGGCTATACAGGCTGTACTGTGGTGTGGAAACTTAAAAACATCGTATTGCGCCCTATATTAACATTGGTTTGTCAGGACTCAGGATGCATCCATGTCTCCAAATAATATTATTCGGTCCTTGTAGATTTAGACTTGTCTATCTCTTCCTCCCTCCTACCTTGGCGCGGTGCTCGACGTAGGCCCTGCGGTCGACCAGTAGCTGCACCACCTCGTGGCGGCCTTGGAAGCAGGCCAGCGTCAGGGCCGTGTTACGGTTCGTCTCGATCTGGGCGTTGATGTCGCTACCCATCTCCAGCAGCAGTCTGTGGACGTGTGGAAGACGGTGTTGAAGTCAGTGTGCGGGGAGTCAGCGGGGGTAGCGTGGGGCGGTTTAACGAGACTGAGATTGAGTACAGCCACATGGCGGAAGGGGTTTAAGCTGGTGCGTCGGTTAATTAGGTGCTTTACAGCCATTTAACGTCAGTCAACGATACAAATTGATGGCAAAATCGACTGGCCGTGACAGCTGCTTTTTAACTGCATGGCCGCTTCTTTTCTCCATCCCTCTTTCAAGCCTTACCGCATCTCCCTCTGTCTGTCTCTATCCCTGTCTCTATCCCTGTCCCAGGTCCCTGTTTCTCTCTGTCTTTCTCCATCTCTTCCTGCTTCCTTGCTCTCATTCTCCGGCATTACTTTATCATCCCCTCTATACACTATTCCAGTCTCAAATGACACTTCCGTCTTCCGTCAAATGTCAAATGACGCTTCCGTCAAATGGCACATGTCAAATGACGCTTCCGTCAAATAACACTATCCGCCTCCCCTCCTCTCTCCCCAATCGACCCACCTGACAGCGGCCGTATGCCCATTCATAGCCGCCAGCATGAGTGGCGATATGCCGAGCTTGCTGCCCGTCCTGCTGTTGATCTCTGCTCCGTGGTGTAACAGCAGTTTGATGATGTTGACGTAGCCACCGGAGGCAGCCAGCGATAGGGGCGTGTAGTCCGAGACGTTACGGTGCTCCTTGTTGGCTCCCCTGTGGGTGGGGAAGACAGTTTTTAAGACTTGACAAGATATTGCAATAGCCATCATTAGCCATGGATTGTCTCAATACAAGTATGAGTATGAGTATGAAGAGAGAGGGGGTTAGGGAGAGTAGCGGGGACGGTGGGGACACGCGACTGAATACCTCCCTGTTGACTAAATACGACTGAATACCTCTCTCTCCCCTTCTCCCCTGTTCGAGAGAGAGGGAGGGGGTTAGGGAGAGTAGCGGGATTACAGAGGGTGGGGGACGAATGAATATCATGAAAGACCCTTGCTAAAATTGATATTGTTCAGACTAAGAATCTTTGGTGAGGGGGGGGGGGGGGCTGAACGTGAAGTCGATATGCTCTCATTACCTCAGAAGATCAAATCTGAAAGGCAGATATTGGCACCGGATTTGCTTTGCATGCAACATAATTTACATGAGTAAATGATCGTGAAATATGGGTATAATAACTGAAAGTCCAAAATAACTATGAGGGTTCAAACTCTTGCCAGCTGTCTATTCAAAGGTTTACATACAATCTCGACAATTATCATCGCCTCTTTTCTCTCAAAGATGCTTCTTCACCCGAGTTCACTGAGTAAAACCACTCACATCACCCAACTCCCTTCGCCCTCCTTTCTAACTGACCCTTCGCCCCTTTTCCCTTTCCGTCTCCCCCTCTCCCCTTCCTCTCTCTTCCCCTTACTCATATTTTCCCAACTCCCTTTAACCCATCCCTCCCCTCCCCCTCTCCCTCATCATGACTCACTGCTTGAGCAGGATCTCCACGACCTCATATCTGCCGCCGGAGCAGGCCAGTGACAGTGGCGTGTCCTTGGTCCTCTCGGACTGGGCCTCAATGTCGGCCTTACTGGCCAGCAGGATTTCCACCACTCCCGCGTGGCCGGCCGTGGCCGCCAGAATCAGAGGCGTGAAGCCCTTCTTGTCCCGGTGCTCTGTGGGAGAATTAAGGGGGGTTGTAAGGGGTGTAAGGGGTTGTAAGGAGAGTTAATGGGGTTAGCTTGGGTTAGTGAGGGTTGTAAAGGGGTGAAATGAGTGAAACATTGGGACCATTATGGGAGCCATTTGTGTGCAAGCATTTGCATAAATGCCGTTCTCCTTATTTGTCTAGCGGATGAGAAAAGTACGCTTACTAAACCGATAGCGCCACTGAGTCGTAGGCCGAGTATTTACAGGCCAAGTTGCTATATATAAAAAAAAAATAATATGCCGAAAGCAGCGCACATAAAAGCCGATCGAATGTACAATTACAGTTCCCTTCCCTCCTGTCTCCCTTCTTCCTCGCCCTAGTTCTCCTTCCATCTCTTTCCCTCCTCGTCATTAACTCTTCTTCCTATAGCTAATTTGTCGAACCCCTTCCTCAAGCCCAGTCCCACCGGCGCTCGATTTCCTCTCCTCCCTCCCTCCCTCACTCCCTCACTCACTCACTCACTCACTCACTCACTCCCTCCCTCCCCCCCCCCCCGGCGCCACTCACCGATCTGGGCTCCTCGTTTGATGAGTAGCTGTACGAGTTCCTCGTGTCCTCCAGCACAGGCCAGAGTCAGGGCCGTGTCGTGGTTACTCTCCGTCTCCGTATTCAGCTGGTCGGACGGAACCTGGGGAAGCAGTGGTTAAAAATCAGGGAACCTAAGGAGGTGTTTAGAAGTGTCAGAGGGAGCCTAGGGAAGCAGTGTTGGAGACAACAAGACACTGCTGGCTACTCTACGACTGTGTTGAGCTGGTCGGACGGAACCTGAGGAAGCAGTGGTTAAATGGATGTCAGAGTCCCAGCAGTGTCCCAAAATGGGTGTCAAGAGTCCCAGAAGTGTCCCAAAACGTGCAGGCTGCTGGTTTGAGCGAGAAACGACATTCAAATGAAAGCCATTTTTCACTCTCACCTCTCATAATCTAGAGCTTGATCAAGAGACACGTCTTACCAAGGCTCTTGATCAAGAGCCATTCCAATTAAAGAACAATACAGCAGCTGGTGTCGAGCACCTCAAGCAGCCCGATTCTACAAGGTCCTAGGTAATTTTCCACTTTAAATTGTACCAAGAAAAACATTTGTTTGGTCGATGGTCGTTTTAACTCCCTACATTATACCACCGGCTTGCACATTGGTCAATGTTTTCGTTCCCTTTTCCACTTTTTTTTTTGCCCTTATACACTTTTTTCCACTTTTTTGGGGGGGCGGGGTTATCCGACCGCAAATGTTTTACAGTCATCCCCTTTTCGGTGAAAATTTTCCCTCTAACACCGAAGCAAAAACAAAAACAAAACACACAAGCATGGTCTGAGGAATTTTCCCCCTCAGACACCCAGCCCAAAACACAAAACCGCGACAATGACCTGGAACCACGTTCTTGGAACCCTGACTCACCTGGGGCGGATAGACGGCCGCTCCGGCCGCCGACACGGGCGCCGCTGACGACACCACCGCTCCGGGGTAGGCCGGCGCGGGCGGCGGCGGCGGCGGCGCGCCAGCATACCCGGCCGCCGGGCTGAGCGGCTGAGGCTGACAGAGGCCCAGGTTCATCCCGTGGAGGGTTCCCTGGAGGTAACCTCGGGACCAGTCGGCCGCCGCCTGGTCCCCGGTAAGCTCGGGAGGTTCCCCGGCGCCGCCGGACGGCCGGTACATGTCTGTCAGGGCACGAGCCGGCGCAGCCACCTGCAACGGGGAGATAGAAAATGGGGAGAATATGTTAGTTAGGGGTGGTCACAAGCTGGGGCTATGAAGACTTCATTTTTCATCTCATTTGCCTGACCAGGCGGTCAGACATGAGACAGGGGCAGGCATTTCCAAGGGAATGAGATTAAAGTATGAATGCCAGACTAGGGAAATTAGATAGGGGAATAATACGGTCAGGTACTTTAGACGTAGTGGACGAGGGAATGATTATATAAGACACACTGTTGAGGGCCGGGGAAGCAGGGTTGGCATTTTTGCCGGCAAAAACTAGTTTATGCCATTTGCCGGTTTAAACCGGTTTTAACCGGCAAAAAGTGGCAAAAACTGGCAAAAACTCAGAATATCACAATGCTATGCCTAGACATGATTTTGAACAGGAAACATTTTAAGGAGAATTCGGTGAAAGCTTTACCTATGCTTTCAAACAGAAGTGACATTGACCATTGAAATGTTTCATACCTAACTCAGAAACATTTTCATGGGCTATCCATAAGGAGCTAGTAAGATGTCTTTTGGGGGTAATACCTAAATGAGCCAATGCAAGGGTGACTGGGTGAGTCCTGCACAATCAGAAGTGCGAAGAGGCATCTGCCATTGATATGCGCACGGCACCGCACGACACCCTACTTACCGAGGCCGCCCTGTCCCACTCTCCCCTTACATGGAAATACATTCCGTTGTGGATGTCTACCGACATGCATAATTGCATAGACATTTTAAGCAGGGATAAGTAATGAGGCAACTTCAGAATGTTAAGTGCATCTATATAACTACCAGAAACGCATTAAATGCATTTCTGTACATTTCAAATCCATTCCTAACTAGAAAAGTTGTAGGTTTGGCCATCTGATTTTTTGCCAGTTTTTGCCAGTTTTTGCCACCAGGGTTTCTGCCAGCCGGTTTAAACCGGTTAAAACCACTGGCAAAAACCAGTTTTTGCCACCCCCTGCCAACCCTGCGGGGAAGTACACAAAAGTGGGGAGCTTCTCCACAAAGGGCAATATTCTGGACGGCATATCGGAAGCAGAGAAACACAAACACACAAAGGCATTGGATTTACATGGCTTCAGATTAATCAAACACTTTCAGGATAACGCCTTTTCTCACCATCAGCCCGGCCCCGGACCTGCATCCGCCGGCCGCCACAGGCACGGGAACCAGCTCCATACCCGTCTCTCCGCTGGTGGCCGGGATAGGGGCGGATACGGGAACTCGGAGCCGCTGAGGAGGCGCGTCACCGCCCGCGGCCAGACAGCGAGATATCTGTAGGGGGGAGGGAGAGAGAGGAGGGAGGGAAGGGAGAGGGGAGGGAGAGAAGAAATAAAAACAGGAGCGAAAAAAGGAAACAGCAAGAGCGAGGATAAGAGTAAGAGGGAAAGTGAGAGATGGCGAGAGGCGGATAGGAAAAAGAGCAAGGTGAAAAAGGGAGGGGGCGGGTGCCGGTGGTGAGGGAAAAGTGGGGGGGGGCGGCTAAAGTCGAGTGCCGCGCTGGTTTCGGTGAGGTTCGCTGTGCCTAGGCAGCTGCTGGGCGAGGCCGTAACACTGGATATCGTTCAAGTTTTGGTGACATTCAAAAACGCCGACAGAGGATACACTTTGAAAGGCTGACAACAAGAAGTTTACGGATATCAAGGGGACACAGGTAAATAGAAAAAAAAATGAAATGTAAAAACCGTGAAACCGTCATAGGACCAAGGAATCGAATAATACCCAAGCCTCAACACATCACCCAAACCCACTAACAAAAGAAAAATAGCACCTACCCGCCCCAAGATTCGAACCCACGCCCCCACGCACCTGCGCCGCCACGGCCGCCTGCACGGCCACCCCCTGCTGTTGAGGCGCGCGGTTGTTGCCCTTCTTCTTTCCCTTCTTCTCGCTCCCCTCCTGTCCAGCCATCTCCAGCGGTATTCCCGCCCCAGGGGGCAGCTCCAGCGGCAGGGCTCCAGCTGCCAGCTGGGCGGCCGTGAGCTCCAGTGGGAGTCCGGCCGCGTTGGCCGCCAGTTGGGACTGGGTGAGCTCCAGAGCTCCGGCGGCCAGCTGGCCGGCGGAGAGCTCCAGCGGCAAACCGGCCACATACTGACCCTGCATGGCTGCGGGAGGGGGGGGGGGTTAGGGCACGTCTTTTTCATAGAAACATTGCCTAAAAAGGCTCCTGATGGTTTAAGACCGCGGCAGGCCGATTTTTGCAAAATTGTCAGAAAACCCAGGCTTGTGTTTGAAAAGAAAAGCACAAGTCTAACGAGCAGTGAACACAAACCTTCGGCTAGGGAAACCTCGACTTAAACCTCTCCCCTTCCTCCCCCTTCCCTCTCTCCCCCTCTAACTCACCCAGCTGGCTCTGCAGCAGCTGCAGCTGTTGCTCTCTCTCTCCCTCCCTCTCTCCCCCTCCTCTCGTAACTCACCCAGCTGGCTCTGCAGCAGCTGCAGCTGCTGCGGCTGCAGTCCGATGTGCGTCTGGAAGGCGGCGGCGGCCTGCAGCTGCTGGTACTGCCTCTGTATGCCGCTCGGCGGCGCCACTTGAAGTCCTGAGAACGGTACGCCATCGGGAGTCACTAACAGCTCGTCCGTCGGGACGCGCGAGCGGTAGTCGGCCGAGCACGTATCTGAGGTCACATGGTGTACAGGTGGTCAGCGAGAACATTCAGGGCCTAAGGCGCGGAGGGATCCGATGAGCATCAATCGGCTGAGGGCGAATTTCAGTGAGGGAGGTATAGGGGCAGTAATCGCATCACCCACGATCGTAAATACAACATACAAAATGTACAATACAATACAATACAAAACACTCGAGTGATGTGTTGATAGTGCTAACTACAATTACTTCCGAGGTTCCAGCGAATTTACTATCATTCCATAATTATCCTTCACAAGGCGTTGCACTTCACCCCATTACTAATTCCCTTTCACTGGTTTAACGTCTGATCACTATTTTACCTGTCGCTGTTACTGTTCTCGTTCCGCTCGGCTATGAATTTTCCTTGACATGCCAGAGTTTGATGAGGATGAGAAGAGTTTATCTATCTGTATCATACAGCCCAGACGGCCAGCCATCAATCATTTGCTCCCCTCCTTTAGATCAGCCTCATACTACTCTATCCTTCCGACCCACTCTCTCTCAATAGTCAACTGACCCTCCTTATCCTGCAATAAATCAAGTCAATACCCTCCTCCCCTTTCTCTCCCTCCCTCTCCTCTCTCTCCCGCTCTCTCCTCACCCTGCGTGTTCAGTCCGGTAAACTGCAGTCCCGCGGCAGTACAGGCCGCCTGGCTGGCCGCCGCCGCCGCCGCCTGGCTCGCAGACGTCGCGCCGTCGCCTTCCCACGCGGCCGGCGGTCGGCCGCGACTCGGTGAGGCGCTGCCCTCGCGTCGCTTCACGCCCTGGGCGGGGCCGGACGACGGCGCGGCCGGCGGACGGGTGGTGGGGGTGGTGGTGGTCGGCTCGGACGGGTAACGCTCGCCGCCGTGGCGCGAACGCTTGCCGCCGGCTGAGGGAGAGAGAAATGGCGGGAATGTAGTTAGACGGAGTTAGAACAAGCAAAGCATACGTTGGTCCATGCCATGAATCTATGATAACATGATTCAAGTTATATATGGTTGGTCGCATGACAGTCCTAAATAATTGAATATTGTCCATCAAACGCTAAGCATTTTATTGTCGAGCATCACCACTATTATGACCCATGATGTTTTTTCCTAGGATATGTAAATTTACAATATGATACCAAAGTTGCACACAGTTTTACAACACACACTAATTAATCGCACAACTAAATACAAAAAAAAATATGAAAATCTACCAACGAAGCAGTCATTGCATACCTCTTATCTATCTCCAAACCCAAGTCTATAGCTTCTATCGCTTAGTGTCGACGCATGCCACTTTGTACCGGCATGTAGAAAAATATTCCAGAGCCGGTACTGAATGTGACGTAGCGTCAGTTTGTGTACGTCTTGTTTGACGCCGCATTGGCTACATTCGCCAGCGCAGTAACACGAAGACGGTTATTGGACTGTCAAGCCTAAATTGAAGTCTAACCAAGCAGTAGGAAGACCTCAACCTAGCACGAGCGAAGATATAGCGCCAGTGGATGCGGTTACAAATTATAACGCCTTGTTTAGCAAACGCCCCCTTCCCTACCAGCCTGGTCTAGCTGACAAATCTCCAACCTAGCCTGAGAGAAGAGAGCCAACTAGGCAAACCTAGTTCGTCAATCCCCACCTCAAGTGCTTTCATGCCAGCGTACAATCCAGGCAGCCAATAACCTAAAAGATGGCAAAAAGCGCCCTTTTTCCTAACCCTTCATCGTCTCCAGTCTTTCCCTCCTCTTCCTTTTAAGTCTCTTTCCCTCCCTGCCCCCTTCCTTCAGCACCCCCTCCCCACTCCCTCACCGGTGGTCTCATCGCCCTCTCCGGCGGCCGCTCCGGCGGCTGCGGCGGGCGGCAGCGGCGGCGGCGGCGGCGGCGGCTCGTCCCTGCTCGGCGGCGGCGGCAGGTGGGGCGTGTGCAGCAGCTGGTGCTCCACCTGCTGCTGAAACTGCTTTATCTGCTGCTGCAGCTGTTTGCGCTGCTGAAGCAGCTGTACCTGCTGTCGCTGGTGGATCTGCTGACCTGCTGCCGAGCCGCCGCCCGACTTCTCCATCTGCGGGGGAGGGGAGGGGAGGTCACGAGATGGAAATAGCGGTTCCACACCGCCACGTCGCCGAAGGAGCCGTGTGGTTCGTAAAACAAGATGAAGACGCAGGTATCGATAATGTTATCGTTTTTGTCTTCCCGGGTGTCAAGTTATGTTTTTCTCATATTACATTCTGTTGCATTGTCGTGAGTATAACTTTCCGAGCTAGGAATATTTCTGTCGTATTGTAAACGAGCGAGCGAGCGGGTTTATCGGTGGTTTAACAGAAAATGTTTTCCATGAGCGACCCGACCCAGTCCCGCCCGGCCCCGTTACCGCTATTCACAATTATCTCTACAAATACCTCTGTAACCCTCAACCGATCGACAAGCGGTCTTCAGCATCAGGTAAATCCTTCAAATCATAAACCCAACTATTTTTGATCGATATGGGTGACCAACACATATTCCACTCAGACTAGCCCGACCGAGAGGGGTCCATCTCACCACCGCTCGCCACTACACACACCTGTCTCTGTCCAGCGGCTGTCCCATTCATATTACCTCGATCCTCACTCCCATCACGCAACCATTATCAATATCTCCCTTGCTAACTCACGTATTGAGTTAGCAAGGCGGCAGACTCACATAGACTAGTCTGGTCTCTCTCTCAGTCCTTCGCTATAAGCCACAGCCCCTCTCCCTCCTCGCCTCCTTCACTCTTTCTTTACACACCTTTACACACCTCACTTTCCTCACTCTTTCCAAACCCACCTGTCTCTGTGCCATCACGGTCTGCTCCAGCTGCTGCAGTGCCGCCACATTCTGCTGCAGCGCTGCCAGCTGCTGCTGGTTAGCTGCCAGCTGGGCAGCTGACGTCAGCTGGCGCTCGGCGGTGGTGGGACCGGCTGCTGCAGCTGCTGTAGAGGTGGTGGTAGATGTAGCTGGTGTGGCTGCGGCAGGCGCCGGAGTCTTGGTGGTGGTGGTGGCCGGCGCTGCGGTGGTCGTCTGAAAAATGGCGAGACGAGAGTTAGTTGGAGCGCAAGATAAGAAAGATGAGACATTGCAGGTGTCTGAAAATGGGACAGGAGCTGTTAGCAGCTCTAGATAAAGTGGAATGAAACCTCCCGTCTCCCTCATTCATAGCTGGTCCACTTCCACGTATCTTGATCTTCATCTGCTTTTTCCTTGCATCCTCGAAACATCCTCTCCATAGTCTCTCGCTTACTCTAGTTTCCGCTACTTCCCAATCATCTCGGTCCCCGCCGTCTTCATCCCGCCCACCCCGTTATCAATTCGTACCGCTCGCTCAATTACATTCACATTCCTTTCCTCCTCAGGCTTCTAGACGGATGCCTTCCTTACATATTCCTCCTCGTACTCAATTTTCATCGTCAGCCCTTACCCAGATATTTTCCTTTCTGCCGCCTGCTTCTACCGTATCTCCCCTCCTTCTCCCACGTTATCTTCCCTATATCAGCTCGCCTCTCCTTTATTCTCACCTGTCTGGGTACCTTCCTCTAGTCTTTCTTGCTGACGGGCTTGACCCTCGGTCTGTCTCCCCTTCTACCCATATCTATAATTCTTCTCTGTCTCCCCTCCTGTCCCTCCTTTTCTCTCCTCCCCCTCCCTTATTCTCACCTGTCTGGGTACTTTTCTTTTGGTCTTTCTTTCTGACGGCCTTGACCTTCGGTTTCTGCCCCTCCCCCTTCTCCCCACAATCTATTCTCCCCTCATTCTCCCCTCCTTTATTCTCACCTCTCGGTACTTTTCTTCTAGTCTTTCTTGCTGACCACCTTGACCTTCGGTCTCTGTCCCCTCCTCGACTTCTCCCACATCTTTTCTTTCGTCTCCTATCCTTCTCCCCTTCTCCCCACATGTATTCTTCCCTGTCCTTCTCCCCTTCTCCCTCTCCTCCTTTATTCTCACCTGTCTGGGTACCTTCTTCTGTTCCTTCTTGCTGACCGCCTTAGCCTTGGGTCTCTGGTCGGCCGGGGGCTGCCCCGCCGCAGCCGCAGAGCTCGGGTTGGTCACGATCACTGATTCGCGGCTCTGAAGAGAACAAACATAGTTGGTTAGTTAGTTTATTGACACTTGATAAAAACATTATACATACAATGAATATGGATAAAACTCAGATGACAGGCGTGTCCACCAAAACACATGTCATAGACTTCTATATGTACCAAAAGGCTGCTTAGAACATACATACAAGGTGGTAAGACTGATGGGAGCATGAATAGGCTATGGTTTCAGACGGGAACACACTTTAATTGTTATGTAACCCGTAACACTGTTGTTAACCATTAGGCCGTATCATGTCGATTTCTTAGTGACTTATGACGGTTTGGTGTTTGTTGCAACTAATTTTCGTTCCCCTTTTCTTTTCCCGCATCAATTCAATCACATCACATCGCTTATTCATCCATATTCTATTCATTAGCCATTTCTTCACTCATTCACTCATTCATTCATTAATCATTCTTGCCTCCTTATCTAAAACTTCACTTACTCCTCTCATTCTCACCTCCTCATCCGGTTCTGTCTCCACCTCCTAGCGTGTTCTGCATCCTTCCCTTTCCCCTACATTCCTGTCCCTCCTCCCTCCCTCCGGCCTTCTCCCTCTTATCCCTCCCTCGATGGTACACGATTCCCATCCCTCCCATCCTCCCTCTCTCCCACTCACGGGCTGTTGTCCAGTGCCCTCTGCGGCCGCCGGTGGCGGCTGCTGGGGCGCCGCAGCGGCCGCCGCCGCTGCTTCAGCCAGGCCTGGCAGGCCGCGTCTCAGTTCCTCCGGCATGCGAGACGCCAGCGTGCGGGTTAGCTGGGTCAGCTTCTCAATCTCCTCGCCCTCCTGAGGAAAGGCGGGGTGAGAGAGTGGGTGAAGTGGATGGAAATGATTAAGTGAGGCTCGTCATGCATGTATGTTGGTAGATAGTTGCAAGCGCATATGTTGCATAAGCAGAACCAATAACGCGGCTCCACAAGTAGCCTATAACTGCCCATCCATCCTCATTACATTATAGGTTTCTATGATCTAAAATAGTTGCTTCTTAATATTGACGGTCAGGACATTACGTTACATCACAATTCCAACAAGTTCTTCCCCGCCACACACCATATGCCAAGTCAATTCAATGTCAATTATTCGCCACTTGCCATAAAACCACTTATTTTCTAAATGGGATATCTTCATACTTATATCCTAAATACTCGCCTTACCCCTGGAGGGAGGAGTTGACTCCCACAGTCTTCCTAAAATATTTCCTATCCACTGTCTTCCTACCATTGTCCCGGGCTCACCCCGACTTCAGTTCCTTCCCAACTCTGGACTCTGACCACACAGTCTTCCTAATATGTATCCCATCCACACACCATCTTCCTACATCCACCCACCATCTTCCTACGACGATCAGAAATGATCCTGCATCTACTAGATGGAGTCGACGAAATTATAAGTCTAAAGTAAAAGTAAGTCTACAATTTCCCTCGTTCCCTCGTTCTTTCTTCCGCTCCAAACCCACCTGATCTCCTACATCGGGCCTCCTTAACATCTCGCTGATGTACTGCTCCAGTCGATCGGAGGTCGCCCGGCTCAGGGCCGCCTCGTCACCCACATCCAGAGCCAGCAGACCGGGGTCAAGGAGGTCCGTTGGGGAGGTGACGCAGCACGGCTGGGTCACCGGGGAGGACGGCGTGTACGGCGGTGTCTTCATCTGTGGGGCAGAGAAAGGGGTAGTGTGAGCATGGTGGTGTCTTGAAACACACCTGAAATACACCTGAAAAAGCCGCATTGTAATCTTAAATGCGTACACACTATACATACACCAGCTGATCGTTGATTCTTCTCTACTTTTTTCGCCTTTCTTCTTCCTTCAAAAACGCTATCTTTCAACTAGTATACGTGCCATAAGCCTTGGCAAAGTTGGCTTCACACGTTATGTTAACGAACGTTAAGCCTTTCTGATGTCCAGAAAATACATATTCTTTCTCCGCTCTCCCAAAATATTATTTATCACAATGCACACCCACACACACACACACATACCGGTATCCCATCTACTCACAGAATTATCTCTAATACCCTCACCTTTAACCCCTAACTCGATTAAAATTATCGTTTTCGATTCAAAATATCACCAGTTTCGATTCAAATTATCGCGGCGAACCGAACGCGGGAAATGTCGAGTAGTGGGTCCGTGGTGTCATTCGCAACAAGCACTGCTTAGCGGGGCACCCGGGCCCACAGCCACCCATTCATCCATTCGAACAAAATTTATTTAGAAAAATCCCCTACTCACCGTGTAGATGTTGTCGGCCTCTCCCTGTCCGACGGACCGCGAGCGACGCCTCTGGCAGGTCTGTTTCCCGGCCGCCGTCTCCCCGCTGCCACCTCCTCCACCTCCACTGGGCTGGGCGGGCAGCAGCTCGAACGAGGCCGAGCCGGCCGCCGCGGCGCCATCCGCTGCGGGGAGAGAGAGGGAGTTTGAGAAGGGAGTGTGAGAGGTAGCGAAGGAACCTCTGGAGAGTACAAGTGGAGTAAAAGTTCTGGAGTATAAGGGGAGAGTGTCTTCTATTCCGTGCTGTGCTGACTGGGGTCTAACGCAATCAAGTACAGAAGCCAGTCACAACAGTCACAAGATTCTGCATCAGCCTCAAAATATGGCAAATAAGTTGGAGAAGTTTATTGTTTTGTGTTTGCTAAGGTTAGTTAACCAAAAACTTATACCAATGGAAATTCAAAGAGTCCAAGACTAGCAATCAGAGTGACTACGAATTACTCATGTAGCTGAGTAAAGTCATCCGCTAAAATCGGTACAAGTGTTATCACCCATCATAGTACGTTATCAGACATAAAATCAAGTGTACATCACTCATCGTCACGTTATCAGACATAAAATGCCACCACCACCGTTTTCCCCAGATACGTACCGGTGTGGTAGTGCGCGGTCGAGTTGACCTGGAGGGACAGATCGGTCTGCGCCTGAGAGGCGGCCACGCGCGCAGCCGCCGCCGCCGCCGCGTCACCGCCCTCGGTCGTCTCGAAGGCGCCCGGCATCTGCAAGTGGCGGTGAAGGGAAATGAACATTTGTCAGCAATGGGATTCGAACCTACATCATCTAATCCGTGATAAAATGTTTGGTTCGCTGAGATTATAACTATGTATATCAGCGCGATAAATTCCTTCTCGCGCTGAAATTTGGACATAAATAGTCAGGTACTTTAATAGTTGTTGGGTTCAAAACCATGACACAGCAAGGATAAACTAATGCCTATCTTGTAATTCGAGCCCTAATCATCATAATCATTTTCCCCGTTCTAAGATTCGAATGCATACTCGTCATGCAAAAACTTTGTCAGCGGAAGTATTCCAGCACAAGCCGTTACAATTGATTTTGTCAGATGCGCGATTCGAACGAACAAAATTTCGACAAATTTTCTGTCCACACTAATAATCGAACAAAAACCATCACGATAAATGTTCCGCCCGCGCTGGGAATCGAGCCCACGCGCCCACCTGCGCCTCGGTGAGCGGCTGGATGTCGGGGTAGTCCATGAGTAGCTCCACCACGGGCGTATGGCCGTTCTTGGCGGCCTCCATCAGCATGGTAGAGTTGTCCTGAGGAGGGAGAGGAGGTAAGAGGTCAGAGGGGTCAACATGTCATGGTTGATAGAAAATACGAATCACGAGTCAGTAGGCACACAATGAAGATAATCCCAGACTGAATAGCATCATCAAATTAGTTTGCTGAGTGCAGCTGTTGCGTTGCTGGATAATGCCTGGTTTTTATATTGATGTTTACATTTACTTTCTATATACTTGGATAGGCTTTGATTAATTGCAAGCCCATCTAAGACTTATTACGACTTTTTATACGTCTTCATCATGCAACTAAAAAGGCAAAAACAGAAAAAAATCCCCTCTACTTTCTCAAATATCTCGTTCATACCATTCACAGCCTCTCTTCCACATTACGGTTAATCCCGCTCTCAGATCGAATCAGATTATTCCCGAGGTGTCGGCTTTTAAACACCAACCCATAACTTCACATCGCTAACCCGGTACCTCCTACCCCATCCCTTACCCCCGTCCCATCAAACCTTCCATCAAATCCCTGAAATCGAACTCACCTTGAGTATGTGGTGCGGGTTGGCTCCATGCTGCAGCAGGACCTTTACCACATGAAGGTGCCCCCCGTGGCAGGCCAAACTCAGCGCCGTGTGGTCATTATTGGCCGTCGCTCGGTTGACGTCAGCGAATCGACTCAGGAGGAAGTTGACGGTACAGAGGTGGCCGGCGCGCGCTGCCTTCATCAGGGCGGTGCGGCCGCCCTCGGCCGCGTGCTCCTGTGGAAGGACGAGGGGGGAGACAGTGTTACAGAGGGTTCCTGAGGTCGAGGATGTTGAAGATTGTGATCCATCAGTGGGAGGTTGGACATAACCGGAAGCAGTCACAGTGACAAATAAATACAAAACGCTGATACCTTAGCTGCATAACTTGCACTGCATTTTTGTAGTACGGAGTGCACTACCATACGCCACCAACCAGTCGGTGTAGTATACTTTTTAGTAGATTTTCCCTACACCTAGGTAGGTATATTTTGTAAAAGTTTCCCAACAGACACGACTCGCCAGCGGCGCTCCATGATAGAGCAAAACCTTCGACTACGTCAGTAGTGTATTTTGTAGTCAAGTAGTATCCACATAATACCCTACGCATGAAAGTACCCTAATAACTCCCTACTCACAATTATATCCTAATACCCAGCAGTGTATTATATAACAATATAGTTAAATCAGCTGTGACACTGTAGTGCAAATCTGTAGTAGATTCCCCTACATCACTCACCAGAGCGGCGCCACGGTCTAGCAGCACCTCTGCCACGTTAGTATGACCGTTCTCACAGGCGTAGGTCAGGGCCGTGTCGCCGCCCGTCTGGGTGACCGCGTTCACGTTGGCTCCGCGATCGAGGAGGTACCTGAAGTGGTAGAAACACGTTAGAATGAGATGAAAAGGGCAGCTATGCGGATCTAGGAAGGGAAGTATGTTAAGGCAATTGTTGTGGGTGGGGCGTAGTGGACGGAACAAAAGACTGGTCTAACACGACATTTCTGTGGACGCCGACTGCAGGTACAATCATACCCAAACTTCCCGTTTTCTTATCGTGACCAGCATCTGGGTACTCTCTACGGGTCATGGGTCCCGTGATAGTCCTAGTTTGTACTTCACAAGACACTTCTCAGGGCTCTGTGATTTCCCAGTTCCCCTATTATCCCCCAGTCGTTCCCGCTATTCCAACTGACCATCAAAAGGTGCCCCTCCTAGCCGGGACCCTCGTTACTCCCGTTCCCCTGCTATTTCCGCTATTATCCCCTAGGTAGTCCCCGTTTTCTCTCACCTGACCAGCTCGAGGTGCCCCTCCTGGGATGTCCCACGCTATCCCCAGTTGTTACCCTAGTTTTCTCTCACCTGACCAGCTCGAGGTGCCCCTCCTGGGGTGTCCCACGCTATCCCCAGTTGTTCCCCTAGTTTTCTCTCACCTGACCAGCTCGAGGTGCCCCTCCTGGGGTGTCCCACGCTATCCCCAGTTGTTACCCTAGTTTTTCTCTCACCTGACCAGCTCGAGGTGCCCCTCCTGGGGTGTCCCACGCTATCCCCAGTTGTTCCCCTAGTTTTCTCTCACCTGACCAGCTCGAGGTGCCCCTCCTGGGGTGTCCCACGCTATCCCCAGTTGTTACCCTAGTTTTTCTCTCACCTGACCAGCTCGAGGTGCCCCTCCTGGGAGGCCTCTCGTTGACACTCGCTATACCGGCGTTACCCCCTCATTATCCCAGTTCTTCCCCTATAAGCTCTCACCTGACCAGCTCGAGGTGCCCCTCCTGGGAGGCCTCCATCAGAGGAGTTGAGGCTCCGAGCTCGATGTCCGCGCCCGCCTGCAAAGCGTGGAAAAGAGTCAGAGACAGAACAGAGAAGCAGCTTTCACAGTCATCATGCGGGAGGGAGGGCGGAGCTTAGTCTGCGTGCGGCTGCGTATGGGAGTTGATGTTGCCTCCATGAGGTCTTTGAGTCCCACGAGGGGCGGGGTGGCGGTTACCAAGGCCTGACGAGACACGCCAATTCGTGACAAATCGCTCTATTCGATATAATTTTGCATGAGACATTAGTCCGCTGTCTCTCCTCGTCCCAATACCCCGTATACTATGATCCTTCATCATTCTTCCGTGCCAGCATTTAAGTCTACCACTACCTATCATACAGCCTTTCCTTCCATACCTGTATAAGGAAGTCTGCCACCTAGCCCAAACCGCCAAAGCAGGCCGTCTCCCGAGTCTCCTCACTTCTACCCTCCTTCTACCCCCATACTACCCCATACTATCCCGTCCATACCTAGATAGGGAAGTCTGTCACCTCGACGAGCCCGCCACAGCAGGCCAGCGTCAGCGCCGTCTCCCTCACTTCTATCCTGCTTCTACCCTCATACTACCCCATTCTACCCTCCATACTACCCCTATATTACCCCCATTTTACCCCATCCATACCTGTATAAGGAAGTCTGCCACCTCGACGAAGCCGCCACAGCAGGCCAGCGTCAGCGCCGTCTCCCTCACATCTACCCTGCTTCTACCCTCATAGTATCCCATTCTAACCACCATACTCCCATATTACCCCCATTCTACTCCGTCCATACCTGGATGAGGAAGTCTGCCACCTCGACGAAGCCGCCACAGCAGGCCAGCGTCAGCGCCGTCTCCTGGGTCTCCTCGGTCACGGCGTTAATGTTGGCCTCCTGGGACAGTAGCAGCGCCACCATCTCCTCATGCCCCTCCCTGGCGGCGGAAATGGTGGGTTCAAATCTCGGAACGGACGGAATTTTTACAGCCTGCAGGAGAGTAAAGTGTAAACCATGTGTTTTATCATTTATGACGGCGTTAATGTTGGCCTCCTGGGACAGTAGCATCGCCACCATCTCCTCATGCCCTCCCTGGTGGCACACAGAGCGGAAAACGTGGGTTCGATTCCCAGGACGGGCGGAAATGTTCACGAATGTGAATTTAGATATTTTTGATAAGATTCTTAAAAGCAGTGGAGTAAATATCCAAAGTGATTGAAGAAAAAAGATGACATATTCAGGTACTTCTGCTCTTCCAAGCTCTTGTCCCCTTATACACCCACTGACACCCTCTCGACCTAACAATCGGTCCATCCCCTTCTGAGACTGACCTGGAGGCCTCCATGAGAGAAGTGTGGCCCTCTTACCCCCTTTATACCCCCTCTGACTGACCTGCCGGCCTCCATGAGGGGCGTGTATCCCTCTTACCCCCTTCATACCCCCTATTACCCCCTTTATACCCCTTTGACTGACCTGGCAGCCTCCATGAGGGGAGCACATCCCTCTTAAACCCTTCATACCCCCTATTACCCCATTTATAACCCCTCTGACTGACCTGGCGGCCTCCATGAGGGGCGTGTATCCCTCGTCGTTAACCTCCTCGATGTTGGCTCCCCTGTCGAGCAGCAGCAACGCCAGCTCCACGTGGCCGCCGCAGGCAGCCAGCGTCAGAGGTGACTCGAAACTGTCCGCCGGCATGTTGACCTGAGGGGAGGAGAGGTCGGGTCAGGTCAGCGTCAGAGGTCAGCTCAGCGGCAGAGGTGACTCGAAACTGTCCGCCGACATGTTGACTTCAGCAGAAAGAGGGAAGAGTGCAGAGGTTAGGTCTGAGGCGACAGCTCAGGTCAGGGAAGATCAGGTTTTATCCTCTATCCTCTTCTTCCCATATCATACAGCGCCCTCATCCCTCTTTCAATCTGGCCTCGCCTCACTAATTTCACATATTATTTCCCAATAACACCTTCAAACTAGCAGTATATGAGTTTTCTTCTTCCATCCGTTTCTCTCCCTCTCCCCCTCTATCTCGCTCTCCCTCCCCTCCCCTCCCCTCCCCTCCCCTCCCCCTCCCCTCCCCCTCCCCCTCCCTCTCCTCTCCCTCCCCCTCCCCCTCCCTCTCCTCACCTGCGCGCCGGAGTCGAGCAGCAGCCTGGCCACCTCCACATGACCATCCATGCTGGCTTCCATCAGAGCCGTGTGCATCTCCTCGGTCTTATGTTCCTGGTCGGCGCCGGCTCCCAGCAGGAACCGCACCATGGCCAGGTGGCCCTTGTAGCAGGCCAGCGTCAGCGCCGACTCCTGGAGAAGGGGGAGAGAATGTTGTCAAAACAGTCAGAGCAGAGAATTTGAAGGTTGCCATTTGTGATGACTGAGGCAGCTAAAACCAGGGCAGGGGCGGGAAGGACAGAATGGGAGCATAGTCATCGCCAGGTGGCCCTTGTAGCAGGCCAGCGTCAACGCTGACTCCTGGGGGAGGGGGAGAGAATGGTGTCGGTCAAAGCAGTCGGTAATGATTGACAAGTGACAACTATATATGGCACATGACTGAGGCGGTGGTGAGACAGGAGCAGGGGGCGGGAAGGATAAAATGAGATTTAAACTATCGGCCAGGTGGCCCTTGTAGCAGGCCAGCGTCAGCGCTGACTCCTGGGGAAGGGGGAGGCGTGGTTGTTAGAACAGTGGTTTATGTTTGAGGCAGCGGGTCAGGGCGAAATCAGGATGGGAATCGAGCCACGGTCGAGTTTTTTTTTAGCAAGAGAGTGCAAAGCTGACATCTGGTGAAAGGGGAGGGGTGGCGGTTAGAGCAGTGGCATTAAGGCCAGGTTTGCAACAAGATGGACTCAAAAAGCTGCCTCTTCTTCCTTTCCCGCAAAACTAAGGCTCTCTACCTTTGAGTGTGACATCCAATTAATCGCCCATATATCCCCTTTCACCATCACACTCGGTATGCTCTCATCGTTGGCATCGCTTCCTTCGTCAATTGTGGTGCTAGCTTTGTATTTGGATTCCAGTTCCCGTTTTTCTCGGTACCTTGAACTCGTTGGAGTGGGTGTTGATGCCGGCGCCGTGCTCCAGCAGGATCTGTAACACACGAAACGGCAACGTCAGGAGCAGCACCGCCATAGACAACGTTCTCATGGAGGGCATCGTCGCAGAAAGCATGGGTGTGGACAGCACAGTCATAGAGATCGTGTATTGTTACACACAGAGATATAAAGAACAGCCAGGTGAACGAAGAACAGTCATAGGCATTGTGTATCGTCATACACAACGAAATATGCGTGTAGTGTTATACAATTAAACACCATCGTAGTAGCATGTTAAACATCTTCGGTATGTTATGGCTATGCAGAATCCTTAACGTGTTGAATATATTTACGTCACATTACTGATACCAGCATAAATTTGTCATAATGTTTGACAATTGTCATAAATACATAAGCAAATGACTTCGCTTTATAAGCGGATTTGGACAATGAGTATCGACCAAAAACCCGTTTGTAATACGCACTTATTATGTGCATGCGCAAGCCTGGCATTACTATTAGCATTTTAGCAGCATTAGCATCTGAGGCATCGCTGGACCATTTCGTGTCGTTCACCCCACCAGTATTGTGAGAAGGCAGACATAAACAGCATAGCTGCCATTGCTAGGCAGCGACGAAACGTCAAAACCATTCCAAGTTCGCAGTAGTAAACGGTATAAAACGTATGATGACATTAGTGATAGCAAATGTCGAACTCTTTACATGGCATTCTATAGCTACCAGCTGTGGGGTTCTCACGAGCCCGTCACGTGTTATTTCACACGTGGCCCAACCCAACATAGCACACGTGTTACTGTTTTGAGACATGCCAGAGGCCACGTGTGTGCCACGTGTTTAATATGCGTGTATAATATACCTAGTTACACAATACACCTTACACAAGCATCACGCATCAACCACGTGAAACACTGACGCAAATCAAAACGCATCAAATTGATCATGTGCCTCAAACGATTTAAGTTATGACAACCCACATGTTAGGTGTTAGACATACATGTGTAAACGCATAACATCACAGAACGTCACATCATAATTTCGCTACGCATGTTTCACGTGTCGCCCTACCACGTGTGTTCTTACCACGTGGCACACGTGTCCGGTGACCCCGACCCTGTCAGTCATCATAATCTCCCTACGTATGTTTCACGTGCCGCCCTGCCACGTCTTCTCTCTCACCACGTGCTACACATGCCCAGTCCCTGCCACGTGTTCCTGTCACGCTATGCATGTCACACGTGTCTCATCACGCCACGTGTTCCCACCACGTGTCACACGTGTCTCGCCACGCCATGTATTCCCACCACGTGTCACACGTATCCCCTCCCGCGCCACCACGTGTTTCCCACCCGCCACGTACCTGCGCCACGTCCACGTGTCCGGCCGAGGCGGCCTCCATGAGGGGCGTGTGGCCGTTCTCATTGGCGTCCTCGATGTTGGCGCCCGCCTCGAGAAGCGCGCGAACCACCTCCACGTGGCCGCCCGAGCAGGCGTACATCAGGGGGGTGTTGCCTGCGCGCGGGGAGAGGGGGAGGGGGGTTAGTTGGAGGGAGCGGACAGGCGTACATCAGGGGGTTCAGCTGCCTGCGCGGGAGAGGGAGGGATGGGGTTAAACGTTGGGGTGGAGGGAATGATGATGATGATGAATTGGTGTTTTTGGGCGCCCGGACTACAGTGGTCATCGGCGCCGGGGGTGGAGGGGTGATGGCAAGTGTCGCCAGGGAGAAAGGGAAGATAGCGCGCAAATGGGGCAGTTACGAACTCAAATCTGCGAGACAGGCACATGACTGATAGATGGACCAAAAGAGGTAAGCCCACACTACTGGCACTCAGTTTTAATACATGAATGACAGATCCAAGCGTAAACGAACAACTAACAGCAATCAAGCTCGACTGATTTTCATCCTTTCTTAAACACAGCCCATGTCAGCCAATGCATAACGTATTTCGTGCTAACACATTGACACATTACTCCTTCGGAACTATCTTCGTCCAGGGTTCGCTTTGGCGATCATTGCCATGACAACCAAGTTGTATCTCTCATGGCGGCGAAGATAACTCCATTATTGGACAGAAAGTACTTTTGCTCATTGATTCTCCGGAGTGGGAGCGCAACAACGCACAAGCGTCATCCGCGCGTTGTCATGGCAACCCGCGTACTACATGAGACGCTGGTCACGTGTGCGCTGATGGCGAAAGAAAGATCATGGACGGATAAAGTCGATTGCCTCAGGCATTAACATTCATGCGTTTATTGATCTATGTGCGGGATCTATTTGTGGACGTATGTGTGTATGTGTAACTTGGCTTTGAACTGGTCTTGGTGTTCAGAATATACTTTGACTATGTTTTACGTTTAATCGATCCACGGCCATGACTACATTTGGCCATGACATGACACGGCCATGACACTACTACAGTTAGTTCCTGAGCCTACGAGCCCTGTCTTGATGTTTACTGTGTGTATATGAAATACCTATAAATGTGATACACGCTCAATCAATGTTGATTTACACCAACTACTTTCCCTGCGTTCACCTTTCCCCGTATTTGCAGGTTAAGCTTTGAAAGTTATTTTACAGTATCCTTACCACATTACTTAAAAAAAAAACACACCTGAGCTGCTCTGGGCGTTGACATGGACTTGGTGTTCGATCAGTCTCCGCTCCACACACACACCAACTTTTTCCCAACTTCACCCCAACATTTCCCCAGCCTTTCCCCAATGAGTCACCTGAGCTGCTCTGGGCGTTGACGTCGGCCTTGTGTTTGATCAGTTCCCCAACATTTCCCCAGCCTTTCCCCAGCCTACCTGAGCTGCTCTGGGCGTTGACGTCGGCCTTGTGTTTGATCAGTTCCACAACAATACCCCAGCCTTTCCCCGACCCACCTGAGCTGCTCTGGGCGTTGACGTCGGCCTTGTGTTTGATGAGCAGCCGCACGACATCCACGTGGCCGGCCGTGGCCGCCTCCATCAGCGGCGTACAGTCGCCCTTCATACCGCGGTCCTCCACGTTGGCGCGCATGGCGAGCAGTACCTGACAGAAAGGGGGAGAGTCAGTACATGTACTTAATATTGTACGGTCAGAGGGGACGCGAGCTGATTTCAATGCCATCTTTGTCAGACTAGCTTCCTTGATAACCACTGACATGAAGTCCCAGCGTTTACATTTTCCCTCCGGTAAGGCTACTGGACTTCGCTGGCAACCCCTTATTCCTTCGTCCACTTATTCCTTTACCTTTTCCAATGCCTAACCCCAACTTGACTCTTTTCTAGACTATGCTAGCTAAACTCTTCCTCCACTGACCATTACTGGCATGTCACCATGTCACATGTCTTTTTGTCACCATGTCACATGTCTTTTTGTCACCATGTCACATGTCTCTTTGTCACCACGTCACATGTCTCTCTCTCACCATGTCACATGTCTTTTTGTCACCATGTCACATGTCTCTTTGTCACCATGTCTCTTTGTCACCATGTCACATGTCTCTTTGTCACCGTGTCATATGTCTCTTTGTCACCATGTCACATGTCTCTTTGTCACCATGTCATATGTCTCCATGTCACCATGTCACATGTCTCTTTGTCATCATGTCTCTTTCCCATGTCACATGCTCGCGTTCCTTCTCCTCGAGCTCACCTCAACACATATATTTTTACACAGTACCCTCCCACCTTCACTCTTATCTCACCTGAGCGAGTTCGTAGTAGCCCGAGTGGCAGGCGAGCGAGAGGAGCGACTCTCCCTTGTCGGTGGTTTCGTTGACGGAGGAGCCCTCGTCCAGCAGTCGACGGACGGCAGGGACGTTACCGTGCTGACACGCGTCGACAAGAGACGGTCTGTGGAGGGAGGGGGTCAGAGGTCAGTGTTGGAGGGTCATGGGTCATGTGAAGGGTCAAAGATCAAGGGAGAAATTCTGAGGGACACAGGGCGTCAGGGGCCAATGCACGTGGGGTTAAGAGGGGGTTAGGAATCAGAAGAGAGGACGGAAGGTCAGGGGTCACAGTCAGAAGTCAGGGGTCACGGGTCAGCTGAGGGGGCGAGTGAGGAATCAGAGTATTGCTTGAGATGGTCTGAGGGACTCAGAGGGTTCAGACCTAGAATGGCGCAATAAGAGTTCTAGGAGCACGAAGCAATGCTAGAAAGGTACGTGAGGTTCAGAAGAGATGACCTGAAGGACACAGTTTTTCAGAGGTTACTTGGACCTTAGGTCAACCGTCAAGGTCAACGAGGTAGCAGGTCATCATAGAGGGTTAAAGGGACAAAGGGACGGACATCATCATCAAAGGGTTACGTAATTAGCCAAGTATCACATGAGGGGTCACCGGTCAGCCTACAGGAACTCTGACCCAACTAGAATCCTCCCGGTCAAAGTCTCCACGAAACACGCCGTAAAAAAACGGCGACCCCGTCGCCTAGCAACGGCCGTGGCGGCGGGCGGGCGCCTCCACTTTCAAGGTCGCAGACGTCGTGGACGCATTATAAATAGACAGGGGAACAGGCTGTGTAGAGTGGGGGGAGGGAAGAGAGAGTGACGGCGAGTTCCAGGAGTCGTGCGTGGTAAGAGAAGTGCATAGGGAGAGAGTGGATGTATCTCAGTGACCAGCTGCAAGAGTCTAAAATTAGTCAATATTAAGTCAAAATTCACGTCGGCAATAACAGGAAAAAATGGTGAAATATGTTATATAACATGATGAGATGGCATTAAGTATTTCAAAGTAAATGAAACCGAGGGTTAAATGAGATAATTTTCAACTGCGAACCTTGCTACAACACAAAGAAGCCTTACATCAGCAAAAACGGACAACCACCACAAAAAAATGACCCAACATCGCCACCCGCCGTCGTCAGAACCTATACGTCAGACGACAAAACATGTCGCATTCCTCACCCCCCCCCCCCCCCCAGCGCGTTCTGTCCACCCCCAAACCTGTCTATGCCGGGTCCGTGACATGGCTTAGAGTGTAACGGCCACTTCAAGGACAACACGCATTTGGGGGGGGGGGGGAACGGTGATCCAATGAGCTACGCCTAAAACACGAAGCTGGTAAACATTGAAATAAAGAAATGGAACGGGACTAAATGTTCATCCTTGATTAGGTTTTCAATGGGCTAAGCATTTGATTGCAGTTTCTCGATCAGTGACAACTTATTTGTATTATTTTAAAGTATAGAGTTTTGCGGAAAAGATAATTGCAAAAAAATGCATTCAGATAAAGTATGAGAATCCAGGGATAATTGGTGAGAACCAAATTCAATTATAGGATCACTAATAACTCAGCGATCACAGACTGCGGTACAAATCAGCACAAGTTATGTAAAAGGTCAGGCGAACCGCAACGTTACCTTGAGCCTGCATGATTAAGCTGACATTCACGCTTCATCCAAAGATCACAGCACGACCTGCCCCAAGGTATCCTTCACCCAGCCCTACTCCACATAAGGTGCAGGTATAGGGCATGTCACTAGTCATGGACTCATGCGCCCGTCCCCCCCCCCCCCTCACCACCGACCATTCGCGTGACCCACTGCGTGCGCGTCTTATCAAGCCGCGACGCAAAAACACTCCCCTACTCTCTCCTCGCCGCCTCCCTCACTCTCTCCCTTCCACGCCCATCGCTATCTTCCGTTCGTGGCTTTGCGTGAGTGGGGAGGGAGATACATGGCTTTGGTTCTAACGACTTTGGCTTTGGTAATGGCTTTGATGAGTAAGGTGCGGTGAGGGCTAGGGACTGACCACAGGTGTTTGGTCGCCTCAGATGTGCGCTCGTTTTTTGTTTACTGCTTAGGTTTTGCCTCGGGCTTGCTTTTGCCTATCTGGTTTTTCCTCGAGTCTGGTTTTGCCTTCAGTTGTAACTTGCCCCTCGAGTCTGGCTCCACATCGTTTGCATTTTGTCTCTGGTCTTGTTCAAGCTCTGTCTTTTCTCCTACTACCCCCAGAAGGCTTGCCTTCTCTCCTGACCCAATCATGCCAGCATCTCGCTGTTTTTCCGATCGCCAATCACGTGATATCACTACCATCTCCGTTCGTCGTCACGGTAGAAAGTCACATGATCGGCAGACATCTTTTAGGGCGTCTCCTTATGACTTGGTGAGCGTCCCATATAATTTGGAAATTATTTAAATGCATACCGACCACAAAATTAAACATTAGATCAACTCTAAATTTAACTCAACGTTCTAAGAACTACACTGAAGAACTTGCCAAACCAGCCAACCTTTTCTTATGTTCTTTTAAGCGATCTATCAAGAAGATTTCCACCCTTTACAAGTTCGCGAGAAATGCCATCACAGATTCTAGCTAGACAAACCAAGGCCACGTATGTTGCTGAGTCACGATTCTAGTTTTTAACAACTTACAAATACAAATCCGCAGCGCTTAGCCGAGAGTTCTGCCGCTAAAAAGATACTTTTATTTGTTTATTGGGGCGTTAGGGCGCGTCGTCTGCTAAGGTAACAAGAAACGTTGTGTGCGAGAAAAACAGCTCCCTTCTTTAGGTCATTGGACTCTGTCTTTTATAAATAAAATTGTAGAATTAAATAGCATAGGCCGAACACGTAGCCCCCACGCATCACCGCATGACTTTCACTTTTGTAAAGCCACATCCAAACTCTGACCGCCACTCTATTCGTTTTAGCTCATCCATGTCCGAAATGCCACACAGTGAACCCCTGGCTACCAACTCCAGCTCCCAATATTGCATGACCGAACCACCGAGCTGAGCTCTGTGGTCAATGACCTCGTGACCTTTCAGTGACCTTTCGGTGATGCCTGTGACCCCGCCTCGCATCCGGTGACCTATGGAAACAACATCCCAGCTCCCCTCCTCCTACCATGCCCGAACCAATCCTGACGGCTTTATTCTTGAACAAAGTTCCGACATATGGCCTGGGAATTGTGGAAAAAACATCACAAACCATCTCCTTTCGCTTCCCGTTCGACGTTCGTCCTGACCAAGCTTGCCTCACATTTGGTAAAATGCCGATCAAAATACCTCAACTCAAGCAGAATGTCTGATTCTGGGACCACTACCCAAACGCACCCCCAGCTTACTCATAAGTCCCAAAGAAGGGAAGTCGACTCTGCAAAGCACCAAGCTCATCAAAACTTCTTTGGAATATCTGTAGACGAGACCGCGGGTCGTGACTCAAGCGCACCCTAACCCACCCACCCCTTTAAAAAGGACAATTGACTCTTCACAAGAACCCCAATAACGCCCACACAACACCAGCCATATGCGTCCCCACAGCGTTTTAACGAGTAGCGACAGCTGGTTTGCCCAAATAAAATCGATAGGCACCCCAGGCAACACTATTGACGCTCGAACACAGCCCTCTCCCCTCCCCGGGGTGCCCCCCCCCCCTCCCCTTCCCTCACGGCGACACCCATTCGATTTACGTCACACAGGCGTCACTCATGGACTCCCCCCCCCCCAGGTCCCCTCGGTCACCAATACCCCCCCCCCCCCCTCTCCCCGGGTTCACGGGCTAACGTAACCTACCAACGCGAGTCCAACGTCCGACGAACGACTGTTCACAAATCGATAGTGGCCAAATTCAAGGTTATCAGCGCGAGTTCGTGTGAATGGGCTTTTGAAAACAAACGTTATTGTGGATTATTACGCTAAATATGAACGGGGAATATTCGTATATGATGTAAGATCCTTCATCCTTGAAAAGTGAATAACACGAAACGTTGGGTGCTTTTGGTGTTTTTATCTTACATCATAAACGAATTAATTTGTCCAATTCAAATAATTAACATAAATGGGGAAATTAGATACATTCATGATCACTCACCAACAACTGTAATGAGCTTTTTCTGCTCATAACTTATCGAAAATGATCGACGTCTACGGGAAGCCAACTCTCCAAAATGTAGCATTTTATGTCACAAAGCTCCCCTTAGGAACAAGCTGGCTGATTCGACAGCCACAACTCGACGTCGTTCAGTCGGCAGTCACCACCGTCGCAGATGCATCGGTCGATGTTGGAGGGGACGGGGGCGGCGGACGGCGCCGGTCAACACGGGTCAACGCGGGGAAGCAGACGCTGCATCGCAATCGAACACTGCCGGGCATAGACCCCCCCCCCCACCCCCACCCCACTCCCCCCCCCCACCCCACACACACATACACCATGACACCAACTCGCCGCATTCTGTCCCAATATTCACAAACCCGCCGAGTTCCCATTCCTCAGCCTCTATCGCCCTTCCAGCGTCGTTCGTCAACTCTGCCCACACCACTGCTAACTAAGCTGACATTTTGGAATAAGTTCGAACGATATCTGGTTATCTGGTCACCCAATCATCTGACTACGCGACCAGGGAGAAAAAGCTCTGCATCGCCAGCAGAAACTTATATAGGTATCACAGAGCACCTTGTTAACAAGCTTGGGAAGCCCAGCATTTCTCAAAGAAAAGAAAAAAGTTCTGATATCATTTTCTCAGCTTTAGAGGTGAAACTCACACATGGCAGGGTCCCACGATTCCACCGAAAACGCCAATCGACTCGGGTAGGGTCACCGCCCGTTTCGGTAATTCAGTGTCCGTATTGACGTATTGAAGCAGACGGGCGGGCGGTGCCGCGGTGGGTCCAAGGGAGGGTGGGGGGCTACTCGATACTGATACAACACATACACATGGAAACGACCCACGTAACAGAGGTAGTGGCTGAATGGAATGGACGACCGACGGACGGGGCGGTGCTATACAGCAACTGAGTGGATATGAACCATGGTGATTCGGTGTGATGACATTCGCAAATGTATCAACCCCAAAACTAATTTAGTTTTATTTGTCTCCAAATGCTAGGAAATCCACTTCAATTTTCAAAGCCCACAAGGGTAATACCATCACGCATTCCAAAACATCAACAAAGCTCAGCCGTACCACACCACCAATCACGAGTATCTGGTAGCATCACGGGACCCACACCACCACCGCCCGTCACGCCGCGTCAGTCACACACTGTGACGTCACGCTATATGACGTCACAGCGGTGGCGGTGGCACTGACCGCACCCACGGCCAACTCAAGGTCGCCACTAGCGCGGCGGCACCGGTGTCCGGTTTGGTTCGGTTTGTGTCTCTGTCTGGTCTGTCTTATGTCTGGTCTAGCGTTTTGTTCATTCCCTGGTATGTTCGTCAGTTTGCCTATATGTCTAGCTGTCTGTATGTCTGCCTGTCTGTCTGTCTTTCCGTCTGTCTAGTGGCTGTCTCTCTCTAGTATGTCTGTCTGTATGACGGCGCACGTTCGGTCCGGTTCGATTCCGTTCGCCTGTCTGTCTTATCTAGTATTTCGTTCGTCAGTTTCTGTTACTGTTTCTCTCACTTTCATTCCGTCTGTCTTATGGCCTTAGGACGTTCTGTCTTTCGTTCCACCTAAAAGTTAGCTGCTTATTGTTCAAAATGTTTTCCAAGTAACACCTTGGTGTCGTTAGTCATTCATCCTTATCATCAGAAAACATGTGTACATTTACTCCATCCCAAACCGAATGACCCTGTCCTTTGGACACGACCCACGAATCTAGCGACAGACTATCGGATGTCTCTCGGGTAAAGGAGCAGACAACTTGGCTCTCGGCCAAATACGGAATGGATCCTATTCAACAGCTCCCAACTCGAATATAATTCAAGCCGTGGGTCTCAGGAATACATCACTAAGATGATAAATCACGACTTGTTGGGTGGCATTTCCAATGGAGATGATCCAATATTCGCGACATGAGGGTATTCGTCTTGTTAATGAGTCAACAAGTATGCATCGTGTTTCAAGATTTAACTCTAGCTTAGAGCTGTACTTCATGAAATCGTCCGGGAAGACAAAATAAAGTAAAATCAGAGGTCGAATGCCACCCTCTAAAAAAAATAATAAAAAAATACCAGCGCATACTTCAGAAATCAAAAGAAATACTGCCTACATCATACCCAGCCTGTGTTATGTGTCGAGCCACGTAGCCCAGACCTCCAGCAGAGTATCGTTCCAGCCAAGGCCCACATAAGCTCACCTCACCAAAAGATTACCCCAACTGTTAACTAGAAAAGTTTGCTTATAAGCTGGGAGTCTCACGAGCTAACTTTAATTACTTCCAAAGAAAGAACCAATGATGTAGAAGCTTTCGAATATCGAATGAATTAAAGTAACAGGGAGCAGCACCGCAAGAAATTGAATGACGAGGTAAAAACAATATTTTCAATCGCGGCTGACCAAACAAGATATCCACCAGCTGTGATTGCAGGCCCGACACTAAGGTCGATATTTCCGTGAATTAGCTATGGACATCCGGCTTTAATGCCTGTTTCCGGTCGCGCCAAGCCCGTTCCTTTCCTGTCGTTTCACTAGTTGGATCTATCGCAAACTGGAAGCCCAAACGGTACAAAGGATTAAGTTGCTATCATACGAGACAAATGATAAGTCGGTCTTGCAGCTGGAAAAGGATTTCAAGGAAACAGAACGGTTCGAATTTCATGAAGCATTTGACACGACCACGACGTATGAAAACCTAACCTTCTATGCAACCTTTGAAAGCAACAGGCACAAAATAACCAACTTCAACTACATAACCCATCCCATCCTAAAAAAAAATGCTGCCACGTCGAGATTCGAGCCCGTGACTCACTGGTTGTGGGAGTCGCCGGTGCTATCGCTGCGCATGCGCGTGAGAGCTGCGGCGGCCTCGTCCAGCGCCGAGCTCACTGAGCTCGTGAGCTTGCGGAGCACTTCCGGGTCAGCGAGCACGCGACTGCTGTCGGGGCTCTTACCGATACCTGGCGGAGAGCACAGGGAACACACCGAGTTAAAACAGAGTACAGGGAACACAACGGGTTAGAACAGAGCACCAGAGAACAGTGTGTTACAAGGAGTACAGCGAGGAGCACTCGACTGCTGTCGGGGTTCTTACCGATACCTGGCGAAGAGCACAGGGAACACAGCGGGTTAGAGCCGAGCACAGGGAACACAGCGGGTTAGAACAGAGCACAGGGAACACACTGTCAGTGGAGGGTAAACACAAGTCCTGATGAAGCACAGAGAATACAGAGGTTATTGCATAATATAGGGAGCACAGTAGGTTATAGCAGAGAGTACAGTGAGAGCACTGTGACTCTTGCCAATGCATTGGGGAAAAGAGCAAGGAACACAGGGTGACATGAAGAAGCACGAGGAACACAATGCGTTATAAGTTATAGCGGAATACAGAGACCACAAGTTTAAGCGGGGAGCGCAACGGGTCAACGTGGATCATATCGAAAAAAATCACAGTGGATCATATCGACGTGGGTCATAAAGAAGCATAGAGAGCACAAAGGGTTCCAAATAGGTCAGAGTACAGCCATCAGCACACATCAGCGCCAGAACACATCGTCATCAGAGAACAGGGTCATCAAACCCGAAACACCGTCAAACATCCAGCCAACAAAGCACAACCGGAACATAAAGCGTCAGTGAAAGCGTCGCTTTATCCGGCAACGAATGCAACAACAAACAATGCGTGAAATGTGTCTGACATTAGGACGGTCTCTAAACGCCCAAACGGCGTACAATGTTGCCGTGATGAGATGGCTTTCTGCTGTGAGGAAAGTTGAAACAGCAGTGGAGAGATATGGATGAATCGGGGTCCGGGGAAGGGTGTAGGAGTGAGGGAAGCGACCCAAGAACTGAGCATGGGAGGGCACCTCACCTAGAGTATGAGACTCATGAAAGAATTGTGAAGGAACGGAGCAGGGGCAGAGACTAGAGTGCAGGGTTCTTCATATGCGATCGCTTTTCACGGTTACCGTGCATTGTGCAATTACCACATATACAGTAATGGTTACCAGTTACCACATATCCTGAACCATTCACCGCTATCAAACATTCCGCTGAACAAAAAAAAAGGCAAATATTCGACCCTTCCTATTTGCACGATTCTCTACAAGATCTTCACGCCTGTTTCGTACACCGTGTGGTTATTCCACCGCGCCACCCGCTTGCCTTCCCGTATGACCGTACTGCCTATCCTGCCTAGTGCCTATTGCCTAACCTCCCCCTCCTCCACCCACAGTCTACTCTGCCTGCAGTGTTTACTGTACACTGTACAGTTGTATATTGTACTCTGTATATCCACCCCGCCCTCTCTTCCCTTTCCTCCCCCCCCCCCCACAACCCCCCGTTCCCACGGCTGTCCAAACTGAATAGCCGCGCCCCGGGTGTCGCCTGCCGCCAGCGACTGCGTACTGTTTGGTCCAACAGAACCCCCAGTCCACCAGCGGCAGCGCTGGCAACGACGTGGTCGATGGACTTTAGAGCCGCCGGTTTCGTGATATTGTTGGGCATGGATAGCGAAAAGAGCTTGGGGGTTTACGAAAGGAAATGAAAAAGGCGTGGGGGACGAAACAGGGAGGAAATTTGGTTGTGCTTGATTTTCTTCATATTTCTACGCTGCTAAATTTGACAAACAAACCAAAACGGCTCATCAACCCTCTAAGGTCGAAATGTCACCCACCTTATCCTGTCATTACCTTTAACCACAACTCAATAGCACAGCTCCCAAATTTCAACAGGTAACATTTTCCAATTTCCATCCCTCCCAGTTCCCAGCTCATTCTATCGCGTCCCGTCGGGCTAGCGTGACCGTCCGGCCGACAAAACCTGCCACTCTACTGCCACGTCACGAACCGCGGCCGGCGGCGGCCAGCTGCGCTGGGCCTGCCAGAACCTACCACAGGCGGCCGGGCGGCCTCAGACAGCTGGGAGAGAGAGTGGGGGTGGGGCAGAGGTAGAGGGACGCGTGAGTGGGGGTGGGAGAGATAAAAGGGATGGGAGGGATAGGGTGTGTGAGGAAGAAATTTCGGAGCACATGGGAAGGATGAGAAAGATGGAGAGGGGAAGAACGAACAGGCGACAGAGGTGGAGAGCGAACGCTGGAGCAGGAGGTTCGAGCAAGAGAAAGAGGAGAGAGAGAGAGAGAGAGAGAGAGAGAGAGAGAGAGAGAGAGAGAGAGAGAGAGAGAGAGAGAGAGAAAGAGAAAGAGAGAGAGAGAGAGAGAGAGAGAGAGAGAGAGAGAGAGAGAGAGAGAGAGAGAGAGAGAGAGAGATCAAATAAGAAACCTCCGCCCACAAGTGTCTTTTCACATGTGTTGGTCTGACAGTACTCTGTCCACAACTGCCCAATGTTAATTGTCCATCCACTATCCACTATTCCCAATCCACTGTCCAATCGCCCCCCTCGTCGTCACTGCGCCCCTCAAGAGCACCCATTAGCAGCACATATCCGCATTCCTATCAGACCAGGTCCGGCCCCCCTCCCCCCCCCCCCTCCCCGGAGCAGTCACGGCCGTCCACACCCCCACCGGGGTGTGGCTATCCCCCCCTCCCCTCCCCCCGGCTGGGGGAGTAGCGATGACGGCCACTCACGATAACTTGCAAATTGATCTGAACACTGAATAGATAAGGGGCCAAAGCGATCCAGAAAGTAGTAGCGAAACGGCGACAAACAGAGAGGAAACCACAACTTACTTAGATGTCTTACTTACTCTAGCAACTTACTTGCTAAACTACTCAACAATGATGGGCTACAATACAATTACTAGCAAAACCCTTAGATGTTCCTTTGTCAAACGATTAAAACAATGCCTTAGATTGTCGAAGGTCGTCCTGCAAAACCATCTTCAAGAGCGTCGTTGACGTAAGTGCAATCGCAAGAAGCAAGCAGCTTTTTAGCGTCCTTTTAATACAAAGCAAAGTGTATTCTGTCATTCCTTTTAATGCAAAGCAAAGTGCATTCTGTCATTTCCTCGGTCCAATATCCAATTATCTAAATCCCATATCCAGTGAGCACTATAAGCGCCATATCCCTACTATCTATCAACAATATGTTCCCAGACAGATCACACGAACACGTGATAGCCAGAGCTCATAGATCACAGGTTCATGGTCGCAAGGCCACATGTCCGATCAAAGGTATGGTGTCTCAGGTCACAGCTGACACGAACACAGCCACCGCCACCGCTCATACCCCAACCACATTCCACCAAAACCACATTCATTCTACCAAAACTAGCCATAGCCCCAATGGACAGGTAGCACCCAGCCATAGCTCTCATAGATCCATGGTCGCATAATGACCCTGCTGTCAACGCGTGCTAAAACCTCAACAAACAATGGCTCCAATGGCCAGCACAACTAGCCCTATCATCCCCACTGCCATCACCGCTGCCGCCATTCTCGCCGCCAGCGAGCCATGCAGTCGCCACCGTCATTGCCACCCTCCATACTCAGTCCCGCCATTCCCAGTTCCCACTCGCTATACCCGCCGCCGCCATCGCCAAAGCGATCCCACCCCACCGCCGCCGGCAGCGAGCCATTTCCCCGCCGCCAGCCGCCATCGCTAGCCATGCCGTCATCGGCCGGTGCGGCCGCCGCCACCCCTCCCCCACCGCCGCCGTCACTGCGGGGTCCGTGCCAGCCGCCAGCCGAGGGGCGAGGGGAGGGGGAGGGGAGACTGGACAGCCTCGGCGGCGGGTGGTGACTCAAAGGCCAGCCGCCGCCGCCCGGGCGGCTCGGCGGCTCCCGCTCCCAGCCGGCGCCGGGGCGGTCGCCGCCGCCGCCGCCGCTGCCGCCGGGGCGGCCAGTCGCTACCCAACTGGTGAGCGCGCCACGTGGGCTACAGCTGCGCCGGCCGCGGGCCGGACGGCGGAGGCGGGTGGTCAGTCTATCGCTGTACGCGGTACAGACTGTCATCATTGTCTCGCCGTCGCTGGCTATCAGTGTGGATTTGCGTTACAGAAGATTCGAGTACCAACAACTGGAGACTACGAGTAGCACATAGAAGACTGGCGAGAGCTGACTGAAATCAGTTCGCTGCGTGATTCGTGTGAAGTGACGCGATATTGTACGAACGAGTCGTTAATCTCCGTGCATTTCAGACGCCGGAAGTGGTATCTTGCATACAATAGGTGCCCGATATTTCCCCATAGAGGAACGGAAATAATAGATAAAAATATTTCCGAAGTGTAACGATGCGTGATAGCAGCAGTGTCCAAAGATGCTACAGATACGATGCGTGCGAAAGTGCGACCAACGAGAATAATACGCGAATGGATATGAACATGAGCGAGTGTTCAATGTGAACGAGAGACGGCGCAGATAACGTGGTGCGAGAGGGCCAAACGCGAAAGGACGTGACGTGATGGAACGTGACGTGAGATGACGGTATCGTCAGATTGTTTTTTTTTTTTAGTCAGACTTTACGTGAAGACGAATTTTATGCGCATTGTGACTGTGATCTGTGATTTGTGGGCGTAATTGCATTCGACGCGCATGTGATTAGACATGGAGAATGAGTGCTTTGTTGAACATTGAACGATACGATACGATACATCTATTTATCTATAACCAACATCTACTATTTGCGGGGATGATGTGGACGCGATTCGAAGACGTGGCAAAGTTATTTGCATTACTTTTAGGCCCGATTTGTGAACCTGACTTGTAAAAGAAATCAATAGATTTTGCTTGGGGCTGTGGAATACATGTTGAATAGATGTTGGAATAGAGTAATGCCACTGCGTTGAATAGATATTAACAACCAGATGTTCGCCGGCCAGCCAGTTAGAAAGTCGGTAAGTCACTGTCTGTAGAATCGTCAGCCCCCCATCAGCTATCAAATCTAACCACTTCAGTCATCAGCAAACTTTAGCTAACCAGGCCGATTCACTAACAAACTTTCCGCTATTCACATTTGTCATTTGCTAACCATTGCGATGGGCTCCACTGCTGCTAGCATAAAAACTAATCCAGTCAATCATCACACTAACCGTATCAGGCATATAACTACCAACCCCACTCACCACAACTAACCCAAACCCACTCGCCCCTCCGCGCACTGCCGAACGATTTCAGGGAGTCACCGCCCCACCACTAAACATGCAGAATAACGCTTACAAAGATCGAAAGTACGGTTCACGGACTCATTCGACTTCAGTTATACGAGACAGTTGAGAGTTCGAAGCGAATGAAACGAGCGGACCAGTTTGGATTCGAGCTGAGTTTGATGCGCCTCGGTGGACCCAAAGTAGGGAGGTTTCTTAGAAAGGCTATCTGGCAATGAAATCGTCAAAACTCGTGGTTTTAGTCCAGGCTATTTCGAGCCCGCTAAAACGAACTTCTGGGAGCAGTATCATTGCTATCCGATAGCCTTCATTTAGTTTTCTAACTTTGCCTAGCGAGCGATTCTTTAACATGTATCCCACTTAAGCTTGACATTCATTTTCATGCACAACCACCCCGTCTACGATTGGTCCGTTGTTCCAAGGCCACAGCCAGGTCAGGTCAGGTCATGGGGTCAAAGATCACTCACAGGCAGTCTCTATCAGGGTCTCGAGGCACTCTGACCTCTGGTGTTACACTGGCTATGTAAGGGGTCACAAAGTCAAGATGTGTCGTGCGGTCAAATACTACACTCCCCAGCTCCCAAGGGTCATGTCAAGGTCAGGTAAGGTCAAAGAGATCAAATATAACTCATCGGCAGCGTCTGACCTGGCAGACTCTCACCCCGCGTTCGATGTCTCTCGGACGACGAAGATTCTACGTCTTCCAAGGTCAGCGGGGGCTCGGCTGCGGTTATGGGACGTGATTGGCCGGACGGCGTAGAATCTTCGTCGTCCGAGAGACATCGAACGCGGGGGTCAGCCTCACTCGGGTCTCTGACATTACACTGGCTAGGTCAGGTGCCACAGAGATCACATCAGGGGTCACAGGGGTCACGAGGTCAGGTCAAAGGTCACGGTCTGCACTCACCGGCAGCCTCAAGCCGTGCCCAAAGACGCCACGGTTCTCGGATGTTACAGGTCACAGGTCAGGTGTCACAGGCCGGGCCAGGGGTCACGAGGTCAGGTCAAAGGTCACGGTCTGTACTCACCGGCAGCCTCAAGCAGTGCCTCGAGGCGCGCGCGGGTCTCTGGTGTCACACTGGCTAGGTCCGCTGGTGTCCCGGCTTCTGCTTCCAGCAGGAACTGCGGAGACAGAAGACGACCGGAGTCGGCGGAAGAGCCGTCCAGTTGGAACGAGTTCACCTGCCGGGAGGGAGAGAGAAGGGGGAGTTAGATTGGGGGAAAGAAAAGGGGAGAGACTGAACGGAGATAGGCTGGGAGGGAGTCAGGGGGGGGGGGTTATGGTGGACTAAACTGAACGGGACGACGAAGAACGATAAAGGGAAGTAGTTTTTTGATTGGGGAGAAAAAGAAGAGAATGAAGGTGGCGACTAAAAATGGAGGGTAAAAACAAAACAGGAACAAGGAGAAAGAAAGGTTGTGGGCCGTGGCATATTTGTCTGGTGACATAGAATCCCTAAAAGCATCTTCAATAAATCAATCAACCCACATGGCCATTTCGGCTTCAATATACTCAATATCATTCATCAGGTTAACAACATCACCAAAATCGTGCTGGCGGAAACCCAACCTCGGCGACTATTAGCAAACACTCAGGGTTAAAGGTAGTGTGCCAGCTTTCTTGGACCGTATGGAGTTAATGGCCCAGATATGGAGAACCGGATTTTTAGAACTTATCCATACCTTCAAAACTCATGGAAACGTCTTAAATTCTTCAAATTTTGAGTACCCCAGTGCGAAATTCGCCCCGACGGGTTGTCGGTCGTACCCCAACCACATTTCACACCACTATGAACAATAAATGCACACACTGAAATCGCTATTACCGATATGCTCATCCAATCAAGTTTCGATAAACCCGTTCATCATCATCTCCTGCGGTTTCGAACACGCCTGTTAGGTGGCTTCTGATGCTCGTCGAGGTCGGAATTTCCAAATACGCGTGGTGCGTCGGGCCGCGCGCTCTGACTTCGGCCAAGAAAAATGCGTCAGCTGATCATTGTCATTTCTGCCACTTGCGTGTGGTGAAATGGGGTCATAACTTATAAGACGGCTTTTTCATATCAATTATTTTACATAAAATCATATTTCAAACCATAAATAATGTTCGACAGCCAAATAAAAGAAACAATACCAATACGGGCTTACAGTTTAAGGCTCGACATTGTGTTGTCTACGATTAGACAGCTGATAACTCATTCCCGTACATCGTATGGTCGTAACACTATAATGACCTTTGCTTATTGTCACAAGTGCGCCGCATTCGCGATTGTTGCCCGACGCCTGTTTGCAGGTGAGCCCACTACAGTTGTTATACATATCTAAAAACCGAAAAACTTTTAGGCGAAAAAGGCACTATTCCAGGCCCATTTTTGATTTTTTTTTTGCGATATTAGGTAAAAACAGAAGCTTCTTATCCTAGGAAAAATAAAATGGGAAATCTTTCAAAGGTGGCACACTACCTTTAAGGTACGATGAATCAGAAACCCGTTACATGGCTCATCAACAGTCCTTCCTCAGGTAGGTCTCTTTGGTAAGCAAACGAATGGATGATTCAGAGTGGAGATGTATATTTCAACACCGTCGTATTATAATGAAATAACACGAAATATAGGCACCTACGGCTTTAAGTGTATTCGTATGTAGATTGAGGTAGAAAACTTATACATTAATGATGCAGTTTATACGTAATAGTCGTTATGTAGTTACGTAAAGCAACCTTCCGCCAGCCTTCAAACTATTACGCAAAACTCCGGGAAACTTGCATCTCCATAACTCTCATGATGTAAAAGCAGACAGACGTGGCTTTACAACACAGCGACGTCACGAAAGGATTTCCGGAACACGAGAGAACGTGGAATGGAAATGTCACGTGCCAAAGGTCATTGAACCCGTGTGACGGAGGGAGCAAAATGCAAGGCTGACTCAAGGCTAGGCTGACTCCTATATACGGCCTTGGGCTGACTGTTCGAGTGCCCTGGCAAAGGTATATAAGCCAAATATAAACGCAAAATGAGACGCGTTTACACTTATTTGAGTACCCGACAAAACATTGCCGCCCTGAAATGTGCAAAAGTTGTAAGATCTAAGGTTGGACAAGTCTAAAGTCGCGACAAGGCCAAACAATTGGCGTCAGCGGAGCATTCCTCTGTGGGGCTTTGGGGCGGATTCTGACGCGCATTTAAAAAGGTCAACTCATGGTTCCAAGTTTTGGCTGCGAGGTAGGTGACCGGAGCAGGGAAGGCGGCCGAAAGCCTTTGACTAGCATTAAAACTTGTAACGCGTGAAAGATTACGACACTGAAGTCTGAACTCAAGCCCAGTGATTTGAGTTAAAGGGTCAAATCAATCCTAGCCTCAGGACCTTAGGGTGGGCCTCGACCCTGGAACTCCTCCCCCTCACCCTCTCAGGATAAAGCCCTGAAAGTCAGGGCCTTCGATAAAAGCAAACCACTGGAACAAATGCAAAATCAAAACATACCAACGACGCAGACAATCCTCATGCACTTTAAACAATTCCCTGGAAACCATGCCCCAAAAGGACGCGGAAATGTAAGCACTCAACACGAAATGCATTACAAGTACCTAAAAGAAAAATATACCGATTAACAGCGATATCATGTCACGGAAGAAACCCATAACTTGGAGCACGATTCTCAGAATCAAACATAATAACCGAGCCAGGGAAGGCGGTATGGCAATGGCGCCGCGTACCGGAGTCAAAGCTAAGCCAAACGGGTCCCTAGTCTGTCAGCGTAACGATAGGGACAGTGCGGGGGCACGTCCCTCGCCCTTAGTAACATCAATAGGGAATATAGTTAATGCCGTGGACGAAACAAGAATGTCTCTAGCCTTAGCAACATCAACACGAAACAAAGGACCGCGGCAGGCATAGGTATGTCACTCGTCCTTTGTGACAAAACAAGGAATCTGACCGGTTTGTTGCTGACCAGCTACATAGCTTTAGCCGGGGAAAACCCAAGCATTCCCAGACTGCAATGTCATCCGTGACCACCAAGGTAAAGGACGGTTCACATGAACAAATGCAATGTCATTGTAAGTAAGGGGATAACCGCAGGTTGTTTGAAAAGACAAACACTATTCGTTAGAATTGTGTTTTTCTATTGAAAAACAACCGGAGCGGTCGTTCTCCGGGCTATGTATCGGTGGTTACCAAGGTAAAGGGCGCTTCACATGGGATTGGGCATTAGACATTGTATCGTCCATGTGAGGTATCTTTGCATTTCAATCATTCTCTGTTAGGGAGTTACTCCCGATTTGATGCTCAGCAATGGTAGAAATAAGAACTGGCATGAAAGGGGTAACGAACTAAATAGGGCTGACTTTTCCAAACTAGCGCCATCGCAACGCCGAGAGCGGCTAAACCGATCAGCCCTACGGAAAATTCCATCCCAGCGCCCGGCCAGAAAAACAAGTCACCAGGCACACCCGAAGGGTCACTCCGGGCAGCGAGCGTCCAAAACATTCCCCGCTCTGTGCCCTCTCCCCCTCCCCCACCCCCTTACTCCCCCTACAACCCCCGATACAAAGGTTGGGACTCGGGTCGGGAATAGAATGGGGTAGAGGGAACCAGTTAAACCCGGTAGCAGCACGATAAAGGCGGCAATAATAGCGTAAACGGCTGCCCCTCGACTCTCGTCCCCAGGCCATCGGCCCTTTCCCCCGCCGCCCCAACTGACCCCGGAAATTCAGCTGAATTCGATTCTACTTGGATATTTGAATATTTCAGGAAAGCCAGTCGACAGAGAGAGGAGGAGAGGCAGAGAGGAGGAAGATCAGGCGGAAAGGAGGATTAGAGAGAGATGGAAAAATGAGGAAGAGAGACACGGAGATGAGGGAGTAAGAGAGAGGGATAGAAAAGAAAATCGCGAAAAGAGGATCGGAGTGAAGAAGAGCAGAAAGAAAAGAGGGACATGAGAGGGAGAGAGGGAGGGAGGGAGAGAGAGAGAGAGAGAGAGAGAGAGAGAGAGAGAGAGAGAGAGAGAGAGAGAGAGAGAGAGAGAGAGAGAGAGAGAGAGAGAGAGAGAGAATCAGGAAACTCATATGACAGGGGCTACATTCCAACACCACTGTGCTAATAACGGAGCCAGACTGCCGACGACTGGTATGGAAACGACAGATGTTCTGGGTCCCCCTGCTGTTTTCCGACGTGGTGTAACCATTGATCTTTGACATGTCTGTGTTACGAATCGGTGGCATATCTTCCTTGTTTTGCCAGTCTTGCTGGTTTTCCGTTTAGTGATGCTGTTGGTGTCATCTGCAGTTATGGCATTGTTTCGGCTAAGATGCCACAGCAAGGCACAAAGTACGGCTTCAATGTATTGCTTCGTCCCCGTGTTGACCAAATTCATGTCCATATGCCACAAGCCACTTACATCTTTGGTTGGTCTTAATACCTACTAACCAGCCTCATAATGAATGATCTCGTAACACTGAACATTCACCAGGACAGTTTCACTCTTCCCTCAACAGCTGACTGAGCTATCTGTCATTTTCTTCAGTGAAAGCTCGCCTAAAGATGCTACAGACTCTTGAATTATGTAAACATTATCTCGTCTTATCTCATTTTGAAATAGTAGCTTTTTTTTGCTAGTGAAACTTACGACACAATCCATTCCACAACTTGTCACTGCCCTGCCCTGCCCTGCCCTGCCCTGCCCTCTCCTCTCCTCTCCTCTCCTCTCCTCTCCTCTCCTCTCCTCTCCTCTCCTCTCCTCTCCTCTCCTCTCCTCTCCTCTCCTCTCCTCTCCTCTCCTCTCCTCTCCTCTCCTCTCCTCTCCTACCGTCATCCCGGCCGTGCCTTTGGCCTCGATGACAGCTCGCTCGGTATTTTTACCCACCACAGCAGTTCTTATGCACAGACTCTTCAGATGAAGAATTTGAAGTCAACATTGAAACATACCCGCTCGAGACCTTTCGTGTGACCTGTAGCGAAACCCATCGATGCTGTGCCCACAGAAGTTTTCATCCCTGATGCGAATTCGCTGTAGGAAGTTCGCCCTAAATGACCAGACTTTGCAACCAGGATTCGTGTCTCCTGAATTGCCCAAAGTTTGCATTAGCTGTCTCCTTGATGGCCAATGGCAATTCATCTAATCGAAAGGCACATCCGAAGACAAATTTTGGGAAAAAGCTGCTGGTGTGTGATACTGGAAATCGAACATTTATCCAAAATGACCATACTGATCAACTTATAGTTGATCTAATTACAGGACGATTTCCAACATTAAAGACAGCTTTCACGGGTGGAAAAATGCTTACAGATTTAATACTACCCAATGGAAAGCGAAGAATAGGTAACCATGAACAAAAACCATCTTGCCGGCAAGCTATGTTCTTCCGCAATGGTGCTGAACATGATCAGCATCGACGATATACAATCGCATATACTGTAAGCATGTAGACACTATACAACAGCTTTACAAGCAGCAGCAGAACTATCAGCTCCCCAGCCTGACAGCCGTGGCTGGGTCCCTTATGCCCCCTCAACACCAAACCCACCCGCCCAGGCCCAGCTTTAGCCCACGCCAGCTGAGTCCCATGACCGTCGTGATCAGTGGGATGGAAGAGGACCCGCCGGCGGACCGGAGCGCCAGGGTCCAGGCACCAGGGAGGGAGGGTGAGGGGAGGGAGGGAGGTGCGGCTGGTCATCCGCTGGGGGAGGAGCAACGTGGGGAGGGGACGGGCGCTAGACCACACATGAGCAGACAAGGATGTTCTGAGACCGTGATGAGGAGGGTCAGGAGATGGAAGATGGGAGAATATGCAGGCGGAAAATAAGAGAAAATTGGAGAGAACAGGAAAGAGGGGGACGAGAAGAAAAGGGAGAATGGGCGAGTGAGAAAGCGTAAAGGTAACTGTTTTTCCTCACCAAAAAAAAAAAATCATCATAAATCTACGAAACAGAAGCACCTGCGGGATTGTCCGTAGAGGATGAAAAAGCACCAGCCATGAAACACACAGCATGGGAGAAAATGCGCAGTTACTAGGCCAGCACAGGTGAACCGAGTCGAAACAGAGAGAGGGAGTGATGAGGGTTGAGGGGACAATGAGAGAGGAGGGGAGGGACCAAGGTCAGGCCAGATCCGCGTCGTTGTTAGGGAGTGGTGAAGGTGGTAGGAAAGTCGGGCTGGAACGGTGTGGAGGAAAGAGGAAGAGAGAGAGAGAGAGAGAGAGAGAGAGAGAGAGAGAGAGAGAGAGAGAGAGAGAGAGAGAGAGAGAGAGAGAGAGAGAGAGAGAGAGAGAGACGAAGCAGGAGCACGCCAGATTCGGCCGGCCGTAAGCGAGGGGTTTCGCGAAGCATATCCCCTGTGGGCGGAGAACACAGCGCCGCCTGGTGGACGGGGCGGCCGCAGGCGCAGGACAGAAGGGGTATAGGGGAGAGAGGGGGTGAGGACAGGGAGAGAGGGGGAGGGAGCGCGGCAGGTGGCCCTCCGGTACAGACCGGACCGCCGCCGGCCTGGTGATAACGGTACACCAGTCCCCGGGCAAAACACGACATCGCCGGAGGCGGACCGCGGTGAGAGGGGGTGAGAGAGGAGAGAGGGTTACAGGGGAGGATGGAAGGAGGGAAGGAAGGAGTAAACAAAACAGCTGACCCCGAGCGGGGGTTTTGGCCGCCAAGACTGTAGAGCTGCAGACGCAAAACGGGAAGGCGCGAAAGCGAAAAAAAGAAGGGTCAGTAGTAAGGTAAAGAAAGAAAATAGGATAGAGCTTCCGAAAGGGTGGGAAAACAGAGAGAAGCATCGACAGGGAAAGAGCGAGAAGAGAGAACGACGGATGGAGAGGGCTGATGAAAACGAAAGGTGTCGCGGCCGGAAATTCAACAAGAATCACAATGCAATACAAACCACACAATAATTCTATGCTACTTGGATCAGGTTGCAACTAACGACCAAACAACTTAAGCAGAGACAGTCGAATTCCTTCAGAAAACCTGCATCTCTAATCGTGCTAGGCCCGCTCCAAACACCGACCGGCCGCAGCGGCAGTACGCGCGGTTTATTCTCACGCCACCAGACGGTTCTGCTGCGCACACAGCTTATTTTCAGACACCCATGGGAGCCCAGCAAGGTTCGAGGGAATGGAAGAAATGGTTCTGTCCAGGAATGGAAGGAATGAACGACCCGCCGTAGGAATGGTAGGGATGTATTTATGCATGGCATTACATGTTGATAGATATTTTTGTTCAAGGACACCGGTGATGCGTTCGTCAAGTCGTCGATAACCGATGGCCATCAACGTTATTGATTAATAGGTTGGATAATGGATAGCCAAGTATCAGAGAAGAGCAATAACCAGTTAGGCTAGGCACCAAACCATGCACAGCATTATTGTGCGTATGTCCCGTGCAGACTGGGCAATAAGCAATCACAGACAAAGTACCAATAGAAGTTAATATGAGCGTACACACCATATGAATGAATGAATGAATGAGTGAATGAATGAATGAATGAATGAATGAATGAATGAATGAATGAATGAATGAATGAACTATTGTACAAATGAATGATTGAATGAATGATTCAATCAATCAGATGAAACAGCAAGACTTTGCACGAGTCTGCAAACCAAAACTGTGAGGAGGTACCACAAATTCCATCAACTTTGAGGAAACCCAGGCAACTATAACCGCCAAGTTATAATGTAACTGCCACTTACAAAACAAAACCAAAAATCATGACACCTGAACACTCCCCTACCCCCCCCCCCCCCTCAATGGCTTCACCACAACTGAAACTGCCGCTCATTTCTACAGTAGTGCACTCCCCTCCCCCTACCTCACGCTACTTTCATTCATTCAACAACCCACACACCACTCGCCGTCCGCCGGCCGGAAGGAAGGAGCACCTTTGAGTAGTCCACGTGGTGTGATGAATCACCACAGAACCACACGGGAGAGGACGACACTACACCGTGAGTGGAATCCCGCCGTGAGCCGAAGCCGTGGAGTAAGTGGGATAAAACACTGCTAAATGGGTTGTTTTAACACCACTAAATGATTATTTTGCTAGACAGGAAGAAATATCGATAGGTTTTTGTCACCGTACCAATTTTGGGCCCTTTCTTATCACAATAAGACATATTTATTTTTATGATAATGACATACCTATTTTGTGATTTTGAAAAGCAATCCTCCAAATTTTAGATCCCTTGACATGAAGTAATAACATTTCCTCAATTTGGCTCGGTCTCTAAATAACTGCCTGAATGGGACCAGCAATTGTTATCATGAGTGAAGTTGGGTATAGTAATAATCATTGAAGTAAGTTTGTATTCCCATGAACATAGGAAGTCAATCACAAAAAAGTTCATAAGATTAAAACCTGATTTTGGCAATCAAGATGCAACATTTCAGACCTTTTAATTGTGGTCAAGCATTGTTAATTAAGGTTTCGGCATTCTAAACAATATCAAGTAATTGTCAAGCAGTTAGAACTTGGGTAACAAACTGAAATAAAAATAGAGGTTGAAGCACAATGTTGTCCTCTAAATAAATTATGAAAGGGAGAAAAATGCCTAGTGGCCAAAAACAAAGCTATGCTCTAAATGGCTTATCAAAAGTGTCAACAAAGTGTTGTCAAAAGTGTTCTCAAATTAGTCAACTAAATGTACCATAAGGTAAGATAATATAATTTGAAATCAGCATTGAGCAGAAAATATCAAGCAGGCCGTAAAATATATATCAAAGACACAAAAAATTTGACATTAGATTTTGAAGTGATTACATAAGTGTCCTTTCATGATATATAATTGTATTGCTAGTTAGGAGTCACCAATGTCAAACTAATGTTCAATAAGTCTGGCGTTTCAACAAGGCATTGCTAATTAACCACAGCAAAAAAAATTAAAAGTGAGGTGAATTTGTATCAATTTGATTGCAAAAACTAGGAAGTGTTTCAGCAGAACTTCACATGCTGTCACTATCAATAGCAATCAAAAATACAAAATACAAGCAAGTACTGTAGGTATATACACTTATACAGTGAATATTTGATATTAGCAAATTTTCATAAAGGTAAAGGGAAGCCTCCTCTGTGCAAAGCTGCATCTCTAGGACATATATTCAGCAAAATATGAATGTGGAATTTCAATGTGGAGTAGGCAAATCAGTAGGTAATAGAACAATGTGTTAGGCACAGGGTTTCATTATCCAACATGGGTACTATTCATCATATTCAGTCAAGGTCAATTATAAAACAAAGAAGAACTTAAAAACAATATGCAAATATTAAATAAAAGAAAGCAAATGCAAGAGAAAAATAGAAAAGTAAGAGCAATAAAAAACCTTAATTACACAGTCAACTTACAGAGCAAAGACAAGAATTCTAAATCCGCAGAATGCCACGGAATGGAGATGATTCGTTTACTTAGGAAAGATAGTTCAAGTTGATAATAAAGTGCTGAAAGAATAAAATTATTTACATTCAAAGAGAGCATTAGCCTATCATATCAGGTAATGAGAGCCAGCCGAGACATCAACACAAGTCTTATCAGTCATCATGGCAGCCCACCATGCCACCACATGGTGAGCCACATTTGTCTACAGGAAAAGAAAAAGAATTTATGATCAATATGATAAAATTAGAGCTCAAATTATACAACAGCAGGTACGAAAATAGTGATAAGAAGCACTTTCAATGGTCAGATTGGTTGACTACCACACCTATACTAAAATACACACTTAACTTGATATCAAAAGAAAAACCGCATTCGTCGCACTTCCCCGGGGGCGCAGATTGTACTCACGGGAGAAACGTCGGAGCTGTCACTTCCAGATCCTCCGAGCATGCAGTGCATAAACCCGGGGATTCTCTCGTCGATTCCTTCGGCGCCTCTCCTATCTAACTCTGAATCAGATAGGGATTGACCCGAAGATGCACTGACGGGAGCAGCTTTCTTGCCGCACTTCTTCACCTTTTCCTCGCCGCTTTTACGATTTATCGGATTCTTCAATTTGTCTACATTCTGCATCTTTAGATACAGAGATGTTTAAGCACGCATCTGACTCGTTTTTGAGTCTCACTCTTACACACAAATCACTTCACACAATGGCGCGCACCTCACAAGCGGCCTCGCAGAACATCAAGCGCCATATTTGCTTCGGGTTGACGGTCCGATCACGAAGTTCCCGTATGTTGCCACCAAATGGTACGGTTTTTGTTTTTTGGAAAAAATAATCAGCATAATCTTGCGTTTCTTCCACAAATTGAGTGTTTCCATATCGATATATTTTTTCTCTAAGCACAAAATAATAAGGACAATACATAATTGACATCAAATTTTACGAAAATCCTCATAACTTTGGGACCAACATCAAGTAAGATTGAAACCGTACCATCACTAGGCATCACGAAAATGGGCTGCCAACTCTAAAGCTTTCTTCATTGAAGTTTTCCTTCACCGATTTATAATGGAGAAAATTGGAAATATACAACCCGTTGTTCTTGTAGCTTTGTAGGTATCTTATGACAAATTGAGCCTTACCGATGGTTCATGGAAAACTGGAAAAACCATTTTTAGTTATTTCGTCTGTCTGATCCTCAGTTGTCCGCAGTGAAGCACAGTATCACTGTGCCACACTCGGTGGTATGAACCCGCCGCCCGGGATCGACTCGGCACTCGCTACGGAGCTTTAGAAGCTCAAACACTTCCAGAAGCAAGTGTCAGATCAAGAACGGTGACAATGGTGGATGGTGGCTCAGTGGGAAGAAACTCACCACAAAAAAGTGTTTGATTTCCAAAAGCTTCTGCCTTCTAAAAGACAAAAAAAATCCTTCTGTGAGTTGTGACAAGGCACAACTTTTCACTTGCAACTGTTACGCACATTTTCTAATTTTTCAAGTTGTTAGGTATATTGCTGAGTTGACTGTTTTGAAACGAAATCCATCAATTGTATTTGTTTATTCGGAAGCTGCTAGAGGGGCGGAGCTGCTGCCCCCCCCCCCCCCTTCCGCCTTTTGTGAATCGGTCAATTTTTCAGGAGATGTAATTTGATTGGCCTGTAGTGTCCGCTCCAGTCGAGATCGTGAGTGACAGTGTTACGGTAGGGGCGGGGTGAAGTGGAGGTGTCTCCAGTGAGTGTCGAGCCGGTTCTTGAACTCTTTGAGAGAGTAAGTGTCTATGACGGATGATGGTAGGCTGTTCCAGTCGTTGATGACTCTGACTGAGAACGCGTCTCGATGAAGGCGGGGACAGCGTGCGGCTTCACAAGACGTCATGGGTGCCCTCTTGCCTCTCTGGCGTATCTGTTGAAAAACCTCTGGATTCAATTTCCCGTCCAGTTCATGCAGTACACGATTGACACATTATAAAGTTACTAGTTTTGTTTCAATGCATTGCATGCGCGTAAACACAAGGCTTGATTTATTGATTGATTGATGGTCGGATTTTCGGAAAAGGTAATAATTCCCACCAGAAACGTCAATAGTTTGATGTTGTTTTAACTTGTACACAGACCTGCGTCATTTTGGACCCGTGACTCAACTAGCTCACTGCAAGTCTGACCCAACAGCTTGGACTGGATTCAACGTTAAATCATTGAGAAGTGACAAACAATATTCGAACGCTCGTATAAAGTAATCACCAAAGGTAGTTAAATCGCTTTTTCTCAGTTAAAAATGGCGTCGCCCTTTGCAATATGACGTTCGTAGATCAAGGTCACATAAAAGCACTACACGTCTCTAGACGTGTAGAGCCCGCTTTGCTTCTCAAGATCGGCAGTAAGCAGATTGGTGATTGCACTCAACAATGGTGGGGACCGGTTGGAAGAATCCACGGCACAAGGTGTTTGGGCCGGGACACCGCCCCGCGCATGACATTCACGTAATAATTGGTACATTTTCGGAATATGCAAAAAAAAAAACGAATGGCACTTACGACACTTGAAAACGAAACACTTAGTATCGACAAATATCCTGGTCGAATCGAATCTGTTGGGGACCGGTTAGAAATGTCCCGGCACAAGTTGTTTGGGCCGGGGTCTCTCTGCACGTGCACACCTTTCGGGAGGTCGCTTCTCCGTGTCTAGAGCCACTGGACCGACTGCACTAAAATAAGCTACGTGATTAATAAGAGACCGATTAGATGAGTGAAACGCATAAATTAGTTAAAGGTTTCTCCTTCAATGTCTGCATGTGTGGACCCTCTGTTGCCAAAAGGCGCTTTACTGGCATATTTTATCCCGGCGGCCGCTGGGCCTCCGCGCCACCCGCCGGCCGCTGGGGGGGGGGGGGGGCATAAAGTTGCCCCCCTTTACTTCTGCGACGATATCGTCGCAACGCGAAGAGATAGAGAAGCGAAACTTTGCACACAGCTTCCTGAATACCTAGCCGAGGTTGTGCCCAAATTTGGTGTCGATCCCATTTGAAATGACGTCACAGTGACGTCATAAGTGAAATTATAGATTTGCGACTCTCATATTCCTCACGATACAGCACATATATGGGACCGAATATAAAGGGCCGATTATTGGTCAGAAACTAGATGGAAGTGTAGTAAGATGTTTTAGGATGACAGCAGGTGCTGTCTAGTTCATTTACAGTCGAGTTTCATGCTCAGCGTCATCAGAAACGGTCCATATCGGAAAACGACAAAACTTTATGACGTCACTGTGACGTCATCTTAGGTGCTACAACCACCAAACTTTCCTCAAACATTGCCTAGGTATTCATTTGAAGCTATGCCAAGTTTCACGTTCGTAGCTCATCAGGTTTCGGAGATATTTCACAAAACGTAAAGGGGGGGCAACTTTATGCCCCCCCCCCCCCAGCGGCTCGTGGGTTATTGGGTTGGACTAAATGATCTGATTCGACTGAGCTAAAAAGAGGCTGCACAGTATGAGAGTCTGACCCCTTGCACGGGGCTGCTAATAACACGGTTACATAATGTCACTAAAAAAAGATCTACCGTTTCCAGTTGTCACATCTAAGCAAATGAAGGGCAGGCTGTCGTTTTTCCATTGATCAAGAAACTGGCTTATCAAGAGACCAGGACTGGGTAGAAAAAATAATGTCGGGAAAAATTGATTTAAGATTGAATGATAGATCTTACAACGCCATGGATGCACATTGCACAGGGCCGTGAAGTGCCCTATCAGTTTTCCACTCCCGACCGTAGGTGGCAGCACCAGTCGTATGACAGTTGCGGTCAGTTGAGGGATCTCGACTGTCATACAGATGGCAGCACTGCAGAACTGCATACAGCGCCATCTACACAAGATGAACATCACGTCTGGTTATAGAGGGGCTTTTGCGTGTCTCTAGCTCACCCGTCCGTCGTTTCTATCCTCAGGATGCTAAAATCCTTCTCCTTCACGCCGCAACCCTCAGTCCGCGCTGGACAGGCACCTTTATCTCATGCGGGCTGCTCCCTTGGAGCGGCACCGCTGCTCCCGAGGGAGCGCACCCCGTACCCGTGTGCAGTGAGTGCTGGGGGGGGGGGGGGGGGGAGGGTCGGCCTGTCCTTTCGGACGGGCTCAGCCCCGGTGTCTCACTAGGATGCCCGCCCAGACCGATGTCTCCCCCTAATTCCTTTCATCCTTCCGGCTCTGAAATGGTCTTACTCTTGTCAGACCGAAAGGGCAAGAGTAACAACTTTTTTTTACTTAATTTCTCAAAAACGGCAAAACGTGCAATAACGGTCTATATGTCATTGGAAAGAGCATCAAAAGTCGTATAACCTATCAACTTTTCACTTAAATATATCTTTAACGTAAAAAGTTATTAAGTGACAAAGACGCTCCCATTGACTTTGCATGTTAAAAATTTTCTTTTTTTAACGAGCTAAAAAAGACCAAACGAATTCTGAGAGCTTAACGAAGCATAACAACATGTTCTATGGTCTTTTTTCAACAAGTCCTGAAAGTTCAAACAAAATCGTATCATATGATTTTGTACAATGAGCGAATGAAAATTTCTCTGCAAATACGCCCATAGACTTAACATGGGGAGCGAAAAAAGTTCAACTTCAAACTCGTGCAACTCAAGTTAACGAATTCTGACGGGTATACGGCGAACACGGGCGTGTACCTGAACGTGTCGGCCATAAAATGATGTGCAGCAAACCATACCTTGATCCGCGATTTTTTTCCGCCATTCGCGATCGCGTAAAAAGTGTCCAAAACCCCGTTGACTTAACATGGGAAAAATGGACTCGCACGTGCCACGTGCCACGTGACAAAAGGTGAAGCGAGCATGACTTCAGTCCGATCAACGACCCAAAGGACGGGAATTCGATTTTCTCTTTTTCCTTAGCTCCTAGAAACGGCAGAAGGGAAACAACTTTACTACAATAACATTATTGATTGCAGTGAACTTATTAAATGAAAATTTATTTTTGATTACTTACGGTAAAGTTAACTTGGCGTCAATTTTTCCAACAGAAAAATGGCTTTTTGCGGTTATTTTTAAGTATAACTTTTCAGATGTCGTTTGTATATTGGAGGGACGAAGAAACTTGTTGCAATGTCGTATACTCATTTGTTACCCCGAACGATAATCTGATGGCCGGAGATGTACCGTTTAGCGTTGTCCTGACACCAGCGTTTGGTGTTATTCTGACGCCTACTGACACAAGAGCCGTTACGATAGTCTCAGGTCACTGAGTCATGACGTAACGCTTGGAGTCAAGACGTAGGTACTGAGGCCATTGGAAACTGAAAACAAAGCTGGGACGCAACTAACCGTGAATAGTATTCATTTGTTTATTTCACGTTATCCAGCTCACAATATCACAAATCCATACACCATTACCGTTCATTACCTACAGTTAGTCGCATAGCTGCCATAAACAATCAGACGGAATTTGACAATAAACACATAAAACAAGATGATCTTAATAGCGCCACAATAATACATTGTCGTGAATATTGGCTGGTGTGTGAAAGCGGAGAATACACGTGGATGCAACTGCAAGTATTATTGTTTTTGAACCCATATAGGTATGTATTTTCCTGATTTGAAAACAACCTTAGGTATCTGAGATAAAAAACAATCCAAAGATAGAGAGAGAGAGAGAGAGAGAGAGAGAGAGAGAGAGAGAGAGAGAGAGAGAGAGAGAGAGAGAGAGAGAGAGAGAGAGAGAGAGAGAGAGAGAGAGAGAGAGAGTGAGGGAGAAAGAGAGGGAGAGAGGGAGAGAGAGAGAAAGAACGAACACTTCACAATCTTCCACAAAATGTCATCTAGCACCCTCCTCCCCCTCCCCTCCCCAATCAAACGCACCCCACCTTACCAACGACCTCCCAGGCTACCTTGTGTAATGTGTGCGTTCAGAGTACAGTTACCTCCCTCCCTCCCTCCCCTCCCCTCCCTCACCGCGCCCCCAGTGGATGTAGGTCACTGGCGACTGAATCTGGGGAGGGGAGGGGGAGGGAGGCAGGTCAGTAAACCGTTAGTCCAGCCCAGCCCGGAGTCTCGGAGTATAGCGGAGTGAAGCCAAGCCGGAGCAAAATCGAGCCAGGCACCGCTCCGTGGATTGGATTCCAGTCCGGCTATGGCTTTGGTTCACGCTATGATGCGATGCGCTAGACTGGACTGGCTTCGGTCGAGTGTGGCTAGGCCGAGACGGGTATGCTGGGCGGTAGTGATGTCAAATTATAGAAAATTGGAATACCGATAAAAACCAAATACCAACTGAAGTAATGGAGAAAATAAACGATTCAGCCAGGGAAATTGAGACGAACATAGACTTTTCAGCAAATTCACAACCTATTAGGTATACAATAGTGAGGATGCATATGCCAGCAAAATATCAAAAATAGTAGGAATAAAATACAAAATGCAAAGTTATTATCGGTTTGGTATCAGTACGAGTATGCCAAAAAAAAAGTATCATATTGACATATCTGCTAGCTATGTAGCCAGCTGGGTCGCTGGCTGACTGGCTAGCTGGCTGGCTCTGGCGGCCGGCCGGGCAGTTGGGGAGGAGGGAGGGGTAGGCGGAGCGGTGGGGAGGGGGAGGGGGGAGGGTAGATTGCGGGTCGCCGCGTGGTGAGGCTCGCGGTACGGGGTGGTTAGCTGGTCAGACGAGCGACCGGAGCCGGGGTGGGCTGGCGCTCCTGTGGTGAGGGGCAGGGTAGGTAGACCAGAAGAAAGTAAGAAGAAGGGGGAAGAAAACGGAAGAGGAGGGAGGAATAGGAAGAAGTTGAGTGAAGAGAGGAAGAGGTGGTAGGGGGAACAAGAAGAAAAGTGAAGGCACAGGAGTACAGGATACCGTTTTCGGAGACAGGAGAGACAACATGAGGTTACCAGCGCAGGTGAGACAATTTTGGATCGTGTAGCTTGTATCCTATCCCGAAATGGAAACACCCTCAGTTTGTTTTTCAATAGAAAAACACAATTCTAAAGAATAGTGTTTGTCTAATGAAGAAACAACCTTCGGGCATCTGGTGCCATTTAAAGGTGCTTTGGAGATTGAAATCATGGAGGGATGATGCTTGCAAGATGTGGTTAGTGTTTAGTAATCTTGCCACGTGCGAGTGAAATATGATTATCGGCTCGAAAGGTTGAATGGAAAAGGTTGTGGGCACGTTTGCTCGCTTGTAATGGGGTGTCTCTTGAACCTTCAAAACACAATTAATCTTTTGATACTCACGATTTGCATGGAACTGGCTCTTTTATGTGATGCTTGAGTTTAAAAACAAAGCCGGAACTGTTCGGTAATATGTAGCGGATAGCTCCTCGTGTTCATGTGATCATATGATACATTTTTGTTTGTAAGCGCTACGCCGTGCTTGTTCTAGCCCTAACACCGTATTTTTGAAACAACGCACACCGAAGCCTATCCCTAAAATGGTATAGTTCTAGTGACAATTCTGCATACTATGCAGCGGCGTATTTAGAAAATCGCGAAGGGGGGGGCCAAGGGTTTGGAGGGCGCCACCTCACCCAAGGAGGGCGCCATACGGTCGCGAGATAAAAAATCGCTCAGTGGGGGTTGGGGGGTTGGGAGGCGTTTTTTACCATGCCACCAGTTTTTTTTTTTTTGCGTAACCTCGTATAGGTCGTGCTGCATTGATTTTGCATCGTGTGTATTCTTTATACTCCAGGTCACAAAAGGTCAAGTGTTCTTGAAATGCTGCGCCGAAGGCGCGCGAAATTTTTGAAAACAACCTTTTCCTCCGCTTTTTAGGCACGCCTTGTATACGATCACTGTTCAAAGCTCCTCTCGCTCTTTTACCAAATTTGAAGGTGTAAAAAATACCTAAGGTTTGGTCGGGCCGCTGCCACACAAACTGTACAGAAAGCTTGGCTCATGGGTGTCGATGTATAAAAGTTTTTTGGCGGTGGCATATCTACGCACCAGATCACCGTATCGGATTGATACCGGAGCGCGAGATGCGTAAACATCATCCAAATTACCTCAGACCAGCCTTCATAGCCTTTTCACAGATGCATACAGTGTACCCACATAACCAGTTTCAATCACCGAAACTTCAGATGCCTGCTGTTGCGCCCGAACCTGTTGACAATACTTAATCGTAATCCATATAGATGCCATGATGCACGTAAAGTAGGATCAATCCGTTAAGACCAAAGACGTGTTTTATGCATCGTAGAGCGTAGATAGTTTTGGTAGGTATAGATACTTCATTCATTGTGCTGAATGCACGTTCATTTGTGGCAGTTTTCACAGGCAAGACATCAACTATGTGCAATAGAACGACTAAGTTGAAAAACATGCCAAAGGAGTAAATAAATGATAGGAGGGCAGCGATCAACGGATGTTGCCAATAGGTAGAAGGGCTGCGATCCACAGGAGGGCACTAATAGGTAGAAGAGCCCCGATCAACATCCCGAGTTTCGACAGTAGGGCACCGATAGGTAGGAAGTTGGCGAGCAGCAGGAGGGCGCCAATGGATAGAAGGGCAGCGATCAACAGGAGGGCACCAATAGGTAGGAGGGCGCCGATCAACAATCAACAGGAGGGCGCCACCAGGTAAGAGGGTGGCGAGGAACAGGAGAGCACCAATAGGAGGGTGGCGATCAACAAGAGGTCGCCAATAGGTGGGAGGGCGGTCATCAACCATGGAAGTCGCCAATGAGCGGAAGGGTGACGATTAAAATGGGGGTGGCAATGGTGAGGAGGGCGCCTTTGCTCAAGAGGATGACACGAACAGGAGGGCGTCTGTGCGGAGGGCGCTGGTCAACAGGAAGGTGCCAGTGGATAGGAGGGCGGTGATCAACAGGAGGGTGCCAGTGGTTAGGAGGGCGGCGATCTACACGAGGGCGCCAATAGGAGAAGGGCCCCGATTAACATTCAACAGGAAGGACTAGGGAACCAATAGGTAGGAGGGCGGCACTGAACAAGAGGGTGCCAAAAGGGAGAAAGGCGGCCTTCAAAATTTCACATGAGGGCTCAATAGGTAGGAGAGCGCCAATAATTATGAGGACGCCGATCAGCAGAAGGGCGGCAATGTGTAGCAGGGTGGCGACCTACAGGAGGGCGCCTTCGGGTGAGAGGGCGCTTATTTACAGGACAGCGGCTTACATAGGCGACCACCGTTACGCTTAGAGAGCTACAGCCTACAAATGTGGTTGGAGGGCGCCCGAGGGAGCCCTCCAACCGTATTTGGAGGGCGTATTTGGAATGGGCGTCCTCCGAGGGCGCCCTCCATCCGTATTTTCCCTGTAAACACATTCGCGATTGGAGGGCGCCCTCCAGTCGCGATTGTTTTTTGATTCGATTATATCACAATTGCATTTGCGATTGGAGGGCGCCTTCGGCGCCCTCCAATCGCAAAGGGCGCCTTCGGCGCCCAAGGGGGGGGGGCCATGGCCCAGTGGCCCCCCCCCTGCCTACGCCCCTGAATTACTATGATTACCTTTATGTCGTTCAACGTTGAATAATGGGACTTCTAGGCTACCTAAATGCTGGTTAGCTTCGAAATCCATTGTAACCAACGAATAGGTACACAAAACGCTCAATGCTTTTCTGCTTGGAATTTAGCACAAAAAATGCTTTTATTTCCTCTTTTATTTCCATTGAGCCCCTGTTTTTCCTTATGTTGGCATATTGTCCAAGCCTAACAAGATTACCCCCCCCCCCCCCAAACTCCTCACCGCCTCCGCCCCAGTTCTCAGCGGTTGACGTCATTATGACGTAAAGCCCCAGTGAGGTGAATGACCGGTCCGAATCTCAGCCCTCCTCTGGCCACGCTCAGCTAAACCGGCCCAGCCTAACCCACGTCAAAAGATGGATTCATCCAATCCACACACACCACACGCAAGATTGCATGTTAAATTATGACGTTGATTTAACCCTGTTTGCATGTCAATAGTAGCGGTCCCGCGTGCCTACATAAATAATTGAGCTAATTGAACGGTTTTGCGCGCGTGCGATGCAAAAACTCGTTGAGCTCTGCACGTGTCCCAGTTACGGCTGGTATTTCCGGTTTGAAGAAGAGGGAGGGGGGGTCTCGATGACGGACGGGTTTACCTGATCATCTATACATCGCTTTTGATCAATGGACAGCCTAGTTTGTTTGACGACCAGCCTTAAGCCATCTGATAAATGATGTCGATTCTGGTGATGTCAGCGTTTTAGTACCCAAATGCCAGGGAACATTCATAAGAGTATTATTCAAAAGTAAGCGCAAAGCTGCGATGAAGTTAAAATTCAGACTTAAATGTCCAGGAAAGATAAAAAATCTACAAGTCGGCATTCAATTGCGAAAAGTATTTCCTAAGTTCAAAGTGGTATTGCTAAGCTGTCATTTCCGGTCATGGTCACTACCCGTTTCCTTAGTGTCATTTCTATGACGTGACGTTGGTATCCGGGTGTCATTGTGCTGCCCAAGGTGTCGGTGTCGGTGTCAATGCCTGTCTTTGGTGTCAGTAACCGGTCAGGGTCGTCCGGTGACCTCCAGCTACTAAATATTCACCCAGAGACAGCATTCGACAATCCGGCCGCCGTCGCGCTTATACAGGGGCGGTGGTTTAATGCAGTGACCATAATGTAAAACAGACGTGGTTATCATCTCTTGCAAGTTTAAATTGTGTTGTGGTGGGATTGGGAACAACTTATAAAAAACTTTTTCAAGGTGAATATTTGAGGTTGGTCAAGAACATTGCAAGTGCATTGCATATTATTTTAGGTTCGATAAAAGGTCAGGTATCAAAGTATTCAAAAGCGAAAATCCAGTACCTACTGCACACCCCTCAGCTCACTGAAGATATTAACTATTTCCACGATTCAAAAAAACCAAAACAGCTTCGGCATCTGTTTTGTGATGATACGTCAGGGAGTATCAGAGAATGTGAGGGAAAGCGAAACGCTGTTTATGCTCCTCTTCATCATTTCAATGGCAGTCTCTTGATAAAACTAGCACGGTAACCGAACTGATCGGCAAGAGATGAACTTCCGTTATTGCGCCATGCCGCAACCTATTTTAGTCACCATTCACTTCATCACGTCCTGCTGCATGACGTAGCAGTGAGTCACGTGACCCAGAGAGACAGAGGTTATTCACCGCTGTATCATGGAGAAAACTGTCACGTGATGATTCAATCTGGGATGTCACGTCTCTGACGACATTCCAAGTGCGATGGGAAAGTTATGCCCTGAATTGCACACATCTAAAAACTTTGGCTAGATCATGCGCACTTACTATGTTAAGCAGCGTGGAACATGATAAACCTGTTTTTTTCTTGCTAATCGAGACCCGTATCTCTTCACATTTCTATCACATGTCGTCCATTTATCTTTCCCTTTTCGAACCCTGCTCCTCTTTTTTTTCACCCACCACTAGAGCATATTTTCTTCCTTTGACCCCACCTGTAACTTCGATACACTTCATAGCGGTTCCTACCACCTCAAGTCGCAGACGCTGTCAAGAGGTCAAGGTCACGCTTCCGTTACCATGGTAACCCAGCTGTTCCGCGTTTCAACGCCGCACGCGTGAACTCTGGTGGTCAATGGCCTTGTATGGAATGCGACACACGTGACGTACAGTCTCGAAATGAGACGGCCGTCAGGTGCAGGGCGCCTGCATATGCTATGGATGAAAGCGGTGGGTGGGTGATGTGTTTTGGAGACTGTACACATCTTGAGTGAAGTTTGCGAAGGGCGCATACGATCTGCATTGGTAATGAATGACAAGTAGCGGATCACGGGGTCGAGGAGAGAGGGAGGGAGGAGATGAGAGAGGCGAGAGGGCGATACGGAGACAGGTAGTGGAATAGGGCGTAGATGGCAGAGAGGGTGGGCAAGTAGCAGAGGGAGAGAGAGAGAGAGAGAGAGAGAGAGAGAGAGAGAGAGAGAGAGAGAGAGAGAGAGAGAGAGAGAGAGAGAGAGAGAGAGAGAGAGAGAGAGAGAGAGAGAGAGAGAGAGAGAGAGAGAGAGAGAGAGAGAGAGAGAGAGATGATTGATGAAAAGGCACGGAATGAGTAAGAGGGCACTGGAAGAACATTTCTATGCACTGTGAAATCAAGCATTTTCTTCTTGGGTGCTACAGCTCTATGCCACTTTGCAGTCTCCAGTGTTACGCGAGATGCTGCGCCGCAATACTCCTCAAAGTTAGCGTCATACTCAATATCGCAGTTCCCATCTTCCTCTTTAGTGCTAGCGTTCACTGCATGAATGCAGTCTCTAGCGGCCGCATTTACGTTGAATACTGTGCCGCAACACTCCGTGGTGCTAGTGTTATACTCAGCAGCGCAGTCGCCATCTGTTTTAAGTGCTAGCGCCCAGTGAAGCCCTGCAGTCTCCATGCCTTTCCAGTCACTTTCTTGTGCGACATTGCAGTTTCCTGCTTGCCGCTGCTGAGCGTTAGATACTGTGCCGCAAGACTTTTGGTGTTAGTGTTGTAGTTGACGTCGCAGTCTCTCTTCTCAGTGATAGTGCCTTGCAGTCTCGCCCTGGCAGTCTCCACATCTTTCAGTGTTAGTGTCCTGTGCAGCACTACAGTCTCCTATCGCTGACGAATTAAATACTGTGCCGCAAGGCTTCTTGGTGTTAGTTTTATACTCTGAAACGCAGTCTCCCCTGGGCCTTGTGCTGACTGCTGGCGCGAAGTACGGTCGTGCAGTCTCTAAGGAAATTCAATAATGCTTTTGCCAATACCTAGGCACACGCCGGCTCATTTATCCATGCATGTTGCGTGTAATACAGGGTTATCGAGCACTGATCTTGATACTTTTTACGGTGTAATGTACTCTGAAAACGTCACTCTGAAACTCTGACGTCGTACTCTGAAAAGCCATTGCCCCCGACAAATATGTGTGTGATATTCGACTCAGATTTCCGAAGCTTGTGATCTGTAAAAAACGTGAAATTAAGTGAATTGTCCATAGGCGCTAGTCGTTACCTTCCCAATACGCATGAAACAACATTGACACAAACAAATCAGAGTTGCACCACATGAACTTTCAGTAACAGTAAGCTCACTAACCATTCCATATTGTCTTCCTGCCCGAAATCCGCTCGAATAAAATAAACCCGTCAAACGAGTTATCACGCATTCATTTTGTGCAGATGCCTACATGTAAGCTCAGTGACCTTTCTGAAATCCAACCTGTCAAGCAAGATATTAACAGCAAGAGGGTTCTCGATCTGCAATCCCAATGACTGATGAGATGCGGAAAAAATGTCAAAAACTTGGCAACGTCGACACAAATTTGAAACCCCATGCTTTAATAGTTTCGATGAATTTCCCATGGATTATTTTCACAGGATTGCAGATAAACAACAAGAGGGCAGATAAATAACTCACAATCAACATAGCTTGGTAAAGCTGAGGCCTCTTGCACCAAACTACCTAGCTAGGTAAAATCGAAAAACCGGTTTCAGAATAAGCTAATCAAACGGTGGTAAATTTGTTTGCAATAGCCCAATACATAATCCTACAGGTGCTTGGTAAATTTTACACGCAAATTGTCACATTTGAGTCTTGGATTGGGTATACGATGCAAAATAATCCAAGCATTGGTGCAAGAGGATTTTGGTGCAAGAGGCCTCTGCTGTTGATTTTATGTTGCAGTAAACATCGACAATTTAACTGCAATGCGACTCTGATTTAAATCGACGTAGATTTCTGCGCATCGACTGAACGAACACGGCATATCTGCCGTCGTCTATACTCTGTATCGATTTCGCTCACCACGGCAGCGCCTTACGTCAGGACAGGACTACTGGGCCTCACGCCGGTCACGTGGGGTCAGTGACCTTTGGCCCGTCCTTCTGGCTCGCTGCCAAGATCGACAGACCGGCAGAGTCGGGCCGGGGGAGGTCGAACTGCTGATCGATCAGAGCTTGGGTCATGTTCTTATGAAACAGAAAACGATTGGGTGACGTTTTTGTGATGTTGTAGGGCTGTCATACTTTTGTTTGAGGTTGAACAGTTGTTTTACATGGTGCAAGGCTGTCATTGACATGATTATAATCAAAAGCTGTGTTAGACTTGGCCTTTCCCTCATAATATCGGGGAATTTCACTGAAAATAAGTCCATGGACTTTTTCTACGAACTCTTTTGAAAAGTTGCGGTTAGGTTTGACACATCACTAAACCATTAAATGTGTTGAAGTGTTCCTATCCATTTCAACAAAAACCTTGTAGCATGTTCCTGGTTTCTATATTTCCTGCCCCAGCCTCTGCTTGACCACACTGACCGCAAAGATCATAACCGTGAAACCTAATTCTCACAGTAGGGCACTGATTTCCCACGAGAAGACCCAAAGATTCACGGTTTGATTCCTCGGTTTCCACGATGGTCACGTGACATAACCGGTGTTAGTGTTTCTGGTTGGTGGATCGTTTCACTGTACCTTTTGGGTGGGGATTAACTTTTTCCTGGCTTCTCGATTTGTGTTACAAGCACATTTCTCATGGATTAGCATAGTTCTCTGCTGGCGTATAGACTGGTTTCAGACGTCCCATTTCCAGAAATACGGCACACACAATATCTTTTTTCGTCTGGGCTGCCTGGAGTCAAGGAATAGCGTCCTTTCAATCCTGAAAATTATCATAGTTATTCAATGAAGCATGCTGTAGTATTTTTGTGATTTATTCGACATTTTTTCGTAGCCTGTAAGAAACACAAAACAAAGGTCTCTCTCTCTCTCTCTCTCTCTCTCTCTCTCTCTCTCTCTCTCTCTCTCTCTCTCCATCCCTGCTGCTTCAACACCCTCTTCATCAGCACCTCTCGAGGTAACAAACATTCAATTCCTTTTCAGGCGCTGCTGGCAGCGCTGGCGCTCTCCACCACTGCGACCGCCTCCCCAGCGCCATCTCTGGACGAGTTTCGGAAACATCTCGCAGGTGGCGCTGCGGTCGCCCGAGTCCGCCGACAGCTGAGCCAACGAGCCCGCCTGGTCAACGATGAACCGCAAAGGGTGAGTCCGATGAGGGTGAAATTGTAAGGATAATGCTGAGAATGTACTCATACAGTCGTTTTGTATTATGCTACATAATGTACGCACCGTGTACAAACTGTAGACGATTAGAGCCGAAGTGGCGATAAGCACCTTGCTCACCTTGCACTGTCTGAAGGATGAATGGGGAGTTTAAAGGTTCTTTGGAGTTCCAGGGAGCTATGATTTCCTTATTAATTTATAGGCTACTTTATTGGCTGAAAGCTACAAAATCGAATAAAAAAAGTAACGAACTAATTGCAACCCAATGCCACAAATCAAGCCATTCCTCATGAGAGCACATTAAAAAGCATTGGGCATTAGGATTTGGGCATTAGGCAGGCCGGCAGGCGGCAGATAAGTGTTCGGTTAGTTTGGCACAGGGTCTGACTAATCCTACTGGTGTGTTCCAGTACCCTCGGCCCACTGTGCTACCCAGCGGACAGCAGCAATACCAGCACTTCCAGGTCAGTTATCATGCAGCGAGGTAAATCCTATCTTGCGAGTAGGTAGCATTTTGCTGTTTGCAATCCCCAGTACCTATAGTATGGCATTTCTCAGTGTCGTAATGTGTTAGATGCTTGCGAATATACACAAAAAATCACATCAAATTTCATCTGCGAAGTACCATGCAGTTTAACTTTACCTAAAGTTCAAACAAAAAATACCGATCGCGAAAAACTATCGTCACTATCACATCAGTTTGACCATTGGTCTGCTCCCACAGGCCCCGTACACTCCGGAGGTTATAGAGGAGGTGCGGTACGCTCAACCGAACAGCGACACAGGTGGGTGAAAGTGAGGACGTAGCTGAGCTACATTACTAGATGAGGGATACTTCTTAGTATTTATACTGCTTTCTTTCGTTCGAGGATGGCAGAGAAGCATAACACAACATTAAAAGCATAACTTTCGTTCGATCAATATGAACACATCGCTATGAATCGTTACTTACGTAAGCGAATGGAAGGAAGCCATGTTCTTTGAATGCGCTAGGTATAAAATGAACACATTAGCCATCAAATTTGCCACACTTATAAAGCTAAAACTGCACTGAAGAAAATCAACCATAAAGTTGTCACCTGTAATAAATAAAATTCACCCATCAAAATGTGACCTAACAGACTTAAGATTCACCCCACCCCAGCTAACATTTACTTGACTCGACCCCAGCATTTCACTAACCCCTCCCTCTTCCTTTTCCACAGGTGCCGTCTCCAACCCACCACGTCTACGAGCGCCGGTCGTCTCTGGCGGCTACTCCAACACAAAACTGCAGGGATACGGTCCACAGACTGGATCACCTCGCCCGGTCGGTACGAGGAGACCTCAGCCGGTATACCGTCCCAACCCACAACAGGAGACTGAGAAGGAGAGGGAGGAAGAAGAGAAGAGAGAGACGGATAGAGCGAGTCTGGTGGAGCTGATGATGGAGAAGGCGAGAGAGGCGGCGAGGAAGGCGGCGAAGGAAGAGGAGAGGGAAAGTGAAGCGAAAATGGAGGACAGCCAGGGTGTGTCCCAAAGACAGACGCCAGTCCCTCGTAATCCGCCAGAAGTTACACGTAGTCCACCAGAAGCAGTGACAGAGAAATCTTCAACGGGTGGAAGTCGCGTGTCACTGTATGAAAAGCTCGCAGCTGGTTTGAAAGCTACAGCTGAGAAAAGTCGGCAGCAGGTGCCCTTCGTTGCGCGGACTCCGCCTTCTGCTGAAACGTTACAAGCTTCCAGCCAATCATCTGCTTCGACCGGTGACAGGTCACAGTCTGCGAGCCAATCAGCGTCGGAGGTTCCAGAGCGAAGGCCAGTCGCGGCAGCTCAGACGGCGACAACCGCAGCACCATCTACTTCCAGGACAGGAGAGAGCAGGCCGTGGGAGAGAGGACAGGAGGAGCCGACAACGGGAGCGGATAGGAGAGAGTCTTCGGAGGAAGAGAGACCATTCGAACCCTCTCCACTTGACGTTTGGAGTAACCCTCAGCAACAGGGACCAGGAGAATATCAGGAATGGAACCGTCCTGGCCAGTATGACGAGGGTTGGACCCAGCAGGGACCCGAACAGGAGTACTGGGAAGAAGGGGCGCAACAAGAGCCCTGGCAGACCCGGCGCGCACCCTGGGGTAGTCCAGCTGAAGGACCTGAGGCAGCCCCTTCTGGAGTCAGGGCACCAGAGGTCGCACCATTCACTGGACCTCCAAGGCAGACAGTGCGTGACGGACGTCCACCAAGACCCAGACCTGGGGCTCGTCCGGGATCTCGTCCGCGTCCGCAGAGTGGTGTGCCTCGCCCGGGGGCGGACCGAGTCCGTCCCGGTCCACGGCCTGCAGCCCCTCTTCAGCCGCGTCCAGAGCTAACCGCTGGTGTCCAGCTCGCGTCTCGACCTCCATTCCCAGAGGGAGCAAGACCACCACTACGACAACGTCGACCTCCTACGACGCCCAAACCTGCTCCTGGATATCTGGATACAATCCTTAACTGGTTTCGTGGTGGGAGCGAAGAGGAGGAAGAGGAGCCACGGCCGGCACCTCCTCCGAGACCACACCAAGGTCTTGCTGCACCGCCTCAGTTTCCCAACCAACAGGCAGGAGGTGAGGCGTTCAGACCACCACCGAGTCAGCCAGGAGTCCCCGCTGATTATCTGGAATCCCGCGCGGACAACTTCGAGGATACAAACCCGGATCGCAGTGGGGTTGGTGTTGACGTAGAAGAATGGAGAGTTGTGGAGGGAACTGGTGGAGAGCCGAGCGGACACAAGGCGCCCAACATCCTTCCTCAGTTCCGTCCGAACGCTCATGTCGAACAGATGTTCCCGCAGCAGACTCTGCCTCCACCACAGGAGGATGAAAGGCTGCCTGCAGCAGGTGAAAGGAGACCAACGCAGGGAAGGCCTATCAACAGGAGACCTGGTAATTTAAGAAGGCCTCCTCGGGGTCAGAGACCTGCACAGATCGAGAGAAGACCTCAAGTCGAGGGACTCGAAGAGCAGACGTTTCGTCGCCCTTCGCCAGGATCCCTCCCTCAGCAGAGACCCATTCGCACCAACCCACCCAGGCGTCCCATCAATGGCAAACCGCCACGTCGTCTGAAGCCAAGCACAAAGCCTGGTCGTCGGCCTCCGACGGGCACACCACAGCGTCGACCTCGTCCTGGCGTTGAGGCGCCGCGGATTCCTCCTCTGAACACTAACGAAGTGCAGCGCCGACGTGGTCAACCCAGCCCCGCTATTCCAGGTGCGCCTGTGAGTACTCTTCAGATGCTCCACCCGTCCCTCTCCAAGCCCAGTGTTCTTCAGCCTCTGAGACCCGGTCCCCCAGCAGGCAGCGTTGGCGGCCCTCCTCGTCGCCGATTCCGTCCCCCGAGGCCCTCTCCGCATCAGCTACCGCCACCTCTATCCCCGGCGCAGAGGCAGTCGCAGGGACCGCTGAGTCTTCTTCCCGGACCTCCTCCGCCATCGACGGGAGTCGAGGAAATCTCAACGGGACCGACGGCAAGACCCGCGACGCTGCTGGACGATCGACGAGTGATGGTGGTGGGACCTTTCGGACGTCCGCCACCCGGTGCTCCGCTTCTGGCAAGACCTCCCGCGCTGGCACAGGAGGCAGAGATCCCGCAAGGAAGCGCACCGGGGATCGAAGATGAAAGGATTTATCCAGAGGACACCAAGGAAGGTGGGCAAGGTGCACTGACGATGGAGGATAAGTCGAGGACAAGCGGCGAGCAGATCGACCGGGTAGGAGGTCAAACCAGCCCAAAACAGGACAGTGAGGTGGTCAGGCTTCTTCAGCAGACGCCTTCTGCTAGTACAGTCGCTGAAATAGAAGCTGTTTCTTCGGGAACACCATCAACCGAAGACTCCATGTCAGAGGGTGCGCTTCCACTTGGCGCTGAAGATGACGACCTTCTGCCCCTCAGGGAAACATCGACAACACCTCAAGACCAGCCTGTAGCAGCGATGATGATGAAACCCAAAGAACAAACAAACAAGCCTCAGAAGACTCGTCCAGAAGCTATGAAAATGTCCAGCGAGGGAGCTACCCAAGCGTGGCCGCAGCCTGCTCCTGAACCTTCTCCTGAACCTGTTCTGGAGACGTCTCTAGAGCCTGAGAGCAGTCCCGAACCTGAGCCCGCCCCCGAGCCAGAGCCTTCCCCTGCGCCTGAACGCAAGTCCCAAACAGCTCCCGCATCGTTACCACCTTCGAATACGAAACAGCCAGAGTCTGAGCCAAAACCAACTTCACCCGCAGAGCAGCCGATGAAATCCAACACAGCGACAACTCCCAGCCTCCCGACCGCCGATCCTAGGCCTGCTGTTGGTGAAGATGGTACGAGGTTCGTTTATGCTACCGATGCGGACTCACCTGTGCTGACTCAGACCTTCGAGAGACGCCAGGGTGGTGCCGTGGAGGATAGCGCGACAGAGGTGGAGGTAGTGGGTCCAGAGATGGAGCTTGAGGATGATATTGAGCAAGAACCAGAGCCTGAGCCAGAGCCATCGCCGGAGCATGAGCAGAAGACAGACAAAAATGAGATGAAGCAGAAGAATGAGATGAAGAAGGAACAGATGGCAGAGGAGACTCCTATGCCCGAGCAGCAGAAGCAAGACGCTGCTCAGGATAAGATCAGCCACAGCAAAACACCAAACCAGGCGTCAACTAAGGAGGAAGAGTCGACAACTCCTAGCCAGGCAAACCAAGATGCGGAAGGAGAAAAAGAGCAGTACTCAGCCCCCTCGGCACCCCCGGAGGAGGAATATTCTCCCGATTATAATGGAGAATATACCGGACAGTACGACCAAAGCTACGGGCAGAGACAGACCTACCAGCAACAGACGGGAGAAGAGAACACAGAACCGTACGTTCAAGTTTACGGCGAAGAAAACGCTGAACCATACCAGGACCAGTTCTACGACTACGAGCAGGGATACGGGCCGTATGGTGATGAGTACGGACCGTACTATGAAGACCCCGCGCAGGATCGGTACTGGGATCAGGAGAGTTATCAGGAGAGCTATCCGGAGAACTATCAGGAGCAGTATCAGGATCCTCAGTATCAGGAGCAGAATAAGGACCAGAGTCAAGGAGAGTTTCAACAGCAATACCCAGATACGCAGTACCAACAACAGAATCAGGGGGAGTATCAGACATCATACCAAGATCAAAACCAGCAGCCAAACCAGGAGGAATATCAGGCGCAGTTCCAAGGACAACAGGAGATAAGGCAGAAGGCTCCAGCCGCTCGAAGGGTCGCCCAGGCGCCTCTAAGAACCGCCACAACACAGCAACCATGGAGGGTTATTGATAGCTCAAATAACCCTTCACAGACAACCAAGACTCATGTAGAAGTTCCAGCAGGCACGCCGACTACGATGGTTCACAGCGTTCCAACACATCAACAGACAACGCGTGGACAACCCATCACCTCCTCAAGCTCAGCACCATCCACCACCGCCGCAGCAGGCTATCCCTCAAGTCACGTGACTACCACCGAGGCCCCATACGAACTCGTGACCGCAAGTCACGCGTTCGACGACTCTCGTGATGTCATGACTCTGGAAGTCACCCACAAGTCTAGTTTCGCCGTCGGGGGGTCTGGGGACGTCGCCGGGGGTTCCCCGCGTCCCGCGGCTCCCGGGGTGGGTTCAGTGGCCTCTGTATCGCTCGAGGATCTCGGACCGGATATCCGGTTTGATGGACCGGAAGTGCAGTACTACAGGCCACCGGAAGCGAGGAGAGAGGAGGCAGAGAAGGAGAGCGAGAGTGGAAGGCCGCCCCTCGAGTTCACGCTGCCGGATTTGTATAAAGACTTCCGGCCGCTGCTTGACTAAGATTAACACTAAAAAGACAAGACTAGGAGGAAGACTAAGACAAGAACTAGGACGGAGTATGTAATTAGGATTGACTAGAGTGTACATAGAGCAGAGCGTACAGACGAGGCATTACAAGACGTTAAGTGCAAGGAGTAATATTGACTGACAGACTCATAAACACAACCCCACTGACTTTCACGAGTTTGAGACGACAAACCCACTGACTTTCACTGATGAAATAATTTGCATTGACTTATACAAACTTGACACAGACTTAGCGACAAAACTTGATGACACTGACTGATACTCACTGACATGACCACCCTGACAAACCCACCTGACATTAACAGACAAGAGTCGATTGCCGGACTCCACGACATTCAGCAACAGAATCTTTGACATTGACCGATTGGACCACTGACAGACACAGAAATTCACTGACATTGAAAAATAAATTTATTGACGCACTCGAACTCGACAGACTGAAATACTGACAAAACACTCTCTGACAGACAAACTCGACGACAGACTGGCTGTATTGACAGATAATGATAAACGGAATCCTTGACAAACTCCTGAAATTGACTGAAAAAGTAACAAGCGGACGAACTAGACGACTTAAACAAATAATTGACAATGACCTTCAAGCTCACAGACAAATAAACTTATAAACTTATCGACATTGAAAGACTTAAAACACACAAAGGCGATGAAAAAGCTTACCACAATGACGGATCAACTCAATGACGCTGACAAATGAACTTAATGACACTGAGAGACAAAATACACTCTTCAACATAGAAAGACACACTGATTGAATGACACAATGACATACTTGATAGACAAACTGGCGCGTGCAGAGACAAACTTGACATTGACATTGTGACAAACACAAACACGCTGACTTGGTAACGACGTAGTGACTTATAGTGTATTAAACAGTTATTTATGAATTCATGACCTCTGTTACCGAAGTGTGACAATGTGAGAGGTGGCAAAGAAAGTAGGATAGACAACCGCTCAAGTTATCGACTTTCTAGTATTCTGCCCTGACCTATCAATATTGTTACTGTTATTGTTATATTATTGTTGAAGTCGACATATGTTGTTGTGTTATCAAATGTATCTATCTAACGATGGAAAGCGACCAACTCACGGTCATAGATACTAGACCAACTGCGTGCTTGTTGGAGTGTGTCAGCGGTTGTGTTTTGGGAGATCGAAAAACAAATATTTAGTTTGAGTGACTGCCGCAGCCTTGTCGTCTTCTGAGTTTAGCATGATGACAACCTGAAAACTTCGTTTTTGTTAGTATCAGGCTTATGGCGTAAATGACAACCGTCTTGAACTAAGGGACACTATTTTCACCAAAGTGTGAACGTTTTATCAAAGCATGATTGGGCATTGCAGAGAAGACGTGACTCGGGTCACCTCGTCCGCTTTAGGGGAGACTTCTGATGTGTGTTGTCACGTGATTTGTTTTGTGACTTGACTCTGTTGGCATTATGTGTGGTGTTACTGCTGTACTTGAACGTAATTGGTGCAAATAAATCGGCATTATTGATGGGAAACGTGAGTGTGATGATGATAATGATGATGATGATGATGATGATGATGATGATCGATTTAGAGTTTTTGGCGACTAGACTTGAACGAAACATAAAATCTGCACAAGATAATCAATTTTCGGCAGAAGATAGAAACAAAGTAATCATCTAGGCTGGATATCGAAGAAGTAAATACGAGTTTCACAGTTACTTAGCGTAAATATATTTGTTACATATTCGACAAACCATGACACTTAGTACGTTTTCGCGCACAACAGTTACACAATACACATCCGGTCGGTGGCCGGTACCAAACACTAAAGATATGACGGAACAAAAATGATAGACGAACGCGTTTCGGCTAAATCACCGTCATCAGCGTCTAAAAGGAGAACAAGAGGCACACATCGAGCAAATATCACAGTTCAATCGTTTTGATTTTTACATACACTTTTAAACAAGCATGTGACAATGTGGTTACATTTCCTTTGACAAAGAGAAAATATCCTAAAAGAATCCTAAGAGAATAGCCACATTGTACAGTTTACACAGGTGTTGCACAATTCATATGTGGATGTTTAAAATGCCAAACAACGCCGCTGCTTTTGCCCACTTCATGAAACCAACCCTGACATTAATGGTATCACTCGTAGCAATAAACGCCGCTTCAGTAGCTTTTCTGTTGTCGCGATTACTACATGACGTGAGTACCTTTGCCCCGTCCCAGTATGGGAGATGGTTTGAGTTCTGAGCATGTAGAACAAACGCACTGTGTTGCATGTTATTTCGTAGGTCACGTCTGTGCTCTTTTAATCTCGTTCCAATACCCCTTCCCGTCTCCCCGATGTATTTCTTATTGCAAGACCCGCATGGAACCTGATATACAACGCTGTTGCCATTATCCTTTTTGTTACTTTCTCTATTTCTTGATAGCATGTCACCCACCTTTTTACCCGAAGTAAAGGACACTTTAAAACCTATAGTCTCGAGTTCTTTCGCAATCGTTGTGGCCGTGATCGAGTTCGGCATCGTGATGTATCGTTCGTCTTTTTTCTTGGTTTTTGTTGTTGAGGATCGTTTTCGTATGTTAAGGGCCTTTCGTTTAAGATCCAATAAATATCCTTTCGGATATTTCAGCTTCATGAAGGAAAGCATGATATGCTCGATCTCGTCATCCACATATTCTTTACTACTTTTCTCTTTGTCAAAGGAAATGTAACCACATTGTCACATGCTTGTTTAAAAGTGTATGTAGAAATCAAAACGATTGAACTGTGATATTTGCTCGATGTGTGCCTCTTGTTCTCCTTTTAGACGCTGATGACGGTGATTTAGCCGAAACGCGTTCGTCTATCATTTTTGTTCCGTGTTATTATACTTGTCTCAACTGAAATACTAAAGATATGATATCGACTCGAACGCATGATTTCAACCGATACATGCCCAGTGCCCACATAATCGTTCACATATAGAGGATACGTGCCTATTATGCCCATTGCACAGGTGTTACGCGCTTACATACATGAATAGCTCATGCATCCATAAAAAGCAAAGTAGGCACAAAAAGCTCAGTGAAGCCAAAACAAGATAAAGCAAGATGCTTATGCGTAACAGATTTAGAATTTCAAACGAACTCTGGGAAATTCAAGTAATTTCAATTAAATACCTTTGTTTCGAGTCCGCGCCCCAATCACCAAAAATATATCACAAGGTTTGAAAAAATGCCTGGAATCCCCCGCTAGCTAAAACCGGTGCGGGTATCTATAGATCACAGTACAGAAAACCAGATGATGGCACACCTCTCCTGACTATAACAACGAACACGTCTTTGATTGTTGCTAAGTTAAATGAACAGCGCCTGAACACAGCAAGAAAAACCGATAGTCAAACCTTTCTTAGATGACAATGACGCAGAAAATTTGTATAATTTTGGACTTAGAGCTCCAACAGTAAAAATCGAATTAAGTTAAGAATGAAACCACCGCTGGAGGATGCTTCGCTGATAAATAAATAATAGCCAGTGGATTTTCATCAATTAAACCTTAAATGAGCACCGCTTGGACACAGGAAGGCGGCTGTGCCATTCTACCAACTTCTTCAATAGCAAAGTCATCAGCATTGATCATCTGTTTAGTCATGGATATGGACCAATGCTCACGGTAAACTAATTATATTCCACAATATCACATCAAAGTACGTCTCCGCAGCATCACTTCTGTAGCCTTAACGCTATGCCCTATGATGCCGCATCATTTAAGGAGGTCGGAATCCTTATGAAGTCCCTATTTTGGCGTTATCCCCCTACAATGCTATTATACCGCTCATATCGCACACCATATCAAGCCATCAATTACAGCTGTGCTGTACAAATATCATCTGAACACAACACAGCTCACATTACCACTGAAAATGGAAATAATTTTATGAGTTATCTCAAGGCCTTGTTGCCTATTTTTTTTTTGCACCATGGATCATTTTTTCATCCATCCAGCTTACACACAGCTCTTCATTGGTGTCAATTAACGTATGAGACGACCCTTGTTTTGAGAGTTCATTACCTATGTCAAAAATTCCAGTTTTAAAAACCTTGGCTCATGCAAAGGCAGAGCGGCCCCTCTGGCTCTGGCCAGCTAGTAATAAGTTACCAGTTTTGCTGCTAGCTGCCATGCCGGGTCCATGATAACAGTAACTGCCTCACGTTTTCGAAGGCGACATGGTTTAGAGTCCTTCCACTTTATCTCTTATCAAAGCCAAAGCATTGGCGTCATCTGTTACGCACACCAATATCCATTATGACGTCCACCAATGACGTCACAATGACGTCCACCAATGACGTTACACTATACTATTTGCCACGACGATAGCATCCCCCACTAGCATCAGCTATAACGACACTCTACATCCGTTCCACCAATCACATTTCATATTCTACCCTCTTCCATCATCACCGGGTGAACAGAACGTATAGCGCATACCCAATGGCGACCAGTAGAACGGCTCCTACCAGAATCAGTAGAACTCTGTTTTGCACGGCTCGGTGTAACATACCGGAGAGAAGACGTCCGGATCTGCCCAACTCGCTATCTGTTTCACGTAACTGTGGGGTAGAAGATGTATGGGGTTAGGCGAGAGAAGATTACCTACCTCGCTGAGGAACATAAGAGAATTGGGGGAACGAACAACGTGAGAAAATTAGCCGTTGGGGTGGGATGTGAAAGATAAGGGGTAGAAAGATCAGATGACGAGAGCTGAAGTTCAGTGTCTGTCTCACGTAACTGCTAACTGCGGTGTAAGAGAGAAAAGATGAACATTGTCTGCTACAAATAATCACACGAGTACAATAATACAACTTCACGACGCATTCATTTGGACACTTGAATGTTGAGTGCAATTACAGGGAGTCATCCCCTAGTCTCCTCTACCTACCCTATCCCGTATCCTGTTCACTATTCAGCGTCAACCTTTGACCACTGATGTCGGGAGGAGTAGGGGTTCATCCTACCCCCTACTTACCCTTTCCCGTGTCTTGGTCAGTGCTCCCCTTAAACCACTGGCCTCAACTCCCCACTCCTCTGATGGGACGGGGGGGGGGAGACGTGTCATTCCCACACTCACCCTAGCCCGTGTCTTGGTCAGTGTCTCCCTCTGACCGCTGAGGTCGCTCAGTATCTCCGCCCCCACCGCCTCTGACTCCAGACACATCCGGTATCTGTCGACAGGCGGGTCAAAGTCGGTCAGATGTCAGCTCTGGTCAGATGTCAGCACTGGTCAAGGTGAGATCCAGGTTAGTAAGGTGCAGCAGAAAGTAAGATCAGGGAGAAGGTTGTAGGACGTGGCTTGGAGCGGCGAGTAGGATCTGGGTCATTACAGACGGTCCAGGCGTTAAATCGTGAATTCTGGACAGAACACGGGAGCTGCAAAAGCTGACACACATGCCAGTCGAAAGTCGTAAAAGCCATACATATATTCCCATTAAGGAAAAACATCGGTGAAAAGGTGTTCTCCTTGCATAATACCTAAAATTTACCCCTTTCCAATTGTCTTCCAAACACCTACCCCTACTCAAAGTATCTTTAAACAACCCAGTCTTGTCATTAAACATCTCCCCGTCACTTCTTCCAAATCCTTACCCATTTCCCAATCTGCTTCCCCAGTAGCTCCCCATCTCCTAAATAGCTTCTCATCACTTACCCCATTCCCCTGCATCCTTCCCGTCACGTACCCCTCGTCCAGTCTGTTGCCGGTCCTTTCCATCAGCTCCGTGTTATCCAGCATCCTCTCCTCAGCCTCGGCCGCTGACAGGCTGCCCTCTCCGCCCAGTAGCTCCCGGCGACTGACTGAGGAGGGAAGGCCAGGTCAGGTCAGGTCAGGTCAAGTTCGCCGTCGCCGCCCAGTAGCTCCCGGCGGCTCACCAATAGATAGGGAGGTCAGGTCAGGTCACAGCAGGTTACTGGTCATGTCATGTAAGTCCTGCGTGTTCGCTATGAGATAGCCTGGCCAGGTCAGGCAATGTCAGTTCAGGAAGTTTGGCAGGTGAGGAACAGTCAGGTCAGATCAAATAAAGTCACGAAGCTTCACTGCAGGTATATCGCGCCATATCTGAGGTCTGATCACAGAGGGATACTGGGGAGACCGAAACTTCTTAGAACGACAATGGACACCCTGACCACAGACAAGTTCAGAACTTTGTACACCATTCATACGTCCTCACCTGAAGCATTGTATTCAGGCAGTCGGTCCACACATCGTACAAGACGTCAGGGCACTAGAGAAGACCGTCATTCAGGGTTGCCCATCAGGCAGCAGCACTGATGGTCTCATTTTCAATTAGGCAATTGAATTCCACAATATAAAAGGTGCCACGTTATTTTCTCAGGTTCCATGCCTCTCTAACTCACCAAAGTCCACTTCACTTACCTCTGTTTTTAATGTTGCTGTAGTCTTTGGCCAGCCTCCTCAGCTCTGCCGTGTAGCTCCGGACCCGGTTTGTCAGTGTTTGTCTCAGCCGTTCCGGCTGATCACGGGACTCAAGTTCCATTTGTTCGAGCTGTGAGGAACACCCGGTTAGTCAGTGTTTGTCTCAGCCGTTCCGGCTGATCACGGGCCTCAAGTTCCATTTGTTCGAGCTGTGAGGAAGAAAAGCCGGTGGGGATTACTTTTGCACTAAATCATGCAGAAAACATTCACATGGTCTGATCTGTATCATCAATTGCAGCTTTCCTGCAGATATTTTGTTTGATAAAATAGCTGAGGTGCATGTCTTTTCAGGAATTATCTGAAATCATCAAACAAAGAAGCATACACTCTCTTAGCCAGTAACCCTAGATGTTTATAAAAAAAACTGAACTTGTGAGGTACCTAACACTCAATATTGACTGTCAAAAAAAGTTTAGAGTAAAAATATTTTGACATCAAGTCATTTCAGAATGCTCTGCAAGTTAGTAGCCTAGCTACAAGTCTATTACCTAACTTATATTGTATTACCTATATAAGTATAGACTCACCAGTTCCTCAGCCTCTGCCATAAGGCGGTCCAGCTCGGCACAGGGCCCCGATATTGAGTCTGAAGGGCAAAAACAGGAAAAACTGGTGAGAAAATTGTCAGAACATATTTACAATACAAGGAGAAGGTGGAAAAATCAGTAAGAAATCACCAAATCAAAATCAGTGACTAGTGAGAAATTAGATGTTAACAACTTACAGTTAACCAGAAGAGTGAAACTGAGTTTAACCCGACAGTTTAAGTTGGACAGAAAATAAAATATTTATATGTACTATATACATGCATACCAATTACCTAATAAGTCTGAAGGTCACTGCGGTTAACCTGAATGTCTTGCCTGTGCTGTACTGGTGCAGGAATTATTTGCAAAAACAAGAAAGCTTAATCAACCCTCTCCCTCATCTATTCCAATAACCAAAAGCCATATTTATGCTCACTGCTCATCTCCTTCAGAATCCTACCTACCTCCTGTGATGATGTTACCCTGAATAATGTTCATCTTGTCGGTGATCTCTGCAGACAGTACACTGTATCCGTGTTCATGCTCAGTGAAGATAGCCGACGCCTTCTCTGCCTTTGACATGGTTAGCAGTTAGTGAGTGCTTGGCAGGAAATCCAATAAGTGACCTGTAACAAAACATTAAAAATTGGCATAGTGAAAATCATGTCACATCAGCAGTTAGCTGGGCTGCTGGAACCAGGACTAAGAAGCAAAATGCAAAGTGCAGACATCTCTGATAGGTAGTCTCAGTCTCATTAGGAGTAAGGACATTCACAATATCATTGCCACTAGCAAGTGATCCGAATGCACTGTATCGAATAAGACCTGGCAGGTTACCGATGGTTCAACCAAAATATTCGCACTTAAACGATGAAATAATCGGAGAAAATACTCAAAAACTCGCCTACACCACCCACTCTCACCACACAATAAAATGTTTGCGCCACTTAGTGATCAAGCGCGCCATCAAATGACTCGGCTTTCAACTTTTGTGAAAAAGCAGAACGCATCCATTAAACCGCAGCTATTTAGCAAAAGTACTGCATTGCTGCGGTCTCACATGGAAGAAGGGAACGAAATCGGGCCGATCGATCAAAGGAGATTTTTCACTTGCACAGCAAATACAAGTCCGTAACATCTTTAAAAATCCGTAGCAAGGAGCATAAACCATTCGTCCATCCCAACAGCTGTCGTGACGTCAGGCGTCGACCAGCCTACCCCAGCGCGGCGGCCAGCACGATCGTCGGAAAAGTGAGCATAGGAAGCATTCTATCTGCATCTTAGAGCACTTCACGGATAGGCTTTTTAGGATCCGGCCCGGCCCATATCCGGCAAGTCATATCCAGATCCGCCCATTATCCGCCTTTCTTTGAATATCAGAATCCGGCCCACCCATGGCCCGTATTGCAGCCAAACTTCCAAAAAATATCCGTAATAATCCGTTTCACCAATAACTGGTTTCACCCAAAACTGGACTAACAAATTCAATCTAAGGGACCAGACAGCCATACATCTCATAGACCATCATGGTTCCAAAAACCATGCATACATTGCATACATTATCCACTTGAAGACAAGTCTTGTGACAAGTGAGTGTCATAAAATGATGCCTATTACTTTAATCAAACCTCTGCTGCCGCTTAACACATTAGGTTAATTTTTAACTTCAATGTTGAATGTTAAAATTTTGATCCGTTTTGATCCGGGTTCAACCTTCAATTCCCAAATCCGGCCCGCCCATATCCGTTCTTATTTAACAAATTTAGAATCCAATCCTATCCGGTCCGCGGATTTATCCGTGGATAACGGATTTATCCGGCCCATGAAGTGCTCTACTGCATCTTTTTAGGTTCCTCTATTCGACTTCCTGCAGGTCTAAAGCAAAAAGCTATAGATGAAGCTTCGCGTTCGTGGATCGAGCAAAAACCGTCCCAAGCGGGTGTGCTATGTCCAATGCATGTTGTTCCTGTATGCGTTGTATCGTATATGCGTTGTATGTATGCGTTATATCGTATATATGCGTATATTTATACACACTGCGTTGTATAATAGCATCTTAAGTCTTCCACATAAGGCGTGGCGATTACGACTAACTCCGATATGTGTTTAGCATTACACAATGACGTCATTTATTAACCAAAAACTCCAGTACGACAAACGGACGGCTGTATTGACCACGGTTCGGCGAACAACGTACGGAAGAGCGCTCTCCTGAGACGGCCGACATCAAACACCAGTGACTTCATCACGGTGACGTCAGGATACAGTGACGACATATGTACGCACAGATTACGTCATATGCACGCACAGGAGACAGCAACGCAATGACATCAAAATGACCTCATATCTACTCGGCCTGACATCATTCAATGACGTCACATGTGCGCACAGTATCGTCATGGTGCAATTACGTCACATCCACGCAATGTGACGTCATATGTACGGCCAAAGAACTACAGCGCAGACAGTGACGTAACAACGCACGTACAGCGGGTGTCACATGACATGAACGTGATATGACTCAATATCAATCGGGCACAATATGATGCCACAAGACCAATCTGGTACAATCTATTGAAAATACCATAATGCCATACGCATTACGATACGGATCGCTGATGTGACACGGTGGCATTGTGCGAGGTCAGGTGAATTTAGAGAAATCCAAAGGATGCCGTCAAAACTACCTCCGGTTTGACTCTGGTTGAAACGCGACTTTCGGTCAATGCCCGATATGACAACCCGATATGTTGACAGCCACAAGCATTCTCCATGTTATCCCGGTGTGCTACACACTGTCTTCACATACATAGCAAAGCGGGCGAATTGACAAGCAATGAACAAAATATACGCAATTTCGCACACAGACTAGACCAACTTATGACACCACCAGATGCAATGACAGACTGATCGCGCTGGTGGCACGTGCTAATATGGTAGCAGTGCTCGAGCATTAGCAGCACCACACTTGTGTCAAAATTATCACTGGCCATCGATTAGAACTAGCGCGCTAGTTATTATTCACAAGACTGTAATATCTGTTAGCTAAGCCATACGGTTATCTGCCACTGTGGTCTTCAAACTGACAAACGACACAGCCGAACTGTGGTTCTCAAACCCAAGCGCCTGCCATGTGATGAATGATGCTTATGAGGATACCCCATGAATAAATATGCAAAACTACGCCAGCCAATGTGCGATGACAATATCTTACGCTAATCCAGCGAACATTCACCATCACACAAGAAACACAGTGAAAAAAAACGCGCAAATCTTAGCCTATGTACAAAATGGCACCACAAAGCGCGGGAAATCCCCCAGCTTTCTGGCCGATATTTCCCCGCAATTGCGGATACCCTAAAAGCGTCGGACTAGCCCTTAGTATTACGTCTTTGTCGGTAGAATATATGCGAGACAAGTTTGTGCAGGATGTGACTCAAAATGGCGGCCATTATGACTCAAAATGGCGGCCATTATGACACAAAATGGCGGCCAAACGTTAGCCATCATGGCCGTACAAAATGGCGGCCAATTTGACAAATCGAGCGAAATACCCGAGCGTGAAAAATGCCCGGCACGTGCATGTTTCAATCTACAGCTAGCATGCAACATTGAAACAAACAGCAAGACAAAACCGTCACAGTAACACGAAAGACAACGAATATCGACTTGGTAATTTCAGTTACATATATCTTAAAATGAACATGATATTGTGTATGCGTGGAAAATGATGTGGTTAAAATATGAAATGATATTGCCACTTAATGCTGCTAATACCAATAAACATTTTCGCTCATGCTGTTCTTCTTAACCTACAAATATCTTTACTTAAGCGATGCTTATGACACGTTTACCTACCCAAGCGACATATTCCAAATTTACATTACACTAACCAAAATGAGCACTTAGCTTTCCCACATTGAGCCAAAAAACGTGACATCTCACAAGAACCCATATTCAATCCTTGTACGCCCCTTTCCTTCTTGTGCTTTCTTTTGAGTCGCACGGGTGATTTTCACTTGACTATTTACTTCTCTTTGAATTTCAATAAAGCAATACTCAAACTTGGCCATAATTTTGATAATTGCTCTCAAATGCTGCTGACGACCGATGGCACCATTTTACTTCCCTCTCTCTCCCGCTATCCGATCTCATCTCAGTACTTCACCTCGGCTCTTAACTCTTTCCGTTACTCCTTTTAAACTGTCATTTCTCCAGAGTCTGCTACCTACATCTTATGCAACCACGTCCTCTAATGCGCAGCCTTTGACTGTGCGAGTGATGGTATAAAAAAGAGAGATCAAGCGACTTAGCTGAATCAGCCTTAGAGCGTTCTAAGGATCTGCTCTGAGCCAACTCTCGGCAGAAGCTACTCTTTTCAGGCACCCAACGGCAGAACAGCTGTTGCCTCCTACGTTTTCTGATGACTATCGGTATGTCTGTCTCTATCTCTTATTCTCTCATCTATCTATCTGCCTCTCCTAATCATTTGCATTATCTTCCTTGTGTTGGTTGCACCTCAATCTTATGCATACTCCCGTCTCACGTTTAGTTAGTTCCTACTTCACTCCTGCTTATTCCCCTTCTGCGGACTCCCCACTGTACTTCCTACCGGACTCCCCACTGTACTTCCTACCGGACTCCCCACTGTACTTCCTACCGGACTCCCCACTGTACTTCCTACCGGACTCCCCACCACAGGACTCCCCATTCCACTCCCCACCCCATTTCCCACATCACCCCCAAGCAGAAGCGCTTGAACCGCCCCTCCTCTCGCCTGAAGACTCCTCCTTACCGCTCTCAAACGCCCCAACAACGCCTGCCGCATAGCCGCGGTAAACTTTGTCACCAACCCTAATGCTGATCCCACCGCAAACACTACATTATAGAACAAAACCACATTGAAATCCCCCAGCCATCTGACCTTGCCATAGTGACCCAGAAGATCGAAGTTGGTGATACCTAGTGTTCTCATCAAAAGCGGCAGAGCGGAAGATATGACCAACACTACCGCACAGTTTGCAATCAGCGATGGGATCGAGGTGTCCCCCGGTGAGGGACGAAGTCGGTAGAGAGCGGGAAGTGAGTAAAATCCGACGAGTGATGTGAGGAGGAAATAGAAGATGAGGACGATCTCCAACGCCGCGCCGATCGGGCCGAGTGCCGAGAGCGAGGTGATCCCCAGAGTGACCTGTGAAAAAGGGGGGAGGATGTTAATAAAGCAGGGGGGAGGATGTTAGTAAAGCAGGGGGTAGGATGTTAGTAAAGCAAGGGGAGGATGTTAGTAAAGCGCGAAGTCTTCGAGATGTCTATGGATGAAGAGTGGTTTACAAAGAAGGCAAGTAATATTTAGGAGACATGAAACCATCACACGCTTAGGGTTGATGTCCGGAGTGACTTATGAAGGAGGAAAGGATGATGTCAGATCGGTCTTCATGGGAGACTGGGCAACAATGCACGTTAAAACTTATTAGCGAGGCGATTTTCAGAGTGAGCTGAATAAGAGATAGATTATTAGATCGGTCGCTAGAGACAGGGATGCATAGCGACGAGGGGTCAAGGGACACATGAACCACTACAGAATCACACAAACTAATAGCTGAGAGGGGAGTGATGCCATTTTCCTGTAAGGGGGAAGCTGAGATGTCATTAACGACTCAAGAAGTGACGGAAAATGGGAAGCACGCTAAAACCTGAGAGCGAGGTGAGTTCCGGAGTGCCTGTAGCTCAGCGTGCCGTAATAAGGTTATATATTAAACGTCCAGGTGAACACAAATTTGCGACACAACTAGTCAATCAGTCAGTCTGATAGGTATTCACCAGCAGCAGAATCCGCACATGAGGACCGTGACTTAATGCAAGGACCAATGGGCCAACGTCCCAATAGAATACTCGGGATGTCGGGATGCCAGTTTGGTGTAATGGAGGACCGTGGATCGCGCCGGGTTTAATTCTCACCGGTACTGACCTTGCGACAAATTAGACAGTCTGACCGCTACCGCATGCGGCCACAGACAGACCACCGCAGAAACAGTACACACACACCTGTGTGTTTACAGTATTGGTGATGAGGGTGACGACACATATGTGTGAACTGCTGACGACACATCTTCTGGTGGCGGCACAGCTGTGTCCAGTTACGCGACTGTGGTAAGTGGTAGGTAAGTGCGACAAATAATCATCGGAACGATAGATATGGGGAGTGAGGACTCGATCAGGCTAAAAGGATGTGGTTACGACGAGATAGCGGCACTAGGTGTGCTAGATATGTCGGCGATATCATGCGGTAGGATAAAATTGAATAAATGTGCCCAAGGTACTGCTGTGCGGTAAGTCAGTGATAATCGGAACATCCTGAGTGGTGAACAGAACAAGCAACGTGAAAAGCTAAGCACTAAGTGCTACAAAGATGTGTCTATGATAGTGCATAAAGTGAGAAAGCGCATGATAGATAAACAGATAAAAGCCTTTCAGTTTTGAGTGAAGAAGGAACAAGCGTCATTGTAAACCCTTCAAGTACCCACGTGCAAAGTGAAACCCCCAATGGTTTGTACACTACAGTCACATATCAGGGCATCAGACTGATAACTTTGCAGGCAATCATCAACAACAGGGTCATTCACAGTCGATTCAGCGAAAGTTATAAACGCCAAAAGCACAGACGAATGTTACAGTAAGATCGGACATATACCCGCAGCATAGCTATTCGAGACAATTAGCATCTTTCAACATTATCGGCAAAATTGAAATCACCCCAAAATTACCGGGAATCGAACCTTCGACTTCCCGCTTACTGACTCACCTGTTGCGTGCTGAGCGGCAGCGCCTTGACACCGATGAGCAGCTCCAAGGCGTTTCTCAGCACCATGAACTCCGCCGCAGCCGTCAGGGTGAGCAGCATCAGCATCACCAGAGGGTAGCCGAGGTTCCTCTGCAAGGGTGACGCCTTGCGCCTCCTCTCCAGCCTCTCCAACTCTCCGCGAACTTCCTCCAGGCGTGTCGCAACCGCTTCAGCACTTTCTTCATACGGCGCACGTGCTAGTCTTTCGGGGCCACCTCCGGTTCGCGCTGCGACTCTTCGCGTCAGCGCATCTGCTTCGAGTCTTGCAGCGGCACATCGCTCCTCGATGTCATCCATGAGATGCGGGCGCACGATTAACCTCCCCACGAGATCAAAAAGCCGCGCGAATCCAAGAGGCGTGCAGAGAAGGAGGCAGAGCACTCCGAAGCATGATATCCAGGAGTAGAGCAACGGTAGGTGGTTCGTCCAGACGTTCTGCAAGCTCTTACGGCCGCTCTCCCCATCGAGGAATGCCGACAGGACGTAGGCTATGCCGACGACAAGAACAGCCAGTAGGCAGAGAACGACGAACGTTTCATACACCCGTGAAGCAAGTCCTTTGCGCGCTCCAGCAAATCCTTCCGACTCGGTGAAGAGATAGGCGAATGGCAGAAGCACGAACAGCGAGAGATTAGACAGTAGAAAGATGTACTTCCAGATGCCTTGAATCAGCGAACTGTTGAGCCATCGCACGTAGTAAGAGTCCGGGTAGTGCAGCAGCACCTCATTCGCCGCAATCGAAATCGGTAGCAGTAGAGCCGCTCCTGCGGCCAGAGCTAGCGAGAACGTACACAGCAGGAGCGCAGTTCTGTTCACAGTCGCCTCCTCGTCATCTCTCGGCGAAAACTCCACTTGCTCCCGACGAGCGTACCTCTGTACCGCGGCATGTGCGATCACCAAGAGCAGGAGAAAGAGCAGGAAGGTAACGACGTACTCTCGTACCAGGGAGTGAAAGGCTCTCTGCCAGGGATCTCCGTCAGTCAGCGCTTCAGGCGGCTCGTCAGCACCAGAGAGGTCCATGGTGGGTCTTCAGCCAGCAGGTGGACCTGTGGAAGGGGAGAGAAATGTCAGTGGTGCTACTGCTTCAGTCTGACTTTCCTCAGCAAAGTTGGAAGGCACTGGGGGTGTGGAAGAAAATAGCATGTTATATTAGTTAAATGGAGTGATTGCTTCAGTTTACTGACTTTGGTAAAACCAAGCAAATGCCTACTCACTTTCTGCAACAGTAATTCAGCTGGTGGGGATGTAGGGAGGGAAGAAAGGTCACATGAGGGGTCACTGCTTCAGTCTACTGACTTCTTACAGCAAAGGTGGAAAGCGGTGAGGCTGAATGGAACAAAATAATAACAAAATAGGGAAGGGGAATGTTGGGAACCAGGGTTTATGAGTGGGCAAGGGAAAAGAATATGATAGGAATTAGGAATAGTTAAATAAAACTGGGGAACTGTTGGGAACTGGGGGTTACGTGTGGTGGGAGAGAAAGAACATAAGACAAGTTAGAGCCTAACTTAAGCTAATGATTTTGCCAGTATTTGCTCAGAAAAGGTCTGATCTACAATTGTGGCACCATTGATACCACTATGCAACAGCAAAACTGTAGGTTGTAGGTTGTAGGTTTATAGGTTGTAGGTTTATAGGTTGTAGGTTTATAGGTTGTAGGTTTATAGGTTGTAGGTTAAGTTAGGTTGTAGGTTTGTAGGTTTTAGGTTGTAGGTTGTAGGATGGTAGGTTGTAAATTTGTAGGCTGTAGGTTGGTAGGTTGTAAGTAAGTAGCCAGGTAAGGTTAGGTCAGGTTTGATTGTTTTTTTTTCTTGCATTTGCTTCACTTGTATCATATCTGGATTCAGGATGTCAAAATAGCGTTAGAATGAATGTTCAAAATTTGTCTGAAAAGTCAATTGGACTCTTTCTGAACATTAACCCAATTTGCCTAGGTTTTAGGTTTATTTTTAGGTTAACGGTCTTTGCATCAGGCCTTAGGCAAGCACAGGGCACCCTGTCGCTTTACAGTTCACTCTAGTGTATCACTACACTCTTAGTCTTAAGATGTTGCTAAAGCACCTTCTGGTCTGGCTGATAAGAACGTTCGCCTACACTGCAGTTTATTGTACGCTGTATAATATGTATGGGCAGCATATGTTTGCCTTTTTAAGTGTCTTATTATTACGGTATTTACATCACTTTCATACCACAATGGAAATGCTTGTTTTTATGACCCCAGAGTTTACCCATTCAATGTGTCTAATGCTGGCTGAAGTGTGGGTATTAGTAGAGCAGACGTACGTCACACAAAGGTTTTCCAACCAAGGAGAGGCGCCATACCCGGAAGTGCTTCTTTCTAGGAAAACCTTAACAAACCTAACCTAACCTGACCTAACTTCGCCTACAACCTACAAACCTACAGTGCCTCTCTTTGGTTGGAAAACCTTCGTGTGACGTCTGCTCTACTAATGCCGAAGTGTGGTGGCGGGTGGATGCGACGGTAAATCTTGCATAGGAGCTTTGATATTTGTCTATGCCACAAATAAGTATCAGATATGCAGTCAGGTCAAAATATACCCCCTGATATGATTTTCATAACCACTTTTACATCCAGACCTAGTGTATAGTGTATACAAACACCGATGGATTCTCAGTCTGGCCTATTTAATGCCCAGGGGCCCTTATCCCACAGCAAGCAATTAAACACTTACCATTCATTTGACAGAAACCAAACCAATAACCTTAACTTTCGAATTATCTTCCTCTAACTTTGTGCAGGTTCAGGAAACAAGCACAATTCGTACGAATCAATCGCTCGTGTCGACTATCCACCGACAACTCAAATCCCTCAATGAACAGCAAAGCAATTCGACAACTGACACGAAAGAGCAAACAAAATAGTTGGCAGTCTTCTTATTTGTGTTCAGGTTTTCACGTAAAACCTGCGCGTCTAAACTTACATGAATCAGCGTACAGGGACCCGCAGTTGCTACTGTACACATTGACATATATCAATATTACCAATTTAGAATTGCGCTATTATTTGCTAAGTGCTGGCCATTGGAGAAAAGAAATGTAGCGCAAAGTATGGAGGAATAACACATGTTTGCTCCTAGCACGTATGTTTTGTATAATTCCTCTTACCGCAACAGATATTCTTCCAAAACTACAATCGTGCTATTTTTCCGCTCCGGTTGCCTCCCCAGAGCCCGTCCTTGGTATCGCCTATAGCTTCCGTTCCCGCTACGTGAATGAAAGTCACGTGACTACTACAGGTTTGCACTCAGTACTAACACACCTAGCCCGAGGGCCGGTCCGTAGCGGGGAGGGGTAGAACGCCTGAGCTCCAGCGCAGTGGAGGTGGTGGTGGCCCGTATCATAAAGAGGCAACCGTAGCAGAACTACAATTGCCGCAGTATAAGATTATGATCAAGCTTTCTTTAAATGTATTGATTGACAAGAAAGTGCAATGTTTATCCGATATAATAAAACGGTGTCCAAGGCCTTGGAAGAACTATAAAACATATTCAGCTACGTATAAATTTGTGATACAGGCCATGACCTTGCCTCCGGGGAGGACCGCTCAGGAAGCCACATACCGAACGAATCGAGGCCTCGCAGCGCGGCGGCAGAGGAGGTGGATAAACCATCGCCAGATCTTTCGATTACTTATGTTTCCAGAAGAAGGAGGGGGGGGGGGGGGTGGAGGGGGGCTATTTTCAACCCACTCACCAATCCTTTCCTTATTGACTTATAGCTTAGCGAAAAATGCAACACAATGGTGGCCGTCACGAGATATAGCGAAGAGTGCCTCAGCCACACCGGTTTTGAGTAAACTTTGAGCATTCGAATTCAGGCCAGTGATCCTGAAGCATTATTTTATTTTTGTCGTGCATAAGCTGGGATGACGTGGTCCAAGTTAATCGAAGAAACGGTTTTAGTTTCAGAACATTTATGAGGCTAGTCGCGCCAAATAGTATACGTTTGTTGTAAAATGTCAAATAGAATGTTGACGTGCTATCCAGATGATGGAATTTATTTGACACAAGAAGTCAAAAAGTGGCATCGTTAGTCATCCTGCATACCTATAAATCAATTCGTCACCTTGGTTCGAGCTCAATAGTTCTTTTCGCGGATGATCGGTTTCGTTTTCTTTTATTTGGGGGGGGGGGACAGTTTATGAGCCAGTAACCACCCTCCCCAGCCCCCCAAACAACAATTGTTGACAAATACTGTGATGGCCTAAAAAATGCCCTCAATTGTGTAACGTAGGGAAGAATGAGGTAAGTTGAGCCGCTTTTGTTTTTCGTAAGCTACAGGCTAACTTACTGATCATTTTTCTGCGTTTACGGGTTGGACGGACAGAGTGGTCATTGCGCATGTAATGGTGGCCAGAAATGTTTCATACCGCTTATTTTTGTACTGAAAGGCGTCAAAAATCATCTTGCACGTTGCTCATCTTACCCCATGGGCGGGGTAAGTTGAGACACGTCGTGGGGAAAGTTGAGCATGGATGGAAAAAGCGAACCTCTTCTTTTCCCGGGCGCGGCGAAGAGTGGGCTCTTTTATTTACTCCATGGCATACATACTTATGGCAAGGTTTTTTCCTCCATCAAAAAGTGACTGTTTTAAGCCTTCGAATAACTCGTCAAGTTTTCTATCACGGAAGAAAGCATTTTATCCTTCAGATAATCTGCAAATCACTTACAACTTGTGTAATCAACAAAGAAAAACAATTTCCTACCATTTTTATTCAGCAGAAACAAGCGCAGCTCAGTTTGGTTTTCGACAGCGGAGACAACAATGGTTTATCCGGCTCATCTTCCCCCAGGTGAAAATGGCTCAGTCTTGCCCGACCAGTGGCCATTTTCGATTAATGACACCCGCTAAGGAAAATAACCATGCACCGCAGATAACAACCATCTCATTTTAAAGGCAAAACATGTCTTAGTTATCAGGGGCGATACCACATGTTACCGGGTGCTGAGCGTGAGAACGTTGCCGTCTCACGTGAAAGACTGCAGCATCGTAAGCGAACGGCACATGGAGCTCGGCATTTGGGGCTCGCAACCTTGATTCGTTAAAGTTATTTGTCTGTTCATTATAAAAGCTGTCAAATTTGCCGTATCATTAAATTTTTATTGAGTTTGTATTTCACACTTATCTAAAATGAACAATTTTGTCACTGGCTTCTTTTATGAATGGAATTGGATGGTCGCATGAATGAACGAATGAATAGCTCCATTTGAGCATCAGCTGAAATCAATCCTAAAATTTAATCTACCAGTCTGCAACGAAAAGGTTTAAAAACCAGTGCAAGTTAGGTGCAGTTTCTAATCTATGCCGTTTTTTATTAAGTGTCTCATAGTTCCTTCTTAATCATGAGCCGCTTCTCTCACGATTCATTTTATGTGGTGCTTACATTGTTCAAGAAGTTATATTATTCGAGCTCGTTGGTCTTAAAAAACTGCTATCGAAGTAAATTAAAGTGTTTCGGGCTTCGGCACTTAAAAAGCAATCGATATACCCTCACCTATTTAGGCATTTCTTTTCAGCGTCTTACATATAGCGGAGGGGCGTAGAAACCCTCAGCCATTCGGCCCTTGATAAAAAGAGCCAGAGCTTCGCTGAAAAATAAAAAAGAGCGTGCTGCTCGTGACGAGAGAAATCCGATGAATTGAGGGTCCTGGTCATCGCTGACGAGAAAAAGCCAATTATTTTTATGTCCTGGTCAATGCTGAGATCCTAGGTCACTGGTTGACCTCCCAGATCAGGTTAATAACCCAAAAGCACGGAAAATTGGTTCCTGCTAGAATTTCTACGAGGGAAGTTTGCTGGGACTTGGCTTGCTTCTGACTCCGAATTTGCACTTGCTTTGATCAAAGATGATGTATCAAAGCATTTGGGGTAAGACGGGTCACGCCAGATCACCCATTAGGCGTTCTGCCGGCTATATAGAATGTTAACCAGCACTTACAGCCTTGCGACATATTGCATAGGCACTATAACTGATACCTAAGTATGCCTAGTTTTCAAATGCTAAAATGGGTGCTAAATTTCAAACCAACACTTCCTAAAAACCACAGTAAAAAGGTGTAAATTTATTGAAGTTAACCGAGATCATTTCAAGTAAATGACCTTAACCTGAGTTTCACGTGACCTTGGCACCCACAACAATTAATGAGACAAACATTAGATAGTATATTTCACATGTTGTCACGTTGCTAATCACGAAACGACTATGGAAACACACAGAAGATGTGCGCTGACTTTCAATTGCTATTCTGGCCTGACATGAGCTTGAGAAAAATAATCACAGGTTAAAGGTAATTTGGTTCAGGGATTTAAAATTCTCAGACAAGATGCAAAAATGATAAGGGCTATTTAATTTTCCGGAAAGTTGTAAAATTGAGTAACTCCAGGGCACCAAAGAATCGTCGCAATCCTTCGCTTTGCCGCGATTTATTGGTGTAAAACAGCGGGCGCGGTCTACTTACCTCTACTTATATGTGTGGTGAGGGCTAATATTCATTTTATCTGTGTTGATGAATGTGTAACAATTTCTATATGATCTGAGACCAGTCCATATGAGTATGTTTTTCTCACGGACAATAACAATGTAGAAAACAATGCGAATAAAACCAAACGTTTCGGGCAACAACGTGCCTTCGTCAGTGGAGAAAAATGAGTGTATAGGTTTAACATCGATGAGAACTAAATGCGGCACCGTCTCGGTCTGGCCAGCCGGGTTGCCAATAAAATACACAAATGTTTATAAGCTTGCATGATGTGCTTAAAAAAACTGCTGAAAATATATCTTTAAAAAAATAAAGATAACTACTTCATCGATGTTATCGAAAGAAAACATGTATGCCTAATTACTTATTTCTTGCCACTGACGGAGGCCCTTTTTTGTGCGAAACGTCTGGTTTTATTCGTATTGTTATTGTATTGTCATTCCCTGTGAGAAAAAAAAGATAACTCTTCAGTTAGTAACCATTACAGCGAAACGGCTTATTGTAACACAATTCACTGTGTATACGAAACCTATAAGTCCCTAAAATAATTCTATTTACAACTTTTAAAAAGATACAGCTTATACAGCTTGGGCATACAATTTTTTTCTGCATTAAGATAATATTAATTTATTTCCACAGAATATGGTAAATTAGTGCTGCTGAAGTTCGCTTTCGAAGCGTCTCCTCCAGGCATTCCACAGCTCTCGTGCCATTTTGGATCACGGAACATGGCTGGGCGCAGGACAGGTCAGGTCGTCTGCGAGCTTGGACGGACCACGTGACCACCTCCTCCACTCCCCCTCACTCCCGTCCCCTTCCCCAGCAGGGCGTCCGATCTAACCGCGCCCCAGGCAGTCGGCTCGGTCCGACCCTCCCCATGGTCGAGCCACGGCCCGGTGCCGCCTGAGTTTGTGCCGGGTGCAAAACTGGAGCAATAACTAGCGCCGGAACTAGTAGTCAGCACGACCATCGTCAGATGGCAGGAGTAAATGGAATAAGCGGTTCCAGGTTTCAGAAGGAATGGGGCAGGAAAAAGCGCTGAAAACAATGTTTTGCTGATATAGCCATAAAAAGTTCACTGAATTAGGAGAGCAGCACATCAGTTTAAAGCCCTTCAGATGGTGGTTTTAATAAGCACACAATCATTTCCCAATTCGCCTCCAACGGTGTCACAGACAAAGAATAGGCTGAAATACTAGTGTGTACAGAAGCAACTGCGGGTCCCTGTACCCTCAGCGAGACATTCGCCATAGATGGCCTTGCATTCGCCAAATTGGTGCGCCACAGCGTCTCCACAAGCCGATCGGACAATCTTTGAACAGAATCATCAAATGCAACAGCTGCGCCATGAATGCCTTCAAAGCGCTTCCAAATGACAGCAAAAAATTTATGGAAAGGCATAATTTTATATAGTCCTATCCAAGGCCCTAAATACAGTCCTATCAATATAGTAAAGTAATCATGAATATACCTATCTAACTCTTGACCTAACCCACTACCTGGCCTACTGTTCTATACTACCAACCAAAAGAGCACGCTTTAGTTTATGAATTGATACGATATAGGTACGATATGCACGTACGTACTTGAAAGTACCGCGCAAAGTGACGGTGGATCGATCCATCAAGCCTGACCGAGGAAGGGCCTGCTTTAATTTGAAAGTCACGGAACCAATTGACCTGGAGAATGGACGAGAATGTCAATTGCTTCGGTGACTCAAATTTAGCAGGCCCTTCCTCGGTCAGGTCAGGCTTGTCTTGTACATACATATACCTATTACGGCCCGTTTTTAAAACTCCTCCGGGTATTCATATTCATTATGAATACCGTATGAATACCGTATAGGTGAAAGATCATTAGGTATACCTAATATACAACAACGTAGGTATTGATAGATCCTCAACTCCATGTATCCATGAAAATTAGGGGAAGTTGGGGCAATGCCGGAGTTGGGGCAAAGCCGAAATTCGAGATATTTCGAAAACCGTAAGACATGGATGCCACCTGTCAGTGGTGCTCTGAAGCTTAAGTGACTACAATTATCGCATGTTTGTTACGAGTCGTCATTCGGAATACTTCGACTGTGAGGGCGCCAAGAGCGTTTTCAAGGTACGTTTCCCTTGTACTACATGCGCCTTTGAAGCTGCATTTCTTACTCATTATGCTACCGTTTGTCTGGCCAATTCGGTCAAGTAATCTTTAGCATGTCTTTGCATAAGTATGCTGCCTATTTGAAATTTATACAGCACGTTGAATAGTTATGGGCCTGCAAATGAAAGTATGGCAGGCTGGGGTAATGCCGAAAACGTGTGATTACGCACGTGTTAAAAGCACGCTACGTGGACTTTACTGCTGTAGAATAGCAACGCGTATTTTTAGTCACACAAATTACACTTTCAACCGACACAACGGCCTGTTACCTATAAGGAATGATTTACCTGGCATGTTCTTATTATATCACACAATTATAACTTCCAGTGTGCACCGCGTCCTCAAGCTCTTAAAACGCGTGTCAGCTTTGATCAATTCTGGATAAAGTTTGAGATAAAATGGCAAAACATCAATGTCGGCATTCCCCGTAGATCATTTCTCCCATTTTCGGCTTTCCCCGCAGTCCGGGGCAACGCCGAAAAAGTCACTTCTTTGATATTTTTAGTTTGTGCGCTTAACGGTATGCGAATTCATCAAATGCGCCTGGTATGTTTGAAAGGCAAAAGACTGGCCTCTCGAATGACGCCAACAAGAATAGCTTATGTTGTCTACCTTGCGTGCTACGGGCGTCAGAAAAAAAGTCTTCGGCGTTCCCCCAACTTCCCCTACTTTAAAAAATATATCAAAACGCTCATTTCTAATAGGCATGTCTTTTGCATCGCCCTCGCCCTGCCCCGTCCCTTCATCCCCCCCCATGCTAAGCAGCTTTGACTGCGTGCAGGCAGCCATAGACCCCGAGTTGCCGCCCCCTCCCCCCCCCAAAAAAAAAACGCAAGTCTGGATCAGCCAGTGTGCGCAATGTCTCGATGAATATTGCTGTTTATCTCCACAGAATTATGAATGGCGTTCGTTTGAGTTCTCAAAACGATGTTTTGAAGTCTAAGCGATGTTTTGTTTTTGATCATCTATAATAACCTCTATGTTAGGTATCGATCACGTTTTGTTAGATACTAGTCCCGAACACGAAGGTTTAAACAGCATGTCATATTCACTGCCTGTCGTTCATTTTGGTAGTGTCAGGTCAGGGCACTGTTCCGGTCTTATCATCGAATTGTGTGAGGTTTGAGGCGTGGTTGGCGAATATTTACACGTGGTGTTCAACCTTTACCGGTTAGCCGCCATCTACAGAAGCAATAGGCATGCATTCATAGAGAAAGTAATTGAAATGGCGACAAACGGATAGCTTTTGAAATAAAAGGTGGGCAACATTAATACTGCTCACCTAAATCGGCCGCATTAATACCGACCGGCGAGGCGGCCCGCATTGATACAGTATTGGCCCGTATTAATACTGTAAAAACCCTTCTGTCAGTCAGTATTAAAACGGGACGGGCAGTATCAATACAGGCCAGAGGCACATATAAACGAGTGAAAACTGGATCAAAAGAAGCGTACTTTAGTAAGCCAGGGTTTCACAATCGCGAACAAATCTGCTTTTGCGGGCAGCAACCGTTTCTATTATTATTGAATTTGTATGTGACATAACGTTTCTTTGAGCATGATGAATATAAAAAATGTTAGGATTGACCTTCTCCTCATATTATTAGTGAAATTAATCGAAAGAAAGTCCATTCCTGGACTGGACTTTCTTTCGATTAATTTCACTAATGAGCATAAGGTCAATCCCGCCATTCTTATTGATAATATTGAATTCGTATAGACGAGAGCTCGGGTCTCTGTGTTTAGGCAATAATCTCCGCATTATTGCGATCAGGGTGGCAGAGTAGATAGATTTTCGGTGACTCCGACTCCGACTCAGGCTCCCAAAAATCAGTTCCCGACGACTCCGACTCAGACCAGAACTGCCCATGTTCCGAGTTCGATTCCGACTCCGGCCAGAGCTGTCGACTCCGACCGACTCAGACTCCGCAGCCCTGATGGTGATTGTTATCTGGATTACCGACCCGAGGGGGCTCCGCCACAGTCTTGTGGTTGGGAGCCCCGACCCAAAAATGTACGAATTTATACACTAGGCGGCATTACAGAAGCCTGATTATTAGGAGAGGCGGGGGCGTAAAACGCTACAAGGACTATATGGCCTTTCAAGAATCGAACCCAAACTTCCTCAAACGAACTTCTACACACTTCGTCCAAGCGAAACGGCCTTGACCTAAATCCAAAATACCAAAGGACTGACTCGGCAGATTTACCTGGATCCGTCCCTCCGCTGGCGTTAGAGGTGACCAAAACAACACCCAATTATCGGGGTCAGATGGCGGCATGGCTCCAGAGTTCAGAACCCTTCCTGGTTCAGTGGACCTACCGAAGTGTTGTTCACAAATGTGTGCTTTGATTTTAGTTTCCTTAGGTACGAGATGAAGTGGTAGGTACGAGATGAAAATGAAGAACCACCAACCAAGTGGTGCCTAGGCTGTGGTTAGGCAGTGCTGCCTAACCAACCTCTACCACCACCGCCTACCACGCCCAACACCAATCTCAATACCCTCCCTTCCACTCTAAACGACCACCATCCCTGATCCCAACCCCTTCCCAACGCCCACCCCTCTACTCTTCCCTCCCATCACCACCACCACCGCTCTCTGCCACCTCCCCCACACTCCCTTATCTATCCTCCTCTTTCTATTCTTCCCACCCCTACTCCCACCACCACCTGCCACCACTGTCTAAACGTCAACCAACTCCACTCCCACCTCCCTCCATACCCTTCCCTTCCACCCACCTCCCACCATTGCTGAACAAACCTCTACCGCCGTCCACCACTGCCTATACCACGCCCACCAGCAATCTCAACACTCTTCCTTCCACCCTGAACGACCACCATCCTTGCTCGCAGCGCCCATCCTTCCACCCTTCCCCTCTACCCACCCGCCTCCCCCTTTACCCTTTCCTTCCACTCACCCACCACTACCCAACCAGTAACCACCCTCCCACCACCACCACCGCCGCCGCCCGCGCCGTAGCGGCCGGCCGCTTTCACTACCTACCTCACCGTCGCGCCGCGCCGCCGAGCCGACTTTCTCCCTCCCCAAGCACACGAGGCACCGCCGCCACTCTGCCGCCAGTCTGAGGAGTCTGTAGGAGTCGGAGCGACCTGAATCGCTATTCCACTTTCATCACTGTGGCTCGAGCTGCTGTCGGGGAAGGCCGTGGTCTGGGCAGCGGTCCGGGCGGTGGTCTGGTGGTCCGGCGGACGGTCGACGTGTGTTTTTTAGTGTGTTTTGTGTGTGTGGAGAGACGGCGTGAGACGAGGAGAAAGACGACGAGAGAGACGTGGAGAGACGGTGAGAGACGGTGTGAAAGACGGCGTAAGACGGTGTGAAAGACGGTGCTGTGATTGTGTGAGACGAGAAACCGAAACAGAAGCGAAGCCAGAAGGATAACGAAAACAGACGTGAGACGAAGACGGACACCAAGGAAAAGTGTTGACAGTGACGGAGACGGAAACAGAGAAAGAATAAGGAGGCGTTGATCGTGACGGAAACAACAGCGATAAGACGGAAACGGAGCCAGTAGCTGAAGGGATATTGGTCTTTTTGGAGTGGTAGCGAAGGCAACGGGAGTGTCTAAAAAGACTATCAGCATCAGCTCCATCTCCTGTGTAAATCAGTGGTGTCAGTGTCTCACCTGTGACACAGCGGTGTCAAATACAAGCTGTGTCAGTGTCAGAGCTTTGAAACAAACATCAACGGTGTCAAAAGTCAACCCGTCGTGTTAGAAATGGTCGCCTACGTTCGAGCAGTGAGCGAGCTGAGTTGAATGCTAAGAAATCACGTGGCACAGAGGAGCATCATGCGGCCAAGTCACGTGACCGTCCTGCTGATAGTGGTAAGTCTGTATGTGTAGGATCTTCCAAGTCACGTGACAGTTATGCGTGACCGTGATGCCGCATGTGTTTTGAACCACGTGGTATTGTTTTGAGACCTATTTCTGAACGTTGTTGTGACAGATGGATTTGTAGTAAAGAGCCGAATAGACAGGATTGTCTTATGCTGTAGAATAGCCGGCAATCGGTATCGTATCCTCGTACCCTAATCAAACTAAGCTCGTATCGCACTCGTACCTTTAATTTTATAATTTTCATAGCCTTTTGTAGCTAGCATAACGCACTTATTATGACTTCCTTTAGGTATAAAATCCTGCAATTGCAGAGTTGCCAGATACGATGGCAGCGATATCAGGTGTTGCCAGACCGGCTGGAAGGGTCGGCTTTGAACTGGTGAGTCCGGTTTTGCTTAGTTTCACTTTCGATATAGGCAAATACGACAGGACAGGATCGCGTGGTGGTACTTTCAGTAGAGCTTGGTAGAAACCACTGCAGGTGAAAATTTAAATAGATAACATCGAGAGGCAGCCAGTAACAGCACAGCAAAACCAATGGTTGGCACTTTCGGTTAGAAACTGGCCCTTCCTTGGAGACACTTTCAATATGAGCAGTTCAGCAAATTTCTCGAGACCAGCTTCAGTCGGCGCAGAACCGGTTAGTTACCTGGTTACATTTACAATGGATAATTGAAGCAGGTCACTTTCGATTGAATATATAGTGGGTCACTTAGTGACATAAGTCACCGGGTGGCTAGAGAAAATTAGTAGCGATTGTCTCGGGAGATATGTATAATCTGAAGTGATAGCAAATTCTAAGTTAAACGGTGTGAGGAATATCATCATGATGGTAATCAGCATATTTTAGTTGATGCCCGACGGAGCTCTCAACTAAATCAGAATACAAATGACCAAATTACCATTTCGGGATTCCTAATTTTGTCATTTACATTTTGATTGTATTGAGGACATGATTCACTAAAATATGCCAAAATGTAATTGCTGTTATCATTCTACTGAAGATAATGGAAAGGATGTTGCTCTAACGTTATCATGTGACAGGTGCTAGAGATAATGTTACATCACGCCTAAGCCTGCTCACGCTCGCTCGCGCCATTTCAGCCGTGTTTTGAACTCACGAGCTCACGTGCCAGCGTGTAGGAGGGGTGGGGGTGGGACCATACCAAGCCACGATCTCTATAGCACGTGTCTCGTGCCAGATGGCAGCGTAATTGTCTGTGTAGGGGAGGGGATAGGGGGCAGGGTGAAAAACATGCCTGAGTCACCAAGTTACGTGCCACCGCCACGTGGTTAACCAGAGGCACGTGAGGAATGTCCACGTGATAGATAAGGGAATGAGGTCGATAGCGGCACGTGACCCGTGCGCATAGGGGAAACCGAATGGGCCGTCATATGCGAAATACACAGGGTGGTGGGTAGGGTGGCGATTTTTTTGCAAAGTACACGGAATCACCGCTCCTAGCCTCGATTCTGATGCATTTTTTCATGCTGATTCCGAATCTGTCGAGAAAAATGAAAAATTCGTAAAAAATTTGACCCCTGAACGTCCTTGAAGTTTTTGGATAAAGTGAAAATATAGACGTCTCACTGCATAATCGAAAGCTGCGTTGTGTTTAGGCTGAAAAGTTTATATGATCGTGAAACATGGTCCGTTGGCGCCACAATGCCGCTAAAACCAGCAATATCACTCATTTGGTTTAGCAACAGCGTTCAATAATATCCGCACCCTTTGGGGCAATCTGCCTCTGATGGCGAGTATCGAACTAATAGTGATACGCGTCTGCCTGTAGGTGGCAGCACTGTTCCCCAAACTTCGATTCTTTGATAGGTCATTGTGATAACATTAACACGTTTTATCATCATGTTTTCCTTGCCAAAAGATACAATAACCATTAATCTGATCGTCTGAAAGAAATTTCAAGCATTAGTGTGTCATTTTTCTTTCCTAAACAATGTCTAAAATAAGGTAAAAGCAAGCAATCGGGATGAAACGGTAATAGCCCATGGTAAACACGATTACACAAGGAATCGTGTACGACAGGTTAATTTCGTTCAGTAGCATACACATGACGGGATGCACCTAGATGCTCAGGGAGCCCCACCGGCATTTGGTTTGGTCGTAAGACCCTATGACTTGATTAAACCCAGCTGCCGGCCCGCAGTGATGTCGTTGGAAGAATATACAATCGTAGACTCGAGCCGATGGCGTTGTGCGGCACTGATGTGTCACGAACCAATAAACCCTTTCATTTAACAGGTCACCGGTGAAGTATGGTTATGCACTTACTTGCCTGCCCAGCGCATTGACTCAATGGTGGCCAAAATCATGAACTGTCGGAACAATAGGCAAGATCGCGTCAGACTCTAACAACTGCACAATCTGAAGGGACCAGCTCGCTGTTTGACAGCGCACCGGAATCAATTACCGGAACATCCCGAGGATGTGTCCTTCCTCGCAGATCAGCTCGGTGCCAGGCATTAGCACATCGGCCAGTTGCTAGGCAACAGCGGGATACTGGAAAGGACAGGTGAAAAACCGACAGCGCTGCTCCTCTGCTCTGTGCCGCTGCTCGGCAGAGTGAGACACCCTCCAGTGGGCCTTCTGCATCGCTACATTTACACTTCCTCTGCGGGAATTCGCTCATTGTGGCTGGCAGTGAATCCGGTATAGTTAGGCGATAGGTCGGGTCCGCTGAAAAACAGCCAGCAAGGCCGTCTCCGACTTGGGTCGCTCTTCTCCTGAGGTCAGTGTCTGGAGCGACACGGTCTCCGCGCCGCCGCGGACGGCAGTCTCACACCACCCTCCAGACAGGCAAGGAAACGCGTAACCATAAATTAACTTCATCGCAGACATGTTTAGTGGTGGGCTTTATTGGTACGTGATACATATCAGTGCCGCACGACGCCATCGCCTCTAGATTGAGCTTGCATAATCTTCCAAAGACATTACTGCGGGTCGGCAGCTGGGCTGAAGTCAGGTCACAGGGTTTTACGACCACTTGCCGGTGGGGCTCGCCGAACATCTAGGTGCATCCCCTGCATGACACTAAACGAAATAAGCCTGTCATAAACGATTCCTTGTGTAATCGTTGCTTACATTGCTGGGGCATCGCCGTTTCACCCAGATCGTACTTTGCTTTTGGTTAGAAAAAGACTTATTTTAGACATTGTTTAGGTAAGGAAAATGACATACTGATGCTTGAAATTTCCTTCAGACGATCAGATTAATGGTTAATGTATCTTTTGGCAAGGAAGACATGATGATAAAACATGTTAATGAAACCACAATGACCTATCAAAGAATCGAAGTTTGGGGAACAGTGCTGCCACCTACAGGCAGACGCGCATCACTATTAGTTCGATACTCGCCATCAGAGGCAGATTGCCCCAAAGGGTACGGATATTATTGAACGCTGTTGCTAAACCAAATGAGTGATATTGCTGGTTTTAGCGGCATTGTGGCGCCAACGGACCATGTTTCACGCTCATATAAACTTTTCAGCCTAAACACAACGCAGCTTTCGATTATGCAGTGAGACGTCGATATTTTCACTTTATCCAAAAACTTCAAGGACGTTCAGGGGTCAAATTTTTTACGAATTTTTCATTTTTCTCGACAGATTCGGAATCAGCATGAAAAAATGCATCAGAATCGAGGCTAGGAGCGGTGATTCCGTGTACTTTGCAAAAAAATGGCCACCCTAGTGGTGGGTACAAAAATAGCCACGGTGATCATGCGCTACGGGGAAAAAGTCATGTGACTTTCTTGCTTCATTTTTTTTTTTAATGCAGCGTTTCAATTGCTTTTTCGCAGTATCCCTTGCAGTGGTAAATTGTACGTCGAAATCGCAAATAGTTGTAGGCATATTCCTACGCAAATCAAAATTAGGTATCTTGCCTTGCTGAGCATACGGGGAAAGTATGTAAATGATAACCGTCCATTACTAAAGCAAAAAAACTGACGTTTCTGTCGCAAGAAGACACTAAGGTTAGGGTTCATAACTATTTTAACTATAACGTTTATAACTATTTATAACTATTATAACACTGTTAAGGTTTATAACTATTCACAGTAGACTCTGCGATTTCCATTTTTAGGCAGACACTGGCGAAGTTGATCGGTAGAAAACTGGATCACTGGACACTCTGCCAAGCAAATGGAAACAAAAAAGAAACTAGAAATCAGTTCTGCCAAGTCACACTGCCAAACTTTCTCTGACTTGGCAAACATGCAGCATGGACCTTTTCGCCGCTTTGAACCCGTTATTTACTAGCCACCGCTCTCCATTATTTGAAACGAAGGCCTTTTCACACGAGAAACAATTATTTTTAAAACAAATTCATGTGTGCAAAAGTCACACAATGAGACGTTCCAAGCTTGTCAGACGCATCATGCAAGCATACCTTTATTGACAATATAATAAGTTCGGCTGCATCGGCCGAAATCAATTCCACATCAACCCATGTAACATTTCATGACAACAAACCATGATAATATTACTTGAGATGAAATATAAACAAAGGCATCCCCTGATACAAACAAACATCATCTCACTGGGTCAAGGTCACATATCGAGACCAAGACAGCCACTACGGTCACCGTACGAACCGGTTTTCACCGGTTTCTCCGGTCAACGCTCGCCATCTCGTGCGAAGGAAAGTAAGCCACCTCCGCAGTAAAAGTTCAACAATCTTACTCTGATATTCTCACGTGCGAGCTCCCGCGCTACCGGTCTGGCTGATTTCTCAGTGAGTTGTGATGTTGTCTTGTCATACACGGGGGTGTTATACATAATGCTGAGTTCAATTGCCTTATTTTATAAATCGATACTGTATCTTATGCTGCTTCATGGCAGAGTTTACTTGCAGAAAGTTGCTTATACCTAAGCCAGCGATTTAGCAGATTAAACATCCAATGAGCAAGCAACAATAACCCGCGCACCGACGGGGGTCTGCGCCAACTTCGCACCGACGGGGGGGGGGGGCGGATGACCGCCCCCCCCCTGAGATCTCGAGAACGAAGGAAGATAGCGACAAGCGGTAAACGGCATCGGATACGCACGGTCAAGATCTACAATTTTTACTAAGGTCATTTTCAGGTCAGGTCAAAGATGACGTCACAGGGGTCGAAAAAGTCAAAATGGCGGCGCTAGATATGGAGAGAGTTTTTCTCGAATAACTTTCGAATTAGTCAAGATAGGAACAAACAAAGGGCATCATCGTGATCCTCTTGTTAATCCGCATCGAATGATATACATGTTGACCTCGAAAGGTCAAGGTCAAAGGTTGACCTCAGGTCACGTGACCTCGAGGTCATCATGTATATCATTCGATGCGTCTTGACGAGCTGAACACAATGAGACCATCCACGCGGCTGTATCTTGTTCCTGTACGGAGTTATTGGCCAAAACCCTTTGGTGACCTTTGATGACGTCACATGACCTCACAGCTGCCCAACAGCAAAACAGACCTCAAGGTAGTGAAGGTTGATCGTATATGAAGTCATGTATGGTATATGGGGCCATTCCGACCCGTTTTAGTGGTAAAAACAGGGAGTTGATTTTCCCCCATTGACTTATAATGGGGAGGTCGCGAAATTGACCTGACCTTAGGTCACCGATATCAAAATTCCGAGATATACAAATTGTAGCTACTAATGACCTAATAACCTCCTGCGACTTTCAAAGGCCTCCGACATCTACTGTAGCTCTGGCACGGTGACAAAGTTGCAAAAAAGTGACTTGAGGTTGGGTCATTCAAAGTGGCCTGGTGACCTGACCAAGGTAGGAGGTTCAAACTTGCACACCATGTGTAAAATTGATGAGGGAATAGTCGTACCAAATTTCGCGGCGTTTTCCCGCTATTTGCGAAAAACCTCAGGGGAGGGGCGGATATCCGCCCCCCCCGTCGGTGCGCGGGATAACATGTCAGGACCCTCCTCTCCCTTTCACCTGGCTCTGAACTTGTTTCGGAGCCGTTAAATAACTTATTCATGTTAACCTCTTTGACCTGAGTTTTTCCTGATACGTCAGGCTCATGTTCTCATGAGAAAGTAGCAAGCTGTCTTCTGAAAAGACCAGCGCAGAACCAACATGTCAGGCAGGCGTTCAATGTTGATTGTCGTCGCCCCCGTGACCTCGATCACGTGACACCCACAACCCACGTGACCCTGATGACGACACGCACCACGTGTCTTCGCACAATGCCTGTGTAACAGTATGCAAATGACGTTATTTGTACATCAGCTAGTGTCGTGTTAAGGACTTTGCCGCTCTAGTCTTTTATGTAGTCTAGGATGTAGGCCCTAGCGGATCCAGGAAGAGGATTTGAGACACTGCGAGGGGGGGGGACATACTGTCCAAAAAGTTTCTTCAATTTACTTCTGGGATTTCGCTGCCTCCTGATTTGTTGTGTAGTTCAAAACAACCGTTTTCTAGTAAAAAATGTTTAGTTTTCTTTATAGGCGAGTAAACCTAAAAATTGTGTCAATTTCGGGCACTCCGGGAACGGCAAATGCCCCTATTGCCCCCTCCCTGAAATCGCCAGTGGCAGTAGATCTAAGGGGGGGGGGGGCATCGAACCGTGGACGTTTCCGGATGGTGCTCAGTCAAATTAAGAAAATACTTGACACTTCGAATGAATTTATGTACCTTACAGAAAATGTAACGAGAAAACGTCATTCATTCGTTTGCTGACAGTACGTCATTTCTCCTCCCCCAGGTAACATCATATGTGGCAGCAGATTTAGCAGAAGAAATAGTCGACTTATCTCAATGTCGTGACTCGAATCGACTCGGCAAGTCCCTCCAACATGTCGAACCCCCGGCGAGTTGTCTCAGAAGGCCTGGAGGTACGGGTACTACGTGGTGTGACACGCCCGGCGCCGACTACCCCTGGTGAGAGGCTATGCGCGCCGGCAGGCGTGTCAAACCGCGGCTTAGAAAATAGTGACCGAAAAACAGCGACGGGAAAACAGCGACCTACTCACAATTGACAGTGTCTAATTCTATAGCGACTCTCAAAACAGCGACTCACGGACTTGAGCGATTCTTTAAAAGGGCGACGGGTTGTAGAGCGACAGCGTAAAATAGTGACCGTCGGTATTTTTTCCTTTATATAGCGAAACAGCGACGTGTTGCAAAGCGACCGCGGAAAAATTTCGAATATCATTCAGGTTCAGGTATTCGTATGTCATATTACGACACTTTGCCTTACACCCCTCGATGACCTCGTGACACCACACTACTCCCACCACTGACCCTGTCACCCCACCACCGAAATTGTGGTCTTGACATTGACCTGTGACCTCTCTCGTTCCAGGCAGGCGATTCGGGCATATCTACGCCGTTCCAGTGATGACGTCACACGCCGTACCGGTCAACTCGATCCCACGGACATCGAAAAACTCCTCAACAAATATGGCGTCTCCAAATCACCGAGCGTCGTCAAACGCCTCAGGCGCTCCGCTGACGTCACTAGTGATGCCCGTGACGTCACTCGCCAACAGCTGGTGCGCGAGGCAGGCCGTGTGACGTCACGGGGCTCCGCGACGACGGTGACAGAAGCGACGAACTTTGAGTTGGATGGGGAGCCAAAAGATGGCAGCACCAGTGACAAACATGGCGGAACGAAGACGAAGCGAATAAACGACAAGAATCTGACCGAGGAGGATGAGTTGGTGCTTTTGTTGACGTATTTTTCTAACCCGAACAGTATTATTTTCACTGAAAGCGTCCTGCAGGGTCTGATGATGATGAGAGAGGCCTCTGAAGGCGACGAAGAACAGTGGATTGAGAAAGAAGGGTCGGAGTCTGAGATGAAAGTTCAGGGAGAGAGTGTGATAAGCGAAACTCAGCAGGGCGACGACAAAGCCAGTGGGGAGCATCTGACACAAGCTAGGCCAGGTGGAATAGAAGGAGATGTTGCACTAGAGGGAACGCCCGAAGTGCAAAACGCTACTTCGAACGAACAGCATGGTGTTGATCAGACACTTGAATCAAAGGAAGATTCAGTGAGTGAAAATCTCGTCAACACTGAAACACTGGAACCCTACGAAATCCCATCTTTGACGCCCACCTCTACACCCGTGACCACTACTCAACAAGACTCGTCTCGTCAGCCAGACTCGTCAGCCACATCTTCTTCCGACTCCCCAACCGCACCCTCTCCTTCAGCTGTTCTCTCGGCCGCTTCCCCTACCGTTTCGCCGCCTCCTTCCACTATCCCAGCCACATCGCTCTTCCCCGATGTCCACAGTCGCCGCCCCTCTCCTCTACGACATCCCATCCACGCTGAATCCCCTCCATATGGAGATCTTCCGATGGCATCTTCCTCCTCAGACATCTCTTCACCAGGCATCCGCACTGGAGCACAAGTCTTGCAACAGATACAAACTGGCGAAGACATCCTCGCGGAGTTTTCTGATCGCGAGACGTCAAGACCTTCAACCTCAGGAGGTGCTTCGCAAGATAAGTGGTCTTGGAGTCATCAGGGAAGCCACGTGAACTCGCAGACTCCTGAACAAGCTACATGGGATGATGACACGTGGACTGATGATGCGCACACCTCCTGGGGGACGAAGACAGATGGCCATGACTCCTGGGGGGATGAGCACTTCCCTCCGGAAGTCCAGTACTATCGCCCAACAAGGCCTCCTCCCGTTGAGGCAGATCCCGTTGATGCTTTCCAGTGGGTGGATTCCCCTACCCCAGAATGGCGTCCTATGCGACCTTCTCCTCAGGCCGAGTCTTTAGTGGTTCTCCCTCCAGAGAAGGGTGATCAGAAGAAGGACAGACCAGAAAGGGTCCCTGTTAGAGGTGGTGGGAACTCGGGAGGTGACGGAGGCATGTATGAAGCTGAGCGGATTGTCGTTGGCAGCAAAAGGCGACCGACGACAAGGAGACCAGAAACTGTCGCCAGCCTGGCGGAAGAATTGGAGTTTATCGAAGAAACCGTATACACTGAGCCCATCTACCGGCCGAACGGGGAAGCTGAAGTGTCACCGACGGCCGCCATGACGCCGACGACGACAGAGGCGCCGATGACGTCATCAGGGACGACTGCGGACCCATATGTTATGTAAGTTGATTAGGACGTTGATATAAGCAAGGCAAGACAACGTCCAGCTTGTTGCTCCGAGCGGGTAATGTTTATCAATTGAGTTTCGCAATATTTGACTGTTGAACTGATTTCCTTTACCATATGAGGTTCATTATTATTAAGCTGAACAGGACACGCTACGAGATAACGTCAGCCATTTGGGCTCCGTGATCATTTTCCTGACTTCCTACGGCCACTAAGTCATGTGTATTATTGAAGTGTCCGACGTCCCCACAGCCCATAAAACGCACCATCGTGTAGCCTTCCCCGCCCCATATCCCCAGACTCCATGAGCTCACCTGACATTTTTCTTCTTATTCTGCGCACCACCGACACTAACCATCTCTCCGTCCCCAGGTCCGCCTGTGACGTATCAGTGGAGGTGCGATCACCCTACTACGCCATGAACACGCAGAACGTGTGGAAGATGCTGATCAACATCCCGCCGTTCGAGACCTACATCCACATGGAGCACTGTGTGTAAGTTGGAGGCGAGGTGGGAGAAGATGTTGTAGGGTGAGCTAGGTAGTGTTTAAGGAAATCTTGATGAGGATGTGGCAGGGTCCCCATGGGGCACTGTGTGCAAGTTGAAGAAGAGGTAAGAGAGGCAGTTGTAACTAGGAGCTGGGAAGGAATGCTAGAGGATAAATTTATGCTGGAAGAGGGTTGGAAGAAGGTAGGGATTAAGACCCTTGGCTTTGCAGGTAGATGACAGGGGGAGGGCGCCTGGCAGGTTGCAGGAATGTTAGTATGTCTAGGGGCATGTTGCGAGGGAATGTTGCAGGATGTCTTGGAGGGAGGTAAGGAAGGGCATTGGGACGTTGGGGCCCCCTTCTCACAATATCGAGCACGTGTTCCACAGCTGACGACCCATCAACGCTTAAACGCCTTCAGACAATGACAAACTCCTTCTTCCCCTCACGACGTCCAACACGAGCTCGCATATCTCGCTACGACGCCCATTGCAAAGTCGTTGACCCCCAACCCCAGCACTGACCTTCAACCCCTCTCACCAACACTGCCGACCCTGCGACACCAGCTCTAACCCCATTCTATCTCCCCTCCCACAGTGTCGAACATGAACAAGGACGCTGACCGTCACTAACCAAATTGGTGGTGCCCCTCCCACTGTCCTAGGCGCTTCTCTCCCCCACAACACTCGCCACTTGGCGCTTACCCTACCCTAATGACCTCCCCTTCTCCCTCTCCCACAGTAAGGAACACAAACAAGGACGCTGACCGTCACTAACCTAAGTGGTGGATCCCCTCCCTTCCCCGTAGCTCTCTCGCCGCTTGGCGCTTACCCCTCCCTCACTGACTTCCCCCTTTCCCTCTCCCACAGTGTGGAACACGAACAGGGACGCTGCGCGGCCGGCTGTCGCTGTACCCAACGTCACAGCATTCGCACCATGCCCGTATACGTCCGGGATTCAGACGGATGTGATCGAATCTACATGGATAAGTTCCTGTTTCCGTCGCACTGTGATTGTATGTGTTTGCCGACGCATCACGTGTTGTTTAATTTGACGAGACCTGCGCCCACCACGCCAGTGAGGCCTAGTGGGGAAAATGGTAGCTCAACGTTTACGCAAAATGTGGGAGGTGGTAGCGTTGAAGCGGAAAGCACGAGCGAGTCGGTGTATCCTAGTGGGGGTAGCGCAAACTACACGTTTCCACCACGGTACACAGATGGCGCTAGTGCCGAGGCGTTAAAGGCAGCTGGATTCGCGGCGAGAGTAGTTACAGCTGCGCCAACTTTGTCGCCAAGTTCCCGACGTGCGCCGGGATCGTCTTTTCGCACTCCTCCACCAAGAAGACCAGTGGTACCAGCGGATTCGTTAGTTCGTTCTCATCGGAACAAGAACAGAGGCCCAGCGTTCTCGTTGCCAATGCGCCAACGAACGTCTCAAAATGGTGTGACGCGTCGTAATGGTCGCGCTAATGATATTCAGAGTGAGGATGGCATTGCGGAGCGAATGCCGCCACCTCTGCCGAGACGTCAGAGGCTATTGAAATAATGCTACAGTGTTTTACCTTCTTCCGAGGGCAATGATAATTCAGATTCGCTTGCTGACCGGGGAAAGCTATTCAGCTTGGGGTCTAAGGGGCTTCTAGTCTCTAAATGACGCTAAGTTAATGCCGAACTGGAAAATTTAATTCCTCCCAAGTTTCTTATTGGAAGTCCCAATGGTCTGAACGATAACCTAATTAGGTACCAGGCGCCCGCTATTTTCAAAAGAGCACGGACCTACCACCTACTGTCTCGCTGCGCCCAGCTTGCCAGCTTGAACCGAAGTCAAATGCGTCGCAAATAGATGGGGTTGCTGTTCGCTCCTCTCGGGCCAAATGCAGCCCTCATGTCACTTGTCACGTGACATGCTATTTTCGAATGCCTCAAAATTGCACTCTTATCCAAGTCCGAGTGTTAAAGTTTGAACCAAATAAAGAGGTCTAAAAAACATTGTTTCGTTGGCCCCTAACCCCTAGCAAACAAACAACAAATAACTGGCTAAACACACAACCATACGATATAGTTCGACTGACTTACATAACCATGCGACCATACATCGAGTGAACACAACCACGCGACAATAAAATCGATTGACTTAGCAACATTATTAGGGACTGCATAGGTCCTTGTAAAGAGAGTATTGAGTATTGCGAGATGATTCGCTTTTTGGAGGTCTGTGAGCTGTATGAAGTATGAACCGACACCGAACTTGTGTGTGGTAATTGCTAACAGGTGTAAACCCACGAATGACGTATCCACTGCGTGGAAAATTATAGGCATGTGACAGCCGATCTTAAGTTGACAGTGTGTTCCGTGAATGCTGCAATTCAACGTTGCAAATACTTCTGTGAATGAATGAGCATAATTTGCATAACGAGTAGAAGCGGATTTTAATCAAGCATCAGCCGTAGATTTGTTCGTAATGCGTCTTTACTTTGCGAATATATTTGGGGCAGCTGTCTATAACATCCAAGCCGATGTCCTTGTAATATTCTAGCGAGTGATATTTTCACAGTGCTTGCGCGGAATGCGTCTTGAAAACTGTACGGAACAGGAAACCACCTGAGACCGAGTTAAAGCGTAGAAGTGTGTGGTAGCACTGCTGTACAGTGTTTGCCATTGGTAAGGTGCGAATAAGACCGCTGGCTGTTTGTATATAGCTGAAACTGCCTTGTTGAAGTGCCCACATCGTGATTATTTATCTCTCATGCCTGTGCAGTGGTGTTCCTTCTCAAACAACGCCTTTGCGGAGGCGGTCTAAATCGCTGCCACCATGCTATGATGTATTCGTTTCATTCTCACTTGTGTACACTCGGGGGCAGATTGATGTTCTACAACTCTTTATCCACCGGGTTCCTATGGCTCAGCATTGGCAGCAGCCGCCTGGTACCGGTAGACTGTGCCGCTTCACTTACTTGTCAAGCGGCACAGCCTACCCACCCGTATGACACCGGTCTGGGTCGGTGGCTGGAAGGTGATGTGGGCCGCCTGTGACGTCAGCGCAGCGGTGAGGGCCGAGCCCGGAGGCATGGCTCGGGTCGGCGCGGCGCGGCGGCTGGCGAGGGCTGGGGAGTGAGGTGGGGTGGGAGCACGGACCATCGCGCGGCTGAGCGAGTGTAGTTAACTTTCGCGTCTCAAGGCGCCAATTGTTCTACCTAACAATTGTGCTAAAGCAGTTGTTAAAAGGTCCTATCCCCAAGACTATCATCATACTTGCAATGCACATTACGACACACTTAAGCGTGGCAATGGGACAGCCGATAGAACTTATGTCACTCGTGCATCGAGGTGCGGAGCAATATTTTGTATAACATATTAATATTAAGGCCTTGAATCTTGATTGAGCAGATTGGTGTCTATTGTTTCGCACGGCAATCGTCCAGAGACGTGGGAACTGGGGGTTATGAGTAGTGCCGCAGCCAACGCCCCAATTTAAAGCGATTATTACTGTTGCTCTAATATGTGGTCGCATGGCCCCCAATAGCAAACCGTTCCAACTAGGAGCCAAAAAGTCGGCCACTCAGGGGGTTCGAACCGGGCTTCTCCCACCGGCCAATTCACGACACGAGCGTTCATCCACTGAGCTACCGAGAATGATCCACGTCTGCACAAAACAAAATGACATTGACCCGCTGACCGCCAGTGACAGTATTCTGACATTTGATCGCGTTTGACCGCAGCGGGTGGTCGCTGGTTTCGGCAGCTCAGTGGATACACGCTAGCGTCGTGGGGTGACCGGTTGGAGAAACCCGGTTCGAACCGTCCCAAGGTGCTCGATTTATTTGTTCCTGGATGGAACGGTTTGCTATTGGTGGCTGCGACCACACATTAGAGGAACAGTAAGAGTTGCTTTGGGACGCCGCGCTATCCAAAAACCCCAGTTCCCACGTCTCTGGACGATTGCTGTGCGAAATAATAGACACCAATGAGCTCAATCAATGCCTTAATACTTATCTGTTAAAAACAATGTAGCTCCGCAACTCGATGCACGTGTGATATAAATTCTATCGGCTGTCCCAATACCACGTTTAAGTGTGTCGTAATGTGCATGGCAAGTATGATGATCTTGTCTGTCTGGCGCTGTCTTGGGAATACGAAATTTTAACAACTGCTTTAGCACAATTGTTAGGTAGAATAATTGGCGCCTTGAGACGCGAAAGTTAACTACACTCGCTCCGCCGCGCGATGGTCCGTGCTCCCACCCCACCTCACTCCCCAGCCCTCGCCAGCCGCCGCGCCGCGCCGACCCGAGCCATGCCTCCGGGCTCGGCCCTCACCGCTGCGCTGACGTCACAGGCGGCCCACATCGCCTTCCAGCCACCGACCCAGAACGGTGGCATACGGTGTGGGTAGGCTGTGCCGCTTGACAAGTAAGTGAAGCGGCACAGTCTACCGGTACCAGGCGGCTGCTGCCAACGCTGAGCCATAGGAACCCGGTGGATAAAGAGTTGTAGAACATCAATCTGCCCCCGAGTGTACCTAACGTAAACGGTTGAAGGCATCAAACGCATGATCATATTGCTCTGAAATATATTTATATACGGTTCCATATATACATGCATTTGAGGTGGTTTCCATTGTTGACATTGCCAGTACAAGTATCCATGACAGGAAAGACGGGTTTAACCTTTGGACATGTGTAAAGAAGCGGAATGGAACTATAAACCGTGACTAAAATCGAGGCTGATCAATGATATTATTAAACTGTCTAAAATGTGAGGAAATATTTTGCTTCTAAGTACAAGCAGGTAGGGCCTAAAAAGGAGTCGAAATAATTTCAAAATAATTTCATAACGAATTGCCTCGACGAAGCAAGACATCGGAATTGATACTTGTTTCATATCCTCTACGTGTACCTATTGATAATATTTCTACATCAACTATAGTGCATATGCTAAAGCTCATTTGACTAGTTTATCAGACTTGTTGTTAATAAACTAAATCCTACAATACTTCTCGGTAGTTACGTTAATGTATCTAGAATGTAACTATTGAAAAGAAGCTCTTCTGTGGACTGATGAACTGAAGTCTGAATCTTCGCTTTCTGTCATGTGTTCTCGGGAGTTCAAGCGAACCAGATGCTACCTCTCCTTCTCAGGACCTCACAAAGGTCTCCACACCAGATGGATCCACAACACCTTGATGACGTTCCAAACAATAGTCACAAAAGCCAGACTTCACTGGAGCAAATATATCAAGCCACGCCAGTCGCCAACAAGTCAAGCCAGTTGATGTCACTTGTCAGATCAGTTCATGCCATAGCCGGGGTTCTTCTAGGCCTTGCTGAACTCGAGAAGCTCTTCAGCGACACACCCGGCCCTCTCGGGAACGTCGCACACCTTCAGAGTCGGGTTGTAGTAGAGGTTAGGCGGGCACACCTGGAATAGAGGTGGGCAGCGGTTAGAGATGGGCGGTAGTGGTGAGCAATGGCTAGAATTCGCAGTTAGAGGTGGGAAAGGTTTAAATGTAGATGAAATATAGGGGCGGGAAGCTGCTAGAGATGGGCGAAAGAGGTGGACAACGATCAGAGATGGGAGATAGCGGCAGGTGAAATTCAGGGAAGTTAGCACAGAGGCGAAACAATAAGTGGAAATGGGAAAAGAGACGAGATAAATTAGCAAACTTTATACATTTGAAGAGGACTTATGGAAACGTCAGTTGTGGATACACGTGTAGACATAAACCGGTGATATACTGGAATAACATATCAAAACTGCAATGCAGCATGCCCGATCAAGAGCAAACACTCATCACTTAGTGTAGAGTCACTGTTAAACACACACGACAAAATGAAACCACCAAAAATTTAGGACTCAGTGGGATTCGAACCCGTCATCTCCGCACTCTGTACCTGTTCGACCTCGCGCTGGTGGGAGCAGGTGATGTACTTGGTGCAGTCGGTCGGGTGAGGGAACTGCTTGTAGACATCGGAAGGCACGTTCTCGCACTTGTTGGTATCCTGGCGGGGGTAGTGATGACGTCAGTGACGCTGTGACGTCATATCAGGGATCCAATGATGTCATCACGAGAAAGACGAATGAGATGATGCGGAAGATTCGCGCATCACCATGCCTATTCACTTTTTCTCATATTGCAAAGTTAGTTTGGGATCTTACACAGTCTTACTAAGGATAAAGGAACATGTAAGATCCATCTGGGGCTCTAACCGTCTCTAAATACGAAACAATAAAATCAATCACCCAATATTCAAGTGAATAGGATTAGTATCTATGTATCAAAGGAGACAAACGAGCAAGGGTAATGTTTTCATTCTGCTGCTGTGATTTGCCGTGGTATATTTAGCTACATAGGTTACTTACATCGGGATCAACGGGGTCGACAGGCTCGTCACCTGAAACGGAGAAGACAAAGATCATTACATTAGCACATTTTGAAACATCTGATTATCTGTCCGTAAGTAAGGAATCGTTCAAATAATCGACACGAGTGCATGACGTGTTATAAGGTCTGCGACATACTAGATCAATTACTCATTCCATTCTCGTGATATGACATCCTCGTGTTTCAAAACGATAAATAAATCCTTCATAGCTTGAAACCTTCTCGAACATTTCTTCAAACAACTTCTTCTCATCCCTTCCTAAGTCCTCCTGTTTCTTACCAGATCCCTCGCCGGACTCCTCCGACGATCCCGATCCTTCCTCGCTGGACTCCTCGGACGAGGATCCGGAGCCCTCCTCACTGGATTCCTCAGAGGATCCGGATCCCTCGTCACAGATAACGGCATCGGGCCAGTTGCAGACATTCAGGGTGGTGTCGAACAGGGTACCCTGTCAGTGGAACGAGTGGTGGTGAGAGCTCGTGTGAATGCGGTCCCCTGTTAGAGAAGTGATCAGAAAGGTGTGTAAGAAATAAAGCAGAAGCCTAGCAAATTATATAAGGTCGCTGAAAGCGCTAATTGTGCTAATAAAGCACGCCCGAAAACCCTATTCGGTAGCCCTATCCTCCAGAAAAGCTCGTCCACTGATTTGCTTATCCGTTTCTATAACTGTTCGACCTTCGTATCATGCAATGTTTACTTGTGAATGTGGACTCGAAGCGATCCATCATCGTTAGATGAACAGACTATGTATATTGTATGATACATACAGACTCAACAGACTGTATAACAGAGTGGTACTTATGGGCTACAAGACTCACGGCGGGACAGTCAAACTTGTAGGCGACACCGTTACTGCACTGGTAGAACACTGCGCAGTTGGCCTCGTCACGGAAGTAGACCGGGAACGCCGCGTCCCTCTGAGGGTTACAGGGGTCAGAGGTCAGAGAGGGAGAGAGAGAGAGAGAGAGAGAGAGAGAGAGAGAGAGAGAGAGAGAGAGAGAGAGAGAGAGAGAGAGAGAGGGAGAGGGAGAGGGAGAGGGAGAGGGAGAGGGAGAGGGAGAGGGAGAGAGAGAGAGAGAGAGAGAGAGAGAGAGAGAGAGAGAGAGAGAGAGAGAGAGAGAGAGAGAGAGAGAGAGAGAGAGAGAGAGAGAGAGAGAGAGAGAGAGAGAGAGAAATCAGAGTAGTGGGCGCCGCGTCCCTCGCTGGATTTACAAGGGGTAAGGGTTTTTCAGAGGTTATGGACCAGTCGCAGGTAAGGGGCTTGGGCTGAAAGGTTCAAGATCGTAAGTCGAATGGAGAATCCGGACTCCGGAGGTCGAAGTTGGCGATCAGAGTTCACCGGTCTGGGATAAGATGTTAGATGTCAGAGGTTAGGAACCCAGAATAGGTCAGAGGTCCGGTGAACACCAGTGAACCAAAGTCCTCGGGATCTTGACAGGGTGACTGTGAAATAAAAAAGGATGTGGATGCATCAACCGTCAAAGCGTATGTAAACTGGCTGTTTAAAAGAATAAAATATGTTATTCGAACATGAAATATTGCCACTTTCTGGTTTTTGGGACGAAAATATTTATCCCATTCGGTGTGATTTTCTACCCAAAATTCTTCAAAGATGGAGCACCCTTGACTCCCCACGTATCCCCACCACCGACAACTCCCCACAAATCCCCCAAAATCCCCAAATCCCCCCATACCACCAAATCTTACCGGAGGACAGCGAGCGTCCGACGTGGGGACGCGGGCGGCTGAGGCCACGGCGGCCAGGGCCAGCACAGAGACCAGCCTGAAATAGCGCAGAGCGATGACGTCAGTGGGAATGGAAAATGACGCCAGTGGGATTCAGTTAAAATAAAGCTAACTTAACCTAAACTAACCTAAAACTGTATTGTGATACCGAAATTATGATGTGTTCTAAAACAAAATGAAGCTAACAACCAAATTCAACTAGTAAATGAAGTTCAATTTCAATCGATTTGTCTGATCTGAACACACCATAGGAACTGGCATTCGCGTCACCAAAAAATGATTTGCCAACGAGCACGACACAGCGATTCGTATAGTCGCTGAAGGCCTTTGGTAGACCATTTAGCTCACGCCACAATGCAGTAACTAATTTGGTTTATTTCATCATGGCAAGTATCGACGGAAGAACAATGCCTAGTATAGAGCAAGACTCTACATACATGTATGGTCTAACTGGGCCTGAACTTTTACAAACATGCTCTACCCCTAAGGCATCAGTTGGCTCTATACCTATACAAACTATAAAGTGTAAATTGCACATCCAGCACTGAACCCATTCGATAGCTACTATTATCTTCACTGACAGTCAGGAAACGGCAATCGTTCAATGAGAACAGTCAGAAACGGTGATGTCAATGAATTACCAATGTTTGCATAGGCGGCGGAACGGGGAGGGCCCCGGGGCACCGTGCCCCCCTTTGATTTTGGCGTTTTAACATTAGCCCTATGGGTGTTGCATGGAAAGAATGGGACCAAAAGTGGGCAGTGCGCCCCCCCCCCCTTATTTGAAGGTGTTCCGCCACTACTGAATATTTGTGCTATTTATGCAAGACCCATAAACTCTCGATTTGAAAGCCCTCTTTCACTCTGTGCCTCACACATCAAAACGGGAGTAAGTCCTTACAAAACAGCATTGAAAACATTACGGGGACTACATCACGTGGTCAAACCAGGCAACGCCTGCCTGCCGGTGTTTCAACGGAGATATCTACTCACATGCTCACATTTGCTCACATTCAATCTCACACTGTACTCACAGTTTCATGGCTGACGATTTCAGTGAGCTGCTCGTGCTCCAATGTGCTCCGGAGTCCTCCGACTGACCGAATCCACCACCCAACGCACTTATATCCAATCCACCCATTATCAATTTATGAGTTTACTGCCGGAGACGGGACGATAGCGAGAGAATTCGCGGCTCTGCCGCCTTCAAAGCTATGAGGTCAGCACGGTGACCCAGAACTTGTGACGTCATCGGTTTATCGGGATGAATTATGGTGGCGTGACGCATGCTGACTTCGGAAAGCGTCAGGATACCACAAAACGCGGGTGTGTGTGAAACAGCAAAGAAGCGAGAAAACAATAATTCAGATGATGTAAGCAAGTGTTTGCAGACTATTCACAGGCAGGGAGAACGCTTCTCAAAATATTATATGTCGCTTCTGAGTCCCAGTCACTGAGGAGAGCGTAAAACATAATAAATTAAAAAATAATTTCCAAATGCATTCGCAAACCGAGATTGTTGAGATATATCAATCGTAGCACATGAGGTCGGGGAATCTTTCTTTTACATCCTCTCTAATTCGGCTCTAATTCGGCTGGGCCACAAAACGGCACACGATAAACAGTCTTCGAGAAAGTGTCAAACATCATTAAAAAAGTCCGTTGGTGGTCAGATTCACGTCAGTTCAAAGGTCAGATCACGACACAAGATGTCAAAGGGGAAATTACAGCTTTTTACCTTCTTTGCTACATTGGCTCATCAACTTGAAAATTAAACTTATCACAAGGTCCTGTGCTTAAGTTGCATGGAATCATAATTGGTGTTAATCATCTACAAAATATGGATAATAGACACTGGCTTCATGACATCAAATGTAAAGACAAAACAACAAAACCCTCAAGATATTAAAACGACACTTTTGGTACTATTCACCGTTCACACTGTAAGTGTATGCTAACTCAGCACAAAATCTCAAATCACGTTCTCCTGCCGTGCACATCCATCAAAATTTCCACGAAGATTATCCATTTTTTCCTCTCCGGAACAAAGTTCCACTACACCCACTCTGATCTTTATCCTCACATAAGCTGATCTCTGATCTTTAACCTCACATAACCATAATCCCTCTCCGCTCACTGTGCGCGCCGTTTATGACTTTATTGGCGCGAATTCGGCGCCGTGTTTCTCGGGAGATACGAGGCACAGGGAGGTCGTCGCGATTGTCGCCACATATGGAGTGACGCACGCAGTATTTAGTGGCCGCGTATTAGTTTGGGGCACCTGTTGTCAGGTGGGTAAGATGATGTGATGCATTTGTCAGCAGTGATGAGATTCGTAGGAATTTTAAATGTTAGTTGTTTGAGCGGGCTCATGCGAGGGGATGCATCTGGGTTATTGAAGCCAGGTGTGTACACAATGACACATTTTGTGAGGTCATTAAAATATCTATCACAAAAAATCTTGGACTATTGAACACTATTTGCCTTATTCCTGATCATGATATGAGTATTCATGCCTCCAGGATTTATGAAGCTTTCGTGACAAAAAAACGAGTTTGTTTCATAGGACAATAACATACAGGGTGACACAAAAAAACGGTCATCACCAAATTTCGAATAACTTCGGATTATTCAAATCATCACCAAACTTCGGCCACTTAAGGTCACACCTATGTAGCATACATCCACCAAGTTTCAAGTCTTCAATACGAATACTTTTAGTACAGTGTGTGTTTTACTGACGCTCCACAATGTGCTCCAGGTGAGCGCCACGGCGCTGCAGGGCGTAGGCACACTTGCATCCGGCGGGCAAAGTTGTCGATAACCCGATGGCTGTGCACTTTACAGAGTGCAATGGCCTCTGGAGACAGTGCTCAGGGGGTGTGCTACCCCTGAAACGTTATTCTTATCGGGTTATCGGCAACTCTGCCCGCCGGATGCAGGCGTGCCTACGCCCTGCAGCGCCGGGGCGCTCACCTGGAGCACATTGTGGAGCGTCCGTAAAACACACACTGTACTAAAAGTATTCGTAGGAAGACTTGAAACTTGGTTGATGTCTGCTACATAGGTGTGACCTAAAGTGGCCGAAGTTTGGTGATGATCTGAAAAAAAAATTTCCGAAGTTATTCGAATTTTGGTGATGACCGCTTTTTTGTGTCACCCTGTATAAAAAGCGGACACTTTTCGAACGCCGTGTGCGCTATTCGAAAGCTTTGGCTTGGCTTGCCGTTTGGTGTTAGGCTTTGTGCATTAGCTACTTTGAATGATTTACGTGCATGTACATTGTATGTTCCTAGACAGCTCTTGTACCCTTATTACGGCCAATATTTCTTAGCACCTGAATACTCTGAATAATCTCAAAGACAAGGCTAGCATGATCTGTGCGGGGATGTCCAAAGCCCTATATAGAGGGAAGCTCAACTTTCAAGTGGATGATTTAATAAAGGTCATCATCAAGGTCATCGACAAGGGATTATGTTTATTGACCTGACGTTCAAGGTAGCTCGTTTCCGCTGATTGGTAGACAAAGTTAGGACAGGGTCGAACGAAGGTCGGTCAAAAGCCTTTGTGAGATAGGGTTGGCAAAAGCACAGCATGCTGATTATGTAAGGATATATTTGTGTTATGAGGATATCCTTGTTGGCTCCACCGATAACCTCATAAAGAGGGCATAACATCTTCCAAACGCTTACAAAGCATGCACAAATCACAAGCTTTCAGCACATAGTCCCAGTAAAACACACCAAAAAGAACCGTCAGGAAAACAATCTGGCAATACGGGTGAAATCGTAAAATAGGGAAACTATGTCTCCAGGCCAAAGCTCGCGCATAAATAAACCACCTGAGCTTCATGCCACCAGCATCCCTCAGTTATCAGTTTGATAATACCTCATTGCAGTTCAAAGCCACCGGCTCAGCGGTTATGACCTGTGCCATCCTAAAAGTCATATTGCACTCCTTGTAAAAACCGGAGCGTAGCGCGGTGGCTATACATACGTCCGCTTTAGCGGCTATTTGTGATTCTTTATCTAGGCAACTTATCTAAGCAGTAAGAGATTGTGGGTTTTTCGCGATAATGCGTGTTGCTTCTTGGTTATCAGCCGCTTCTGCTGTGAACTGTGCAACTGCAGCTGCTAATCCTTGCATTAGCGGTCATTTGCGAAGCTTTACTAGGTTTAGGTATGTGTCGTCTGACTTTGGGGTAATGTATGATGCCTATCAGTCAACTTAACGGTTAGCTATGGTGCATCAGAGGATAGTGATCGACTTCACAGTAAGCTGTGATGATTGATGTTTACTAACGACTGTCGTATGCAGTGCACCTCAAAACCAACATATAAAAGTATTGTCTTATCAGGCACTACCTAGCGTTTGTTTACGGATGTGGACTGTGGAGGCATTAAAGGGACTATCCCACCTTCTAAAATGTTGTTAAAACCAGTTAAATTGTGCCCGACTTTATAGATTGGATGACCAGGAACACGGTTCTGGCATTTATTTTTCATAAAACATCTTAGGCTTCCCATATTCCAAACACAAACTTTCAAACATGTGACGTCACAGCCCAAAATTACCTCCTTCCCCAGGCCACATTACTGTCATAAAGCTGATTCTTTTTACTCTGTAGGCACCACAACAAAGCTCAGACCAAGTTTTAAGCGATTTTTCAACGAACAAACCCATTTAAATCAGAATGACTAAACGAGGTGACGTCACACTAACGGTCGCTCCATGTTGAAGATAGGGCCTTGTACAAGGCCCATTTTCAAATGAAGGGAACGAATTTCTTCAACACCAAGAGGCCGCGGGGGTTGCAACCTAGATAGATAGTGATTTCTGAACCTCGGCGCAAACTTGGCTATCTCAACTCAAACCCCATGTTAACCCGCGCCCCGTTGGGCTCTGCCGAGCAACGCGCCCCGTTGGGGGGGGGGCCATTTTGGCCCCCCCTAAGATCTCGAGAACCACGCAACGTAGCGACAAGCGGCAAACGGTGTTGGATAGCCCTATCAGGGAACTACCTTGTGACCCAATTTTATTGACCTAGGTCAAACCGATGACGTCACAGGTCAGGTCAAAGGTCCAATTTTCACCGTTTACAGGCATTTCAAGAAATGCGTTGTAAAATCGAGTAAAATGCATTTCATTGAAAATCATCGATGGGGAAATGTTCTTCAAACACATATTTTGCTAGTTGAGGTCACTGATACCAGGTCAGGTCACTGAGGTCAGGTCACTGGGGGGTCACAATATGAAAGTGTCGTGTGATACATGTTTTATGGTCCATTTTACATGACAAATGCGATTATGTGGGTCAGGCAGCCTTTGGGGCCAGCTTAGGTCACGTTTTGGTCAAGGTCAGGTCAAGGTCAGGTCAAGGTCAGGTCAAATTAGGTCAAATTTCAAAGTTGATATTTTTGCATAAAATGGGTATCTCATCGATGCAGCTCGTCACGGGGAGTTCAATGGTGGTCTTTGTTTTGCCGTACGAGGTCTAGAATCGCTAAAAATTGAGTTAAAAAATTTGACGTCATCATTTTTGAACAGTTTTTTCGCTATAACTTGGCCAAAAAACGAGATATCGATCTGAAATTTGGTATGTATATAGAAGAGCGCAGGGACTATCACATATATTCCGGTTTTTTTCGAAATTCGGAAAAATTTTGGATTTTTTTTTAGTTTTTCTAAAAAAATCAATTTTTTGATTTTTTTTGGGTCAAAAACCCAAAATTTTGAAAATCCAAAATAGCAGTTTTGTAGCGCCGCTTTTTGTCTATTAGACCGTATAAAGAACTTTGAAATTGCTTGATAACTGTAGATTTGGTGAGCGTTTCAAGATTGCATGTTTTTTGCTCATTTTTGCTCGAACATGACCTCAGTTTGACCTCAATAACTCCTGACCTAAGGTGACCTAAGACTTGAAATTTGGTGTGAAGGTGTCAAATTGATACCCGGAAAGGTACTGAAAATTTGGCGGCGCTGCGCGCCGCCGTTTTCTTGCTATTCAGGAAAAACCACAGGGGGGGGGGCCAAAATGGCCCCCCCCCCAACGGGGCGAGGGTTAAAGGTGGGATAGTCCCTTTAAAACGGAGTTGGCAGATAGGGGAGAGCGGGGCCAGTTGAACCACTTTTTATATATTGACATGCACAGCGAGATCTAGTTGTCATATCGAAAAATGCACAATGCCATGAAAAAATATGCTCTTTTGGCTCTATTTTAAGATATGTAAAATTATGTTTCAAACATATTTTGCTGCCAAACGCATGCTTATAAAACAGCTCTACGCCCGTTTCAAATGACCCCGATGCGAGGGTCAATTGAACCAGCCCATGGGGTCAATTGCACCTATCCTTAACAATGGGATGTTTTCCTCTTTAAGGCCACTTTCTTAAAGGGACCCTCCCACCTTAACATTAGATTTGAGTTGAGATAGCCAAAATGGGGTCCCTGGCTCACAATTACCGGTTTCGGCACTCACAACATCGAGAAATGCCTTAAATCGGAAATATTGAATTTCAAAATTGCAGCATTTTGATTCAGAGGGGCTAATGCATAGGAATACCCCTCTGAATGTGTGACGTCAGTGCAGATACTAACGATTTTTAAATGTTTGACTAAAACGTTTTGTAGCACGCGGTGGTATATGCTGCTTTGCGCGCAACAAATGCCGCACTTTCAAATAAAGTCGCTAGGAACAGCGGAGATCCCAAAAAGTAAACAAAAGTAAAAGTCTAATATCTTGAAAACCGGTGAATATTTTTCGATGAAATTTGGTAGATATTCGTTTTTGCTCTTTCTGAACCGAGCGACATCACTTTCATGCCAATTCATTAACTTTTTTGAAGGTGGGAGGGTCCCTTTAAGGAGATATTTTGTCCGGTTTACTTTTCCAAATGCTACATTCAATAGGTCGCTGGAAAGCTAAAAGTGCAAAGTTCCTCATAATAGGTGACATAAAGTACATAGACTATGGTAAAATGGGCGGATGAGGAAAATGAGAAATATCTCAGGCTATAGTGTGCTTTCAAGCAAAAGGCTGGAGAAAAAGGGGTCAAAAATTGAGCTCTATTAAACTACTATTTCAGTTTAAAAGCTCATTTCAAAGGTGGACTATTTCCTTTAATGTTTACAGCCCCTGAACAATAACCATTGCAAAGGTCACCGGGGTCCATTGAAACGGCCTGTGGCCCTGTTTCAACTGACCCTCAGAGAAGCGTTTCAATTGACCCCATCCGCTCCCGCCATCTCGCACGCGCCGTAAAGCACATGTCAAACGAGCTGGAGGGACGGCATCATGCTGAATGAAGGGCCAAATAAGGTGTTATTCCGGAGCCAGGAGTTCTTCTTTCAGCAAACAAAGGTATATGAGATATCACAAAATATTCATATAAACGACTTCTCCCAAACGCCCCTCAAAAACACAAAAACAAGTGTCAAATCAAAATTACCGTCCGTTTGCCGCCCAAACGCCGTTGACAAAGGAAGTGGTCGAGCGCGGATGCGCAGTGGTGTCGGCAACGCCATATGTTGCATACTGTTGAAAATAAAGCCATGTTTCATCTGACCCCGTGTTTCAACTGGCCTCGCTCTCCCCTACGCTTCGATAGGGTCAAGAGTTTGAGACGTTAAATGCTTAAGCATGCAAGCATAAAGCAGAGTGAATGGAGAAGAAGAGGTTATAAGTTATAACAGAAAGAAGTGAAGGAAGTCTGGTCTGAGATACAGGTCAATCACGTCTCAATACGTCAATGAAGTGATGAGAAATATTGGTAGCCCCACTTTATACGGACACCTTTGTGATTGTCATGGTTAGACAGTTTACCTACATACCGCATCATATGTCAACAGTGCGTATAACAGCCGTTACTGAACATCAATCATTACAGCATACTGTGAAGTCGAGCAATGTCTGTGTATCCATGCCATTGTATTTATATGCATTGACTTCACCTGTTATTGGGTTTCTACCTGTTGGTGATTAATTAATCATACAATCATACAAGCAAGGTATCAATAATAATCTGATAACAGTTTGAATGCGAATATCATTGTGTAAATTTTAGCTCTATAGATAACTAGATCCTAACGTTTTGCACACCTTCGCGTCAAATTCAATGTCTTCAACAGATGGTGAAAATTTGAGATACCAAGGAACGACAAAAAAAAAACCGTCGAAATACCATACCGTTATCGGTTTAGGACCGATATACCATGAATATCGAATCAGATCGGCATCACTACCCCCCTCTGCCCCTCCCCCAGCGCCGCCGGGGCGCCCGTTTCTATGTACGAGGGTCGCCCAGGGCAGCGTGGCACGTTGTGCCAACAGAGGACCGACCGCACGGGCCGGGGCCCGGTACGGACCGGGGTCTGTTGCAGTGGCAGAGGGGAGACTCCCAGAGACAGCGGTCTGCCGCCGCCGCAGCCAGCCCAGGTAACGTTACCAACATATTACCAACGTATTAGCAGCATTCTGGTAAATCTAACACCGGTGCAAATAGCTAAACTCGTAGAGTACCGCTAGCACTTTGCTATTCTCCTCGTTGAGTGCACTGAAAACTCTCGGAGACAGCAGGCAGCAGCCGCCGCAGTCAGCCCACGTAAGGCTACCAGCATATTACCAATATCCTAGTGTACTCGTGTTTACAGTGGTATCAGTTAAATGTTGCTTTTTAACCTCGTAGTCTATATTAATTAATAAAACATAAGACTCCGAGAGAGACAGACAGCGGTCTGCCGCCGCCGCAGCCAGCCCAGGTAATGTTACCAGCATATTACCAACGTCTGTGTATGCTTGTATTTACACTGGTAACAGTAAAATTGTGTTATACTTTAACCTCGTTGTCTAGACGATAAAACAAGAGAGGTTCATAGAGAGACATCAGTCTGCCGCCGCTGTCACCACGCCAGAGGTAACGTTACCAGTGTCTTGACAGTGTATTGTTTTTTTTCTGTGCATTATATCGCCATTTTTAAGACATTTTAACGTCACATTCTACGCTGGGTGATCTAAGTAATATCAAAAATAAATTTACAAAGTATGACTGATGGTCTTGTTGAAAAAGGACAAATACCAGTTTTCACAATAATTCTATAATTCTGTCACAAAATTTCTTCCGTCGCATTCATAATTTATTTCGCAAAATCATGATATAAGCGTATTTTTATAAGACAAGTCATAACTAGCATGTTTTTCACTCCTCATTTACCCTTGATTACCACTATAAATTTGCTGGAATTGAAATCGATCATCTTCATATTTCAATCACGCAACATTCGATCACTTCAGGTATACCCTTAATATGTATTTTAGATGATGGCCTTAGGGCAAGTGCAATTTTTGACCACTCTATTCTTATCTCATTTTTGCTTTGCCTCTACAATCCGTCGGCTCTTAGCGACGTGCATTTTTTTCAGGTACCTAGCAACCCTTCTCTCTTTTCCTCACAAAACAAGGCACTCCTGGCTACCCAATATCCCTCCACGTAAGGTCACGCCTTGCGAAAGGTCCCTTCGTAGCTATTTTAAATCATGTTCCTTATAATATGGGTAAAACATTTGAACAGCCAATCATTGTATCAGCCTCTGTACCATCACTTTCCGCACCACCGGCCCTAAGCGACCTGTATCTTTTTTCAATTACTCAGAAACTCCTCTCTCTTCCCTCCCAAAGTAAAGCACTCCTGTCCACTTTGCGACCCCCTCCCGAAGAATCACAGCCCTCCCCCACCAAATGTCACGCTCCCTCCCTACAGGCTCCTTGGACCTCAACCTATACGGCCCGTAACCTGGTGACCGGACCGTAACACGACGTCAGCACTGCTCCTTAGAGCCGTGTCAGGTCAATGTAACCGAGGCAGCGCGGGTCTGTTTGGGCACGAGCTGACCGGGCCGTGACACGGGAGGTGCCCTGGATTATAAGGAACGTGGTTGCAAGGTTTGTAGTTGAAGCGAGCTGGTGGAATGTCAAATTTCAAAATGACAGACACAAAAATGAAGGGGTAGAAATGTTGAGGGAAGAAAGAGGCGTAGAAATGTTGGGAGCAAGAAACGGCGGAAGTACAAAAGTCAAAAAAGAAATATTGGTAGAAGAAATGCTAGGATACAAAAGTTGCCGGCTTGAAAATATGTGTAGAAATATCGGGCACCTTTTCAGGATAAACAATGCTGGATAAGAGGCATCGGTGGGCATCAGATCGCAATGTAAAGTTTATGGAACTATAAAAAGGACAGGGTATATGCTGGATTTTGGTATATTTACGTTATAAAGTTACGTGGTTAGAACGCACCTGGTATATTTTAATTATTTTTGTTTTCAGCCAAAAGTGTTTCAAAAGAGACGCCGGTGCCAGTAACCGTCTCTAGGCGTCACACTGTCAAACACAACCTCGTTGTCAGAGTCCGCTCCACCTAGTTACGCGTTATTGGGTCCACTGTCAACGCTGCGGCCACGTCGCCCTTGGTCCATAGAAACGGCACAATCAGTTGACTGCGTCGGAAGTTACCCGTACCCGGACTCCGGAGGATATACGTGTATAAGATTCAGGTTTTCATTATTTCACCAACACGACCGCCATGTCGTCTTTTTCTCTCCCCTAGTGACGTCACAATCAGCCGTCTGCGTTCTTGTTGACAATCACAGCACCATTTAAACCATCGCAGCCGCCGTGTCATCCTTGATCCCCTCCCTGTGACGTCACAATCAGCTGACTGCTGTCTATGTGTTTCGCAGAGAGGCGGCCCGGCCCGAAGAACTGTAGCCCGCGGCAGTGCCCCGCGGCACCCCAATGACGTCACAATCAGCTGACTGTGATCTGTTTCACAGAGAGGCGGCCCGGCTTGAAGAACAGTAGCCCGTGGCAGTGCACCACAGCACCCTCAGTGACGTCATAATTAGCTGACTGCTCTCTATGTGTTTCACAGAGAGGCTTGAAGAACAGTAGCCTGCGGCAGTGCCCCGCGGCACCCTCAGTGACGTCACAATCAGCTGACTGTGCTCTGTTTCACAGAGAGGCGGCCCGGCTTGAAGAACAGTAGCCTGCGGCAGTGCCCGCGCTTCAATCAGCGTCATGGCAGGCCGTCCCTCCTCCGGAAAGGAGGTACGACGAAATGGGGAAATGGGGAAGTGACGTCATTGGTATGAAAGAAGGCATTTAATTGGTGTGATGCTCATGAGGAATTGCAGTTGATTGGGAGGAAAACGGAAGGGCTGGTGACTGGTGCTGAGTGGTTGGTGGTATTCCATATTTTCAGGAACATTTTTAAAAAATTGTAATTGAATTGACTGTCTAATTCTTTTTAATTGATTTATCTAAATCTCATTTGATCTATGACTCAAGCAAATAAAAAAAATGTTTCAGCTACCCGGGTTGAATTTCAACACTCACTGAAGTCCGATAAATGCACGTTTTCCCACCTCCCTTGCCCACCACCAGCTATCCCTGACTGCGCCTCTGCCGCTGACCTCTGACCCCCACGTGACTTGCATTTCACAGGCCCTCTGGTCCAAGGACTATCCCGCATTCCCCACCGTCATCCAGCCCCAGGGGTGTCGTTTTCCGAAAATGATTGGTAGTGCCCAAAGGCGGCGGCTGGCCATATATGACGGGGCTTACAAGGTAGGGTATCCCCAAATCTGCCTTTCTCATCGGATTTCGGCCACTTATTTTTCGCCCTGGTCATTGACAAGACTAACCGAAATCTAAAAAAACACACAAAAAAAAACTTTGGAAATCTGGGTCCACACCGGACGCCATGCACAAAACGTGCAGTTATATAGGCAATAGTGTCGGAGGAATGCACGCCATTCTGAAAGAGGCCCACATCGACTTAAAAGGACGGCTGTGCTGAAAGGGGACAGGAACAGCTTTGAGGGCCCAAGCCGACTAAAAAAGACGGCTGCGGGGCCAGGAATGGTTTTGAAGACCCACGCCAATTGAAGGGTTCGACAACTAACGAGGACTGGAAACACAACGATAGTTAGAAAGACCTGCTTGCCAAAATAAAAGGATGACAGTACGAGGGGCGTTCAGAAAGCTACGGGCCCGACCATGAAGGAGCAGAGCGATACAGCATCGACTCATTAGACCAAAAAGTGCATTTATTCAAATAAACACCGTTAAGACAAACACATTTCGCGCAGCGCTTCGCGAGAGCCCTCAAGGCCTCCATAACCAAGTGGGTTTTGGACCCATCCTGCAAGTCCAAGACGGCTGATTTCGTCTCCCTGCTGTTAGCGAGGTTGCCGCTGCTAATTTTCTTATGTTGGGGAAGAGGTGGCAACCACTAACCAGAGTGTGCAAGGTTCGGAGAGAAAAAAGTGGATGCGACAACAACTCGAAGCTCATCGCTTCACTGTTCGTCATCCCGCCCATGTACGCAGGTGCGTGGTCGCGGATCAGGTGCACACTTTACGTCAGCTTCCCTATCCCTCGCCGGACCTATTGGTTTTCTACATACGCGCCGGCCGAGGGGGGGGGGCGGGTACGACCCCCCCCCTCGCCGTTTCGCCCCTGGTGGAGCTAGCGCGTCGCGGAAAAAACGAGCGTGTGCGCCGTTACGAGACGCAGAGATTGGTACCCGATTTTAAGGTCCTAGGTCAACCGGTGACCTCTGAGGTCAGGTCAAGTGCCCCAGGGTACGGTTCAGTTTTTGGTGAATAACTTCGCAAAAAACGGCCGCAGAGCGCCGATTTTGGCAGCATCGTGTTCGCCTCGCTCAGGCGCGTCGAATGATATACTTTTTGTCCGGGTCAGGTCAACTTGGGGTGTTGACCTCAGGTCAAGGTCAGGTCAGCACCCCCAGGTCACGAAGTTGGTCGAAAGAGGTCATGTCGCATATCATTCGATTCGGCAGGCCTTCCTGAGTCCATTGGTGCCTTTCCCGACTCGCTAGCTCAATTTGATCAAGAGTTATTGACGAAAAACTAATTTGACCTTGATGACGTCATAAATGACGTCACGCAAGGTCAACATTGCAAAAGTGACGCATCTAACCTTGCAAGGAGTGCATCAAATCACGATTCTATGTGCTTGAGATAGTTGGAGATCGTTCCCGGCGCCAGAATAGCAGTTTGAATTTTTCCCCATTGACTTATAATGGTGAGGTCACGAAAATGACCTGACCTCATATGACCTTTAGGAAAAATCCGAGATATACAAGTTGTGGGACTCATAATGGATACTAGATCCTGCAAGTTTCATTTCCCTGTGACATCTCCTCTGGCAGTGAGGGCGTTGCGAAGTTGCGACATCTGAAGACCGTGCAGAGGTTCACTTATGACGTCATAGGTCAGTGACCTGACCTGACCCAAAAATGCGGTTGGTGTCAAAAGATGCGGCTTGGATCAAAGGTCAGGTATGCCAAGTTTCAGCTCTCTATCGCCAGCGTGTTCGGAGCTATCGCGAAAAAACCCTATGGGGGGGGGCGGCACCCGCCCCCCCCCCCCTCGGCCGGCGAGGGCTATAGCCTCTCCTCGATGTTTATCGAATGGACGCACATCATCAATTGTGTGCCCCTGTTTTGGAAAGTTGACGAGCGGAGGGGGGTCGCATCGACCCCTCCCCCCTGCCAGGCCGTGTTATGAAAAATGCCCAGGGCGACGGTTAACGCTTGGTGCCTTTTCTGCACTAACTACTATGAAACGAATCACTGCTCTCTTCTGGGCGTCGCCCATCCTATCCGAAATGGCCAACTATGCTACGAATAGAAGCCCGAATCAATCACAGAAGAGATTTAATTAATGGCCACTTACTTAAAGGGACCCTCCCACCTTAACATTAGATTTGAGTTGAGATAGCCAAAATGGGGTCCCTGGCTCACAATTACCGGTTTCGGCACTCACAGCATCGAGAAATGCCTTAAATCGGAAATATTGAATTTCAAAATTGCAGCATTTTGATTCAGAGGGGCTAATGCTTAGGAATACCCCTCTGAATGTGTGACGTCAGCGCAAATATCTAACGATTTTTAAATGTTTGACTAAAACGTTTTGTAGCACGCGGTGGTATATGCTATTTGCGCGCAACATCTGCCGCAAACGCCGCTTTTCTAAAATAAAGTCGCTAGAAACAGCGGAGATCCCAAGAAAGTAAACAAAAGTAAAAGTCTAATATCTTGAAAACCGGTGAATATTTTCCGGTGAAATTTGGTAGATATTCGTTTTCGCTCTTTCTGAACCGAGCGACATCACTTTCATGCCAATTCATAAACTTTTTTGAAGGTGGGAGGGTCCCTTTAATTTGCGTAAGTGGACATCCCAATAACACATCATTTAACACACCGCCTTGCAGGCCAAAATTCCAACTCCTTCATTGTTCGGCCCGAAACTTTTTGAACGCCCCTCGTAGTTGCGAGCTTCAGTTTTCGGGGTCTGATGCGGTAATGACCTGGCGTTGAACCCTGGAGAATCAGGCTGCATCACCCACTCAAATGAATATACCTATGGCCTATTCTGGAGCACCGCGGCACCTTCCGAAGTCGGTGTAGGGCCTCCAGCGGCTGGTGTGGAGACGGATCGGGGTCTATTAGGGGCGGTCGCGTGGTATGCGGGACTCAGAGGCAGTTATGGACCTCTATAACCAATTGCGTTTTTGAGCCTCTTAAGGACCGGAGTCCTAGACACGTGAAACCTCATTGTCAGCTACATGCACCTACTGTGGCTAGAACCTTATTTATGTACTTGCATATGTGCGTATTTAATATTTGCTTATCTGTTTATTTTGATTTTTTATCAACTGATAAGTGACAAAAGATTGGTAGGGCTCAGCGAACATTGGTAGGGCCCAAATACACATTGGTAAGGCTCGGGCCCTACCAGGCCTATACAAAACGACGCCCCTGACTATTGTGAAACTTGGTAGGTAGGTAGGTACCACATAACTTGAAATTACTTGACGTAATGACATGATGTGGAAAGTGAAAATGATACCTAGGTATTGATGGAAACTTATGGACTTAGGTACGCTACAAGAAGATTGAATTGGTCAACCAATTCAAATTCAATATACTTGTGGAGTAAGTCTATAGATTTTCATCAATAGTTGGGGCATTCCACGATAGATCGTACCAGGCCCGTCACCCTCATCCCTCAGATTTGAATGAAAATTGGTACTAGGGGTAATCATAGGCTCCAAAAACACCTGCCAAAATATCAGACTTCTCAGATGAAAACTTTTTGAGTTATATTGCATAATATTTTCTAAACTTCAGATTGTAAGGGTGAGTTTGATGAGCTATAACTAAAAAACGAGCTAAGCAAGCAACAAACGGTAAACAGCTTTGAACTGACGATGAATCAAAGATTAATACAGCTTTTTTTAAATTGGAAAGAAAAGCTTTACATATTGAAAAAAGTCGTAACATTTTTTAAAATTGTCTATAATGGCCCTTGGGACCAAAATTTTTGCCATTTTTATTTCTTCAAAATAAACTCCAGGTCATTTAAAATCGACATGCAAAAAATTAGAAAGGTGTTCTTTCTATAAGTTCCTTATTTTGATGCATACAAAATGGGTTTCCGGGGGGTCGGTACGGCCCCAGCTCGCCGTTTCGCCTCTAATGGAGCTAGAACTTTGCGGAAAAAACGAGCATGTGCGCCGTTTCAAGATGCATCGAATGATACCACATTTTAAGGTCTCGGGTTCATTGGTGAACCCTGAGGTCATTTCAAGTGACCCAAATTACGGGTCCGGTTTTTGGTAGATAACTTCGCAACAAATGGTCGCAGAGCCGCGATTTTAGCATCTTTGTGTTTGCCTAGCTCCGGCGCGTCGAATGGTATACTGTTTGTTCTGGTGATCAGCATAAGTCGCTGACCTCGGGTCAGCACACTGCCTTGTATTTGGCTCCGCTCCCCGACCGGGCGGCCCAGCCGGCAGCCAGCCCCCGGGCATCACGTGACCGCCCGAGTCCGCGGCAAAGCCAACCAGCGCGGCGCTGGACAAACAGCGCCGCCACAGAGATGGTTAACAGTCGGGTCAGGCCACGAATCTGGGTGAATGATATCATATTGCACATCATTCGATTCGCAAGGTCTTCCCGAGTCCATTGGTAGCTTTCCCGTCTCTCTAGTTCAATTTGATCGAGAGTTAAGTGACGAAAAACTCTTATGACCCTAGTGACGTACGAATGACGTCACGCAAGGTCAACAATGCAAAAGTCAGGCACAAATGACTTCAATTGAACTTTCAGTAACCAGTGATGTCACTAGGCAGCTTTACCACGCCATTTGTAGGCTCTCTTCCCGAAATTACAATTTGAGACCATTACGGTAACGCAAAATAAGTACATTTAGAGAAAGAACACCTTCCTAATTTTTTGCATACTTCTTAAAAATGATCCAAAAATGTTTTTAAGAAAATAAAAATTCAAAAAAATTTGGTCCCAAAGGCATAAAAATGCAAATGAAAGGAAGCTCGAGGTGTTATATATCAAAAATATTTTATATTTCAAAATTTCAAAAATGCATATTATTCTTTGTTTCAATGCAAGTTCAATGCCGTATAGCATTTGGCATTTGGATTATCCGTCTTAGAGTTACAGCCCGCCAAACTTGGCGCTGCAACGCAAGATCCAAAACATGTTATACACTATAACTCAAAAACTACGCATCTGATAAGCCTGAAATTGTCACAGAAGGATTCAGAGCCCCTGATTACCCCTTACACCAATTATCGTTAAAATCCGAGAGATGAGGGTGTCAAATTGGAAAAAAGTGGTACGATCTATCGTGGAATGCCCCAGTTACCACTTACCATTGAAGTTACTTGCTATCATGCTGATTTTATACATAAGAACCTCATTCATTTTATTTGTATGACATGTTTGAATGCAATTTTCTCAATAAGTGAAGAAAAATGTTGGTAGTGCTCAACAACACATTGGTAGTGCTCAGCTGAACATTGGTAGTGCTCGGGCACTCCCAGGCCTATACAAAACGACGCCCCTGTCCAGCCCTGACAGCGCCTCTGTCTCTGCCTCTGACCCCCACGTGACTTGTATGTTACAGGCCCTCTGGTCCAAGGGCGACCCCACCTTCACCCAGCCCTGACTGCGCCTCTGTCTCTGCCTCTGACCCCCACGTGACTTGTATGTTACAGGCCCTCTGGTCCAAGGGCGACCCCACCTTCACCCAGCCCTGACTGCGCCTCTGTCGCTGACCTCTGACACCCACGTGACTTGTATTCCATAGACCCTCTGGTCCAAGAATGACCACAATGCCCCACTGCAAGCAATCCCTGACTGCGCCTCTGCCTCTGACACCCACGTGACTTGTATTCCACAGGCCCTCCCGTCCAAGAATGACCACAATGCCCCACTGCAAGCAATCCCTGACTGCGCCTCTGCCTCTGACCCCTGACCCGTCACGCGACTTGTATGTTACAGGCCCTCTGGTCCAAGGGCGACCCCACCTTCACCCAGCCCTGACTGCGCCTCTGCCGCTGACCCCTGACCCCCACGTGACTTGTATTCCACAGGCCCTCTGGTCCAAGGATGACCACAATGCCCCACTGCAAGCAATCCCTGACTGCGCCTCTGCCTCTGACACCCACGTGACTTGTATTCCACAGGCCCACCCGTCCAAGAATGACCACAATGCCCCACTGCAAGCAATCCCTGACTGCGCCTCTGCCTCTGACCCCTGACACCCACGTGACTTGTATCCCACAGGCCCTCTGGTCCAAGGATGACCCCACCTTCACCCAGCCCTGACTGCGCCTCTGCCGCTGACCCCTGACCCCCACGTGACTTGTATTCCACAGGCCCTCTGGTCCAAGGATGACCACAATGCCCCACTGCAAGCAATCCCTGACTGCGCCTCTGCCTCTGACACCCACGTGACTTGTATTCCACAGGCCCACCCGTCCAAGAATGACCACAATGCCCCACTGCAAGCAATCCCTGACTGCGCCTCTGCCTCTGACCCCTGACCCGTCACGCGACTTGTATGTTACAGGCCCTCTGGTCCAAGGGCGACCCCACCTTCACTCAGCCCTGACTGCGCCTCTGCCTCTGACCCCTGACCCCCACGTGACTTGTATTCCACAGGCCCTCTGGTCCAAGGATGACCCCGCATTCCCCACCTTCACCCAGCCCTGACTGCGCCTCTGCCTCTGACCCCTGACACCCACGTGACTTGTATTCCACAGGCCCTCTGGTCCAAGGATGACCCCACCTTCACTCAGCCCTGACTGCGCCTCTGCCGCTGACCTCTGACACCCACGTGACTTGTATGTTACAGGCCCTCTGGTCCAAGGGCGACCCCACCTTCACCCAGCCCTGACTGCGCCTCTGTCGCTGACCTCTGACACCCACGTGACTTGTATTCCATAGGCCCTCTGGTCCAAGAATGACCACAATGCCCCACTGCAAGCAATCCCTGACTCTGCCGCTGACCTCCGACCCCCACGTGACTTGTATGTTACAGGCCCTCTGGTCCAAGGGCGACCCCACCTTCACCCAGCCCTGACTGCGCCTCTGCCGCTGACCTCTGACACCCACGTGACTTGTATTCCACAGGCCCTGTGGTCCAAGGATGACCCCAACTCCATGGAAGCCTACGGCGACGACCCAGATGTCCGACAGGACGAGCCAAAGGGATGCTGGGGCTCCTTCACAAACTGTATTGGAGGTGAGATGATGACGTCATGGTTCGTAGAACTATTCCGTAATGGGTCGTGACGGATGCTGATAAGCTTGGGCAAATGCAACGATGTCCTAAAAGTTACCGTTTTGGTGTCATGGGTTGTAGTGGTAGGCTAGGACTTCTTTCTCAAGGCGCATGCCAGCTCTAAAAAAAAAAAACGATGTCACATGATAACTCTATTTCTAACTTGACCTGCTGTAGTAAAGCAGAAAAGATGCTTGTATGCAAAATAAGTTTCACTATTTTGTGACTCATATTATTAATTTCTAAGTTTAGTGTTTTCCATAAAGAAAATTGCAAGTATTGCGTCATAGTCCCCTGCCGAGATTCGAACCCGCGACCTCTCTCTTTCAGGCATGTGGACCACGCGCCAGATGACACACACTACCGACCGGGAGATCGTGGTGCGGACCACTCTGAGAGAGCTGGTTGTCTACCTCGTGTTCCTGATCATACTGTGTATCCGTGAGTAGATCATCTAAGGATCATCTTGTGTATCCGTGAGTAGATCAGATCCATGGATCATACTGTGTATCCGTGAGTAGATCAGATCCATGGATCATACTGTGTATCCGTGAGTAGATCAGCTGCGGATAATACTGTGTATCCGGGAGCTGGTCGGCTACCTCGTGTTCCTGATCATACTGTGTATCCGTGAGTAGTAGGTTATCTGCGGACCATCTTGTGTATCCGTGAGTACTCGTAGAGCTTCTATGAATCATACTGTGTATCCGTGGACCGTGAGTACACTACCTACGTAGATCAGCAAATAGATCCTCTTGAAACATGCTGTGCTTTTCAAGCCACACACTACACACAGAGAGCGTAGTTTGGCCGTAGTTTCTGTGCTCTAGTGGCAGTGAGTTTGGTATGACATCGCCCGCCATAAGCTCCAAATGGTTGTTGTTGTAATCGTAGTTTTATCCTATCTACAGTGACGTACTGATAACTGAGGTTTGCTTGGAGTTTGGACAGTAGCTTTGGTCGTAGTTTCTAAACTTTTTGTTCAGTGAGAATCTGCAAGCAAGGCGTAGTCCTCACCGTAGTTTCTGTGCTCTGTTTGCAGTGACGTTTGGTATGACATCGCCCACCATGTACTACTACACCAAGGTTCTATCGGAACTTTTCCTCGACACACCTTATCCCGACACAAGGAACACATTCAGAGGATCCACGCAGGTCATGGACTTCTGGCGGGTGAGTTTTTGATTAAACTCACCCTAGTCTATTTACGATGGGGGATCAGTTTACGTGTTTTACTTTAAAGCTTCAAATTCACTTCAAATCATATAAAAGATTCAATATGATTTATTATGCAAAAAATATATAATAAGTCACATGAAAAGAAACGTCTTCTAAAACCTCATGTTGCCGCTGTTACTGTTTATTTCTTCTCACTGTTCGGTCTTTGTCTCGTCCAGAATTTTCATACCCACTTGAAACGATTCGGTATCGTCATATAAACCGAGTATATGATTTCACTTCTTAGTTATTCAGACTGATAACAAATAAAACGCAAATTAGGAAACACTTTTTTGGTAATGCTGAATAAAACATACCCGCACGTCGGTAATGTGCTCCTTCATGGTGCATCCTTATTCACTCATCCCATCTCACGCCCTATCTCTTCTGTAGTTTGTGGAAGGACACTCACCCTCTCTCTCTCTCTCTCTCTCTCTCTCTCTCTCTCTCTCTCTCTCTCTCTCTCTCTCTCTCTCTCTCTTCTGTAGTTCGTGGAAGGACCCATGATGGACGGTTTATACTGGGACGCCTGGTACGATCACGCTCGTACCAGTGTCAACAAACACGAACAGAACATCCTCTACGAGAACAGGATGCTCGGAGTGCCTCGGATGAGACAGGTGAGACATGGGTGAGACAACTGTGAGAGAGAAATGTGAGACAAGTGTGGGAAAAGGATGATGTACGGTTGGGACCGGATGAGACATGGGTGAGACAAAAATGAGACAGGTGAGGAAAGTGTGGGAAAAGGATGAGGTACGCCGTGCGGTTGGGACAGGGTGAGATGGAGTGCGGTAGGAGAGTTAGCAATAAGGCAGACAGATGTGGGACAGATGTTAGACTGATGAGAGACACACCGCAGAACCTTTGCATTTTTTTTCTTCTTCTTTTGACGGGGATCACCTACGTTCTGTGCAGGGTTGTATACCAATCAAGTCGATTGAATTGATTGATTTGATTCAACGCGTATTTTGAGTTGATTGGATTGAGTCGATTGACTTTTCGAGATGACTGGTTGACTGACTCGTTTGACTTTAGCGACTGGTTGACTGATTTGATTCCCGAAAATTAGAGTGACTCGTTTGATTGAGTCGATTGAATGGAAAGTTGAAATAAGTTTTAGTTGACGAAAAATAATGACACCAATTGATGACATCAAAGATCACAAAACTACACTGAAAACTACTTGTCATCACAACTGCAATATGGGGTAGATTGCCAAATAAAGAACAGGGCCTAAATATGAACAGCCAACTTTGACTTTCAACTGCAATAACTGCTCCAATCCTGTGATAGAACCTGGCGATGCACCTACCTACCTTTCTGCACTCAGCAGGAAACTTTTGTTAATCCAGATGATAAAGTGCAAGGCCCTATATACTAATAAAGTGTGATTAATTACTAATTCACATCTCCACATCTCCTCATAAACAACCCACTGAACTCTATAAATATCTGAAACCCCTACAAAAAGAACTGAAACAAAAGCGCCGTTTTCGTCCCGCTAATTACGTTTACATTAATAGCTAATTTGCTGCATTGTTTAATTTGCAGCAGAACGTTTGTTGATCCTTTTCTCCTGAGAGCTTAGGCATAACATATTTAATATATTTCATTTTCCTTAAAATATTTTACCGAATATTATTAAGTGCTTTTATTTCAAATGAAATAATAATTAAAACGAAATTGGTGTTGTACAACCGATTTATTTTATGATGATCTACCATACTACATGATAATCAATGACGTCATCTTACCAAAAAATCAAAAGACGTAGAATAAGGATTTATAAAAGCTTAGCATACTTCTTGGCAAAACGTTTTCTTTGTTTTTCGCAGTCGCACCAACGGCATTTAATTTTCCTTGTTCTTCTTCCTTTGTCCTTAACTTATCCTGTGGTTCCAGAGTCCCTGTCCTTTCCATTTCCTTTTAAATATAATATATTTTTAATGCTCATCCCTATCCCCCAGTCCTAACAGTTTCAAATTGTATTGCAATAAAATGTTTTGAATTCTTCACATATAACCTATCTACCTTCGTTGGTACTGTTGGTAGCCAGTGACACATCTAGGCAGGTAAGTAGGTACCTACCTGCTTTCCTGCTGTCATCATAAAGCATACCTAATGAAGTTGTCAAATTTGTAGCACATTTTCAACACTTTCATATCACTATGGTGTCAGTATGGCATGTAACCTAGCTAGGTTCATTATGTTCAGGGTTCAATTCAGAAGAGCTCCGCATAACTCACATAAGAGACAGACGGGGGCTTTAGATGGGGTAGATGGCCTGATGACTTAGCTGGAATATGGCCAAAATTAAATTGACAACTTTTAGGTGAAAGGTGGTGATTTGGGTTAAGGGGCGTTTGTTGAAGTCAACTACTGGGTTATTTTGCACCCATTAAATGAAACTTCTGCTCCAATTGAACCTCAATATCATGATCCACCTGTCCATCACTAGGCATCCTTCCTTATTACATAGAAACTTTGAATGGCATGGCAATTTATAATTTTAAATGACAATATTTTTGTTTCTTCTGTAGGTAGGTAGGTAGGTAGGTAGGTAGGCACACCAGACTGCTATGGACACTTTTCCAAGTTGGTGGGGCAAAAAACCTAATGTATATCTTGGTTTGAGTCGTTTGATTGAGTTGATTGATTCCTTTCATTGTCGCGTTTGAGTCGATTGAATCAATTCCCGAAAGCTGCTCTGACTTGATTGATTTGATTGGTTTCCCAAATTTGTCGTGATTGAATTGATTGCTATTGATTGAGTCGTATACAACCCTGGTTCTGTGTAACGGATCCTAGTGTGAATTCGCCTTTCTTTCGCCCTCACATCAACCAAACTATTTTCATAAATACAAGCCACTGTTAACCACAAAAATATTTTTCCCTCTGTCTCCCTTTCCTTTGTCCCTTTCCCTCTCTTTTCCTTCGCAAATCCACGATCCTTCCTTGCTCAATGCTCATCGATCCAAAGCTACGAGCAGCACCAAATCCGTGCCGTGGGTCCCTCAGCAGGGGTCAGGGGTCAGTATGTTTATCCGCTGCCAAGGGTACATCGACCGCCCCTCCCTCTCCCTCCCCCTGCTGAGCAAACGACCCTGATTGGTGGAGTCCAAACCACCGCCGCAGGCTACGAGCGTCGCGGGCAACGCTAATGGTGGTGGACGAGCCTGGAGGCGAAGGATGGGGGCTGGGGGGCTGGGAGGGGGGACGGCCGTGGTTGGGGGATGGGGAGGGGGGACTGGTAGTCGGGGAGATATAGCCACGCGCTCGATATGTGCATGACGTCATTGGTTGGGTTGGGGTCGGGTGGGGGAAATTGCTGGCAAGGCGTGATTGATAGCGTCTAAAGCATTGCGTAATGTGCCAGGCATTCTAATTTACGTTTGGGTCGACAAAGGCGTTTGATTGCTAACGCTGATTACAAGATCATTGATAAGCCGTACCTATTCTAAAGTTAAATTAATGCTTGATTCCGGAATGCAGCGGTCGTTTCATAAATAATGTGGCATGCGTTTTATGCGCCTAAGCTGGCGGTGTGGTAAGACAGTTGTCATGCTGACGTAAATAACTGGAAGACGGCATTCGTCTGAGATTAAGACTAAAGACGAATAACTAAATTAAAACGCACTCAAAATATTTCGTGCTTTTTATGGTGCGTTCGAAGGTCAAATCAAATTAATTTATCCCCGTGATGCAACTGCTAACAAGGCACCAGAAAAAATCAAAATGCAATCACAAAACATACTGTCGGATTCTTTAAACATTTTTTGATATTTTGTGAAGATTTAAAGGAATTCCTTGGTCCTAATAAAGTTGTTAAATTCCTGCTGTTCCTTAGTGCTAAAAATTCCTGTATAAATGAAGAACAATTCCACGTATTATACCTAACCAAAGGCGGCGGAACGGGGAGGGCACCGGGGGCGGGGCACCGTGTCCCCTTTGATTTTGGCATCATTAGCCCTATGGGCGTTGCATGGAAAGAATGGGACCAAAGGTCGGCAGTGCCCCCCCCCCCCTTAATTAAACGTATTCCGCCGCTATTGCGTATAACTAACAAAATCAAAACGATGGTTTGCTGTGGAATCAGGTGTCACTCCAAGCCGAGTTTGTTCAGCAAAAGACCTCACGACCCCACTTATTCCAATTCACCTATCGAACGCAGCAGCTTGGCCTTCGCATGCTACTAACTGAATAATGAAAGCTTGAAGCAGGTGTTCTTTAAGGTTGTGAATGGCTTCGATCGACGCACCACAGACAATCACGTCCCGTTTATGGCTACTGTGACGTCATATATTCGGTATTGGACGCCAGTTATAAAAGTTTTAGATATAGTGGTTACCTCGGTAAACATAAGTAAAGGGAACAAATGAGCGGCATTGCACCAAGCTTCACAATATCATAAAGAAATTTAAAAATTATATAAATACATAAAATGCACGCTTTGGTACAAAAAAAAGAACGAAGAAATCGCCAGCAATTTTTCTCGCAATGTCATTCTGCATTCAACCAGTGACTTGACCTTCACCAGTCACAATGACCGCCGGTGACTTTTGACCGGTGATCTTGACCCCTGACCTTGACCCCTCCGCCGCCAGCTGCGGGTGCGAGACGACTCGTGCAACGTTCACGAGACATTCGCTGGTGCCATCAACAAGTGTTACAGCGTATACTCGGAGAGCATTGAGGACAAGACGTCGTTCGGCCCGCGCAACGGCACGGCGTGAGTGCACACGCGCCACGCGCATACAGTTTTTTGTCACTTTTTCTTTTTTACCTTTATTTTATGGTTTCCTTTACAGGGGTGCGACAGCTAGGATCCCTAGGCAAAAAGTTAGTGTTAGCAGTCAGCAGATGCTAGGGATGTGAATAGAATTAGAATCATTAGCAAGTTCAAAATGTTTATTTCTTTTTTGTAAATTTTGTTTCACCTTAAGTGGTTTTTAGTTGTACCTAGTTCAACCGAATTAAGCAGGCAAAGAAAGGTAAATGTGAATTCTAGCTGAAGTCCCTGTAGCGCTAAAATGCAACACTCTTCAGGATAGAGACAAGAATTTGCCCATCTAGTGCATTGGCCAGCGATAATAGACACACAATCATACGATGTTTATTCATTTCGACGCAACAAATCCGCCGTCCCCTCACCCCGAACATGAAGCACAATTTACACCGAGCGATTTACGCTGCCGGGAGCGCCGGAAGCACTAGAGAACAGGTGTACACTGTCCCACATCACTACACTATTCCACATGAGAGAAACTCACCGGGGATTTCCCACGTCAGCGATGCTTGAGCAGAAAGTGAACGGGTCACGCTACGCTACATAAAAAATAATAATGGTGGGTAGTCTTAGTCTTCAGGCGTAGTACGTCCTAGAGTTGCGGGGTAAGCCCAAAATCCAATTTCGACAACATAATAAAAGCATAAAACTTTTATTTAGATGACAGGCACACCTTTTTGTCATTGAGCATGACACTAATTTCAAAAGAAACAAGCTATTCTCTTACATTATGGTTCAGGTGATAGGCTTAAAGATTCATCATGTAATGACGAAATAGGTGTGTGACCAGTGGCGTAGCCAGAAATCAGCGAAAGGGGGGGCCATGGTGCTCGAGGGGGCGACTTTTTCCCTTGAGAGGGGCGCCATAGTGAGCTAGTGACAGGGGGTCAGTCTAAAATGTAACGTCATATATTAATGCATGATTTACTAGGTGTTACTACGGAACCTCAACCGGCACGAGTATCATAACCAGGGTTTCGCTGATTTTTCATAAAATCCAATTAATGCAATTTGCATCTCAGTGTTTTTTATCAAAAGCGATAAAAAATCTTTATGCATATTTAGCACGATATAGAAAACGAGCTCAGGCTACGGACATGTTATTCTCAAAATATACACCCATTCGAATTCGAAACGGTAAAATATGCGTTGATCGATTGGCACAATCTTTATTCTTTGCAAAAAAAAAAAAAAACACACACACACACAGGTTCACTCACTGAGCCAAAGTGACCTGTGGACTGCAGCCTCTGGTCGACCGGGGTGGCCGTGCTTAGAATCTCAGACACTCATGACTGCATGAGTGCCAGATGGGTGAGGCGTGAGACTGTCCCATATAGTGGCACGAAGGTTAAGAATGTCTTCGGCCGGCGTAGTATAGAAGATGACTTTTGATGATGTGAGTGTGCATGGTCGGCTTTGAATAAGTGCCATAAAAACCTGCTGATCTCACCGAACATTCGCCTTGCGTAATCCCCAGACCAAATATCTTCATTGAGGGCCAGGTCAATTTTGCGACCTCTCAATAAGTACCTATTAGTTAGTAGTTACCGATTACCTATAAGTTAACCCGCGCCGTGCTGGTGGCCTGTGCTTTCCGTGTCGTGCTGGGGGGGGGGGGTGTTTTCACGTCCCCCCTCTAACTCGGCTCCTGGGCCACGTAGCGACACGCGGTAATGGGAAATCGAAAGAGCGTCAAAAATAATTACGGAAAGACTTCGTTTCAATTTTTAGGTCAGGTCAAAGGTCAGGTCACCAGAGGTCATCAAAGGTAAAATTTAGTCCATTTCAACAATTTTGGAAACTGCCAACGGCTAACTCGGGAACCAATAGAGCTACAGCGCCGCGGAAAAGCGCATTCGATAGCCCTTTTACAGGCTTTTCTGAATATTGCTCTCGGATTTGATCTCAGGTCAATGGTTTAGCCTCCAGAGGGCAAAAATTCCAAAAATAACAGTTTTTATGAAAAGCGTTTTTCTGCAATAACATTTGGTTCAAGACAGTGACGATATTTATTTTGCCTGCCTCGTGTTCCTCTCGTCGAGCTGCGTCGGATGAACTATACGTTGACCTTGAAAGGTTATTTTAAAAATTTGACCGCAGGTCAAGGTCATGACCTGACCGGAAAGGGTCATTCTGCAGATCAGTCGATCCGTATCGTCGAGCTGACCACATCTGACGTGTTTTCACCGCTCTAGCACGTCTCTATCAAAAGTTGAAGCCAAAAAACCGTTTATGGTGATAAAATAGGTGACCGTTTATGACCTGAGATGACCTCAAGGGCACATAAAAGGACATGTGCATTTTTACGATTCAGTGTGCTATGTTTACCTATGAACCGATGTTTAAGGGGGTTTTAAACGACATTCGTCCAAAAGAGGCGCATTTCACTTTTCTCCCACTGATTTGAGGCCCCAAAATTGACCTGACCTTAGGTCACAGAAAAAAAGTCCGAGATGAACATTTTATGCGTATTGTTAGTCTCATCAATCTCTAAAAGTTTCAAAAGTGATCGTTCAGTCGGTGTAGCTATAGCGGGTCTTTTAACTTTTTTTTAGGTGTCACTTGACGTGCCCTAGTGACCTGACCTTGAACGACCCTCATCTGAAATTTAACAAGCTGTGTAGAAAAGATGTATGAACAGCTGTACCAAAGACAGCGCAGGCGCTGCGCGACGCCGTTTTTGAGATGTTCGCGAGAAAAAAACCTAAGGGGGCGTACCCCCCCCCCCCCCCCCCCCCTCCAGCACGGCGCGGATTAATGGGAGACAATTGAAATGCTCTTCTTCTGAACGAAAACAACCTCAACCATCGGGATGTCGGTAAATATGACACATTTAATCGGTAAATGTCACTCGTGATGTGACCACTTTTATGTTACTGAGGTCATCTCAGGTCATGAAAGGTCTCCAGTAGATTTTGGACAATAACTTTTGATAAAGACATGGTAGAGCAATGAAAACACCCTATACAATTATTTTCCTTCTCGAAAATATGGATCGACTAATATGCAATATGACCTTTACCGGTTAGGTTATGACCTTTACCTTAGGTCAAATTCTCAAATGCCCTTTTAATGTCAAATTCTAGTTCATTTGACTCGTCTGTCTCGAAAAATGGAACACGATGCTGGTTGAACTAATCTCATGCAGGTCTGAGCCAAAAGGTATTACAGATAAACGTCCTCCGCGAAAACGTATATTTTGAGGCTAAAACGTTTACCTTAGGTCAAATCTGAGATAATCAATAAGAGAGAGCATAAAAAAGAGAGAATATGCGCTTTGCTGCGGCGCTGTAGTTCAATCTCTTTCTGAATCCTGACTTACGCGCCGCTTTGTCGAAAAATGTCAACATCGGCGAAATTTGATTTTCGGTTGTCGCTGGTGACCTGACCTTCGACCAGTTCGACCTAACCTTAAAATGATTTAAGTAGTTTTGTAATAGTTTTTGACGCTCTTTCGAACGCCGCCTACTGCGTGTCTCGACGTGGCCCACAAGCTGAGTTAGAAGTGGGTGCTCAAACACCCCCAGCAGGTTCATTAAAAAAAAACGCTTACGCTGGGGGCGGCACCCCACTGCTAGGCGCTGTCGGCATCGCAATAATGGGCAGCACAGCGCTGAGGGGGCGCCACTTGCATTGAGGGGTGGCATTGTACGGTGAAGGGGCAGCGTCGCGTTGAGGGGCGGTATCACAACGAGGGTGGCACTTACAAGGCTGCCTAATAAGGAACGCTTGGTACATCCAAGCCCAGCTCGGCGCCGCCTAGCTGCTGCATCTTGAAAAGGGCCCTTGGTGTCGATGAGAAAGCCCCATTGTCAAAAAATTGCCTAGCGTCAGTGGTTTCGGGGGGAGGGGGCGACCGAAGTATCCAATTCAGTCTCGCGTCAGTGACTACTGGAGGGCGTCAACGACCTCGGATAGGGCGAATGTGATCTTCAGAAGGGCATCGGGTGCGCTAGAGGGGTGCAATGCTTGGATGGGGTCACTGCTGCCTTCAGTAGGGCGTCGGACGCTCTGGAGGGGCGTCATTGATCTCGGATGGTCCGACTGGGATTTTCAGAGGGGCATCAGTGGTTTCAGAGGGGCGCCATTGATCAAGGATGGGCCGACTGAAGCCCCGGTTCAGGTGGGCGCCAGTGGCTCTTGAGGGGCGCCAGAGACCTCGGATTGATGGGGCGACTGTGATCTTTACATAGAACGGCGTTTAGGGGCGCCATTGGTCATGGATGGGGCCACTGTTGCCTTCAGCAGGGCGCCGCAGGGAGGCTCTGGAGGGGCTTGAGCTTGGGTGGGCCGACTGTAGTCTCCAGGGGCGTTGTCTCGGATGGGGCGAATGTGATTTTCAGAGGGGTGCCGGGTAGTCTAGAAGGGCGCCATTGGTTTCAGAGGGCTGCCATCGATCTTAAGATGGGGCAGCTGTAACCTTCGTTTAGATGGGCGTGATCTTCAGAAGCGCGCCGGACGCTCTGGAGGGGCGTCATTGGGCTTGAATGGGGCGACCTTAGTCTCAAGCGGGACGACTTCAGTCTCAAGGGGGTGGGGCGCTAGTGGCTCTTGAGGGCGCTATTGATCTCGGATAGGGCGACTGTGATCTTGAGAAGAATGCGGGTGCTTTAGAGGGACGCCAGTGGTTTCAGGGCGCGCCATCGATCTTGGATGGGTCGATTGGGGCAGCTGTGAACTTCAGAGGGGCGCCGGGTGCTCTAGAGGGGCGCCATCAAGCTTTAATGGGGCGACTGTTCCGTTTAGGTGGGTGCCAGCGGCTCTTCAGGGGCGCCATCGACCCTGGGGGTTCGGAATATTCTGGTTTCCGGAGGGGCTCCTTTCAACATTTGGGGGCTCAGGTCATATTTGGGGGTGCCCTGGAGATTATTTAGGTGTCCAGGCACCCCCAAAGAGATATTGAGTTCGATCCCTGCCTGCACATCACTTTTTAATTCATGTTCTCTCTGTAAAACGGCATCAGCCTAGTCGGCGCTAATTGGGGCGCCATTTGGGCGGCTGGGCGGAAAGGGGGGGCCATGGCCCCCATGGCCCCCCCCCCTGTCTACGCCACTGTGTGTGACTCTCATCCATTATCCATTGTGACGTCACAGATGGAACTCATCTCACTTACCAATCAGAGATCAAAGCCCTGGCTGAAAATATCGAATTAGGAACGTGCCTCTGAGTTCTAAACAATACCACTTATGGCGTCACAGATGGAACTACTACTCTCAGTCGGAGCTCAAGTCGCAGTCCGTCTGGGGCATGATCAGCACCTACTCCGGAGCCGGCTCCTACGTGGTGAGTGACGTCATAGTGACGTCAAAACGACCTTAACCAGTGACGTCACAAGGTAATTCATATACCACGTTACAAGCAATGATCTTGATGCATCACAGTTACTTCAGAAGAAATAACCAGACTTGTGACGGACGTTTCCATTCTCTGCAATTTGTCATGTTCGATGCTTCGAGATCCTACAAACCCTGACGATATGCTTCAGAACCTCACTCCCCCAAGACGCTCCCCTTGAGAGTCTAGCCAGGCTGAGACGAAAGCCAATTTCCCATCACTTCACCACCACTAAAGCCATGTTTCCGCCCAACAGGACTTGTCTCACAGCCGCAATGCCACCATCGAGATTCTGTCCAGCCTGAGGCGGAACCTGTGGATCGGACGAGGTACGCGGGCCGTCTTCATCGACTTCACCGTCTACAATGCCAACATCAACCTCTTCTGCGTCATCAGGTAGGAGGTGACGTCACTGGGCTACATCACGGTGTGATGATATGGGAGTGATGTCGTCATGTGTAAATATGAAGTGGCGTCTTCGCATTGCCATCATTTGTGACGGCATAATCCATGTCATCGTGAATGATGTAACGACGTTGTCTTACACGCAAAGTTATGTCCTCGGAAACGTTGGTGGCAAGGCGTTGGCTGCAAAGCAAAGGCCTTGTGTTATGATCTCTCCACACTAATGACCAACAAGTAACACCTTTTAATGCTAAAGCTTTATGTACCTCAATCTTCAAGCCTATCCTCGAATTCCCAGCAACTCAAAATTATCCTTAGACACTTGTGAACCATCTTCTTCCACATCTTCAGGATCATTTTCGGGTCCTTCCCCTCCCGAAAACGGGCGGAATTGATATTCACACCATTGATCACTGTCACACTAAATCTCTTGATGCTCACGCTCACCTAAATATCTCCTTACATTCAACGACCAACTTCTTCTCCCCCATCTCCAGGCTGATCTTCGAGTTCCCTGCGACCGGCGGTATGATCCCGTCATCCTCGTTCCGCACGGTGAAGCTGCTGCGGTACGTCACGCCGTTCGACTACTTCGTCATGGCCTGCGAGTGGATCTTCGCCTTCTTCGTCCTCTACTACATCGTCGAAGAGGTGAGAATTAGAGTCTAGTAAATGTAAGAAGGAAGGCGAGAGAGTCGAAGATATGATAAATGCGATTCTAGAACCTGATAGACAAGGATTTTTTACCCTCTATTACATCTCACACTACTACATGAGTTCTTAGATATTGTTCTGAGAGAAAAGAGAACATAGAGTGAGAACTTAGAGTGTGTGCCAAACGTAAGTTAGAAGATTAGAGTGTCTCCAGCACATCGTTGGATGAGATATTGCGCATTGAAAAAAGATACGAAAAAAAATGAGATTGAGAATGCTCTCGGACCACAAATTTTAAAGAGATACAATAAAAACGTCCTCCTGCAAAAACACTGTTCGTTCAATACTCCACCGTCAAAGAGGTGAGACAGTCCACCCTTGCCACGTCTCACACAACCCCTCCATCTCACAGGTGCTGGAGGTGCGGAAGATGAAGTGCGCCTACTTCAAGTCCGTCTGGAACATCCTCGACATTCTGGTGATAGGTATCGCCACCCTGTGCATCGCCTTCTCCGTCTACCGCACCAACTCGGTGGACGACAAGCTGGAGTCGCTGCTGAAAGGTAAGGATGGGAAATAGGGCGGCGTGGAAGCCTACGTAGATTCTTGGGGGACAGGAGTGGAGTGGTGTAGTTTCGTAGACGCTTGGTGAGGAGTAATGTAGGACCGACATCGTTTGACATGCTGTAAGGTCGACGGGAACGGGGGTGACGCGGTATACCAAAGTAATCCTGGCTATAGCTACACGATACACATAAGGTTGGGTCTTTCAGTCGTGACGAGCACTGGATGAGATGATAGTGATAGGTACCCTCCTAAAATAAATCACATGTAAGGAACCTCGCCGGTCTTTCAGCATGAACAAAGTATCGTATTTTCCTACCACTGCATAAATCGTAATGACGAACTTGCACCTGTAGGGAATCGAACCCAAGTTATCACGCAAAACTTTTCTCCGCATTTACAGACGGTGTGCAGTATGCCAACTTCGAGCAGCTCGGCTTTTACCAGACCCAGTTTAACTCGGCTGTGGCCATGTGCGTGTTCTTCGCCTGGATCAAGCTGTTCAAGTACATCAGCTTCAACAAGACCATGACGCAGCTGAGCAGCACCCTCTCCAGGGTGAGAGATCGTTGAAAATGTTGTAGAGAATGTATTCAGGAGACACTTGTACTAAGCTTCAGCAGACGAATATGTTGAATGGATTGTCTAGGTGACAAGAGTTTGGCTTTAGGCAGAGCTTTGACGTGCTGAAGTGCTTGTGCGGGTGACAATTTGACACCAATTCACACCTGCTGAAGTCACTTGACGTGGTTTCTTTTTCGCAATGCGTCAAAGAGTGGACCATCTAACTCGACACAGCTGCTTGATATGCTTGATCGACACAGCGACCCTTGCTATGTAGCACTGATAGAATGCCGTTCCATTTCGCTCGGCGCCAAAGACCAGCTCGGTATCCCATTACCTATCGGTGCACTTCTGACACAAAGCTTTTCTCTATTCGCAGTGCGCCAAAGACGTAATGGGTTTCGCCATCATGTTCTTCATCGTGTTCTTCGCCTTCGCCCAGCTCGGCTACCTGCTCTTCGGCACTCAGGTCAGCATGGGGAGGAGAACCGACGAGTCTTCTGCGTGACTCTCTAACTCCTCTCTGTCTGACATATTTGTTTTTGAACGTTTTGGTGTGCGCTAGCTATATTTTGCTGCTCATAAATAAAAAAAAATGTTCCATTGTTCTTGATCCATGGGATATTAGTGCTCTAAACAATCTACAGCTTCGCCTTGGTTTGTAAGATCCGTTAAAATACGGACAAATTGATTGAGTTTATAATGCCAGCATTCATAATTCTGTTCATTATCCATTATCCATGTTATCACATAGGTACTCTATTAAATCAATTTTTCATTCGCCACGCGAACACAAGCTGCAACGATGTTGGCTGCACCCTTCCCCCTTCAACGAACGATGTCTGACTTGCAAATGGCGATGCCTCCTCCTCTTCCACAGGTCCGCGACTTCAGCAGCTTCGGTAACGCCACCTTCACCCTGCTACGTACCATCCTCGGTGACTTCAACTTCCACGAGATCGAGGCGGCCAACCGGGTGCTCGGACCCATCTTCTTCCTGGCCTACGTGTTCTTCGTGTTCTTCGTGCTGATGGTGGGCCTGCGGAACGTCTCTGAGCTGACTTCAGGAATGGATTTGAGGCGGCCGTTGGATTAAAGGCGTTTTCTTGATGTTTTTTTTTTTAACGAGCCTAAGGTTCTGAGATGAAAGATGTTATGTAGGGGAAGTTGGGGCAATGCCGGAGTTGGGGCAAAGCCGAAATTCGAAATATTTCGAAAATCGTACGACATGGATGCCACCTCTCAGTGATGCTCTGAAGCTTAACCCTCGCCCGCACATGCCATTTTCCCATCCTAGAACGCACATGGGGGGGGGGGTGGTTGCCACCCCCCCCCCGCGCCATTTCGTTCCTGTTGGAGATAGAGCTTAGCAGTAAAGACCAAAAAGATTCTTTGGGAAGAGACGAATCCAATGATACCCAGTTTTACCTTCTCAGGTCAGTCATTGACCTTCCAGGTCAGGTCAAACTAAAAAATGTTGCTGTTTTGGGTCACCGTTGGATATCAAGTGCGCTGCTTATCAAATACCGATGACGATGCTGTTTTCTGGTGCCAAGCCAGCTAGAACCTCTTTGTCACACTATCCGACCAGAATTTTGCTGCTGAGGTCATTTCAGGTCAAGTTAGGTCAAGGTCAATTATATGTGTTTGTATGTCTGTGTGTGTCTGTGTGTATACTGATGTGTGCACCGATTGTTTTTGGGTCCATATCACATGAAATCATGATCTGAGAAGCTTTTACCAAAAATGCAGTAAAAAAAACTTCACAAAAAGTAAATTCAGCTTGCCTAAAACGCAATTATCTTAGATGACCTAGGTTGACCTTGACCCTGACCTTGACCCCTGTACATCGTCGAACAACATGTTCCATGATAGGTGGGAGGTAAGACTGGCAAAAAAGGCCGAAATCAGGGTGTCAAAAGCTCACAAGGCCCATGGCAAACGCAAGATGTTGAGAATTGGCCATTTGGGTCATGACATGACCTGAAAAACAAGGTCATATCTCCGAAACAAAAAATCACAGAAACTTGAAATTTTCAGTGGACATCAAGAAAGGATAGACGAGCAGCTATACGAAAAATCAGCCTTCTAGCTCTAAAAATGTTGAGTGCAGAGCAGAAAGACTGCCTGGGGGGTGGCAACTCCCCCCCATGTGCGGGCGAGGGTTAAGTGACTACCAATATCGCATGTTTGTTACGAGTCGTCATTCGGAATACTTCGGCTGTGAGGGCGCCAAGAGCGTTTTCAAGGTACGTTTCCCTTGTACTTCATGCGCCTTAGAAGCTACATTTCTTACTCATTATGCTACCGTTTGTCTGGCCAATTCGGTCAAGTAATCTTCAGCATGTCTTTGCATAAGTGTGCTGTCTATTTGAAATTTATACAGCACGTTGAAAAGTTATGGGCCTGCAAATGAAAGTATGGCTGGCTGGGGTAATGCCGAAAACGTGCAATTACGCGCGTTAAAGCTCGCTACGTGAACTTTACTGCTGTAGAATAGCAACGCGTATTTTTAGTCACACAAATTACACTTTCAACCGACACAACGGCCTGTTACCTATAAGGAATGATTAACCTGGCCTTTTCTTATTATATCACACAATTATAACTTCCAGTGTGCACCAAGCGTCCTCAACCTCTTAAAACGCGTGTCGGCTTTGATGAATTCTGGATAAAGTTGGAGATAAAATGGCAAAACATCAATGTCGGCATTCCCCGTAGATCATTTCTCCCATTTTCGGCCTTCCCCACAGTCCGGGGCAACGCCGAAAAAGTCACTTCTTTGATATTTTTAGTTTGTGTGCTTAACGGTATGCGAATTCATCAAATGCGCCTGGTATGTTTGAAAGGCAAAAGTCTGGCCCCTCGAATGACGCCAACAAGAATAGCTTATGTTGTCTACCTTGCGTGCTACGGGCGTCAGAAAAAAAGTATTCGGCGCTCCCCCTACTTCCCCTATGTAATGAATGAAGCCTCAACGACATAATTTTGGAGCCTATAGCAGTCTGTTCTAGGATTTCCAGCGGCCAAAACTATACATTACCTACCACCTGTTCTTTCCCTCGCCCGTAGAACATGTTCCTCCTAGTTATTTAAAGGACATCTACACCATATCGCAACCTTACCAAGCATTAAACCATGAGTCCTGTCATTTGTCTCTCTGTAACCACACCCGTTGACTGACTGCACTAACAAGATGATGACAAGTGATCCTCCTCACTTGTTCTCTCTCGCCCACAGAACATGTTCCTCGCCATCATTAACGACACCTATAGCGAGGTGAAGAACGAAATCTCGGCGCAGAAGAACGAGTTCGAGATCGCCGACTACTTCAAACGCGGCTACAACAACATGATGGGTGAGGGGAAGCGGTGATTGGTGGTGGTGATGATGATGATGATGATGATGATGATGATGATGATGATGATGATGATGATGATGATGATAATGATGATAAGGTTACATGTTAAGGTTTTCGGGCTGTCTGTGCTGCTCTAGAAAACAGCAACAATAGACGCAGTTCTAAAGGCCAGTCAACGCCGCTGCATTACGTCTTGTCTAACGCATCCTTCAGATAAGCTAGGTTTTGTCGATAAGCTATATGGACGATAGGCTGAGGAGACAGATCAAAACAAGTGAATTGTAAATCAACTGTTCTAACATGCAAAGCCGACTAACTCCTGTTATGGTCGGGTTGATACGCTATGGGCCCGATAGGTCGGGTCAAATCAAGTAGATCGTAAATCAACTGTGTTGTTACCCCATGTGATACCATTGGACGCCCTCAGGCAAGCTGGGTCGTCGTGACAAGGTCATTGACATCCAGAATGCCCTGAAGCTGGCCGAGGCGGATAAAGACGGAGAGATCAGCTTTGACGAGATCAGGAAGAACCTGAAGAAGTGAGTGACGAACAGCGGGGTACCGCAGGATGGAGTTTTGGGACCCATGATGTTTGCTTGTGTTGGTGCATTTGATAAGGGCAGGGGGAGGATGAATACGAGGGTTATAATAACAAGGGGATTATTAGGAAACATGGTGGCATTTTCATGCGTGATTGTGCATCTGGTAAAAGTACAACAAAAAACACGCAGCAACCAAGGTCGTGTACTAGGACCCATGGTATTCATGTCAAGTCTTTGTCACTGTCTCTGACTCCCTCTCTCAAACCTCCTTCCCTTCACCGTCTACAGATGCAACTTCTCAGACATCGAAATCGAGATGTTCTTCTCGCGCTATGACCGCGACGGAAGCCGAACTCTGGGTGGTGACGAGCACCAGAGGATGATGGCGGACCTCGAGGACGAGAAGAACCACCTCGACAGTGAGTTATGAGTGGTTATATAAGGATAGCGGGATCTCTGGGGGACGCGCAGGGGGTCTGGGGCGCCAGAGCATATCGCGAGAAGGCATTGAGATCTGACGCGTGTCGAGGTAATAAAATGAGGTACAATGGCGCAAGGGTAAACAAACATCAGATAATAATATCGGACCTCGAGGACGAACAAAAGCACCTCGACAGTGAGTTCAAGGGGTTATTAGAGAACCATGGGCCCCGCAGACGCTTGGTGGAGAAGGGATCAACACGTAGCAGGATAGTGCACCGGCGTGCAGGAGATCAGAGAACTTCATTGTAAATCTACCTTATAACATCACTCCAAGAAATCTTCTATACATAACAGTTAAATTCAACACAGCAACCAGACCAAACTTCTTCATGCGCCGTTCAAACACCTTAGTTTGAATAAGAATGGCTGACATCACTTCTATATCTGAACTGACCCATTGTGACCCCCAGGTCAGCTCGGACGCCCCAGCTCTGGCCGCAGGTCTCGTCCTGGATCTGCGTTCGTTGGCGGTGGTGTGCCTCATGAGGAGTTCATGTCGTAAGTTGAAGGAGTTGGTGTCTTATGCTTGGGGATTTCATGTCATAATTTCGAAGAGTTCATGTCGTAATTTCGAAGAGTCGTAATTTCGAGAGTTCATAATTAGTATCATAAGTTTTAGAGATCATGGTTCACATGAGAAGTTCACCTCTTAAATGCGAAAAGTTAGAGTCATAAGTTTGAAGTCATGGCATAAGCGTGAATAGTAGTACTTCGAGAAAGAAGAGTTGCGAAAAGTTCATGTCGTAGGATAGAGGAGCTCAGATCGTTAAGTGGATAAGTTCATTGATAGTCCAATAGGCTTGCGGGAGAACCGGTGCCTTGCCTTGTTCTGGAAAATGCCTTGTCTAGGAATCGAACCCGTCGATCAGTCAAATCCTCATTCCCAGTCACTCTCTCTCTACCATTTATCCTTCACCTTTCACTGCCTGGAAAACCGTGTTATTCTTTCTTTGCAACGCCATAGGGTTGCTGCCAAAATACTGAAATCCTTTTGGCATGGCCTCGAGTCCTACTACGCCTATATCAACGGCACCAAGAGTGTCGCTACCACTTCCACCTCGCCTTCCGCAGCCTGAAGAACCGCGTGGACCGCATGGAGCACAGCATCGGCTCCATCGTCTCCAAGATCGACGCCGTCCTCATCAAGCTGGAGGGCATGGAGAAGGGCAAGCCGTCGCAGCGCAAGGACAGCGTCGCCAGCCGCGCCCTTTCCAAGATGGACGACGGTTAGTCGGAGCGGCGGCCATCTTGTTTGGCTGGCGGCCATTTTGTTTGGCGGCGCGCGTGCAGTTTGAATATGCTCGCGGGCCGCCGGCCGGGTAATGGGAGTTTTGAATTCAGTGTCGTCAATGCTGTTTTTATTTGTTTGGCATTTTGGGATGGAGGGGCTCCGTGTAAATGTTCTTAGTTCATTTGGTTTTAAATTAAATGGCTGATATTACCACGCTTTGCTAGAAATGCTGAAGTCGACACAATAGCCTAGAAGAAGAAAGCAACGTAAAATGTGTACATTTTAGTGGACGAAAATGAAACCAAATTATTTAAATTTGTAATTATTACCTTCAGTAATGAAAGCAAATGATATCTGGGCATATCCTGAACATTTATGCAGACATTTTATGGCATAGGCCTGATCTACATTTTATCTGCAATTTTGTTATCTGTAATTTGATTTGTAATTGTATTTCATTTTTAAATTGGTGCGCAATATATGTACAATTCATGCAAATAGCCACGGCCTTATAGAAGTGTAGAAGCAAATAGCTTCGCCAAGCACAATTTATTGCAAGATCGGAAATTAATCCACGTTTATGAAATATGCATGCTGCTTTGCATGCATGCTGATTGCTTTTGATCTGAAACATATTTTCAGCTGCTCAATTTGCATATTGCTTATTTGAATTGCATACTTTTGGCAATGGTGTTATATTATTGATAAAATCTGAAGACTTAACAAAAAAGTGGTAGCAAAAAAGCATAAATAAATTATCGTAACTGTTAAATACACTTATAAGTTATATCTAAGATGTTGAATTTCACCTGCAAACAGTTGTCCAAAAATTATAACAATTTCGAGAAACGCTGCAAACACAGATCATAAAAATATAGCTGCCCAATCGAGGGAGGTCTGCAAAAACTATATCTTTATTTGGCTATTTGAACAAAAAAGTTGATGATCATGCGCACACCACTCACAAAGTCCACAGATAAACCATTGAAAACCATACCGACTGGTCTTAGAATAACACTTCACCTTCCAGCATTAAACGTGAATTTTCGAAAACAGATTTTCAGCATTGTAGGTAATTAAACTTTTTTCTCGCACTTTTTTCCACGCTGAATTTTGAATGAAATAGCATGTGAGCTCTTCAATGATATATTATTTTTTCTCATTGTGCCATCCATTTTGCATTCCTTATCACACCATTAATTTTTGAATGATTTTTTTTTTAAAGCAATATTAAGTACAGTACACAGCATGCTAGCTCAGACACATATTGCATGCCACTAAATGCACGATTTGACAGCTTTAGGCCGTGGCTAAGCTTCCATTCAGTCTGGTCAGATGAAAATGACGGAAGTTGCGAGTAGACCAGTGCACGTGCGATAATCTGCCTATGATGTTTTCCAAAAATAAAAACTTCAATAATGGAATTAATTATCCAAGTACTTGTCAAAAACATGGAATAATAATTAAAACGATTTTTGAGTTTTTTACACCGCCGAATTCCTTGACAGTTTCCGTTTTGCATAATTATAAAAAACATAATTTCAAGCACAAAAATTTAACATTCTCTCAACCTAAATGTACCAAAACCAAATTGATAGCACGTGCAGTCTGGAGAGCATCCGTCATTTCCATCTCGCTGCTGCTGTCGCTCTGAAAACGTCGCCAACGTCGCATCTCCGACGTCACTGACGTTGATTACGCGTCGAAATCGACGATGGCGGCGTTGACGGCGACGTGAACGCCCTCTATTTTGCACGTGCCCCGCAGTCGCGCCTTCTCCAGTCCGTGAACCAAAGAAGGATGCAGTCGACAAGTTGGTTCAGGAAGAGCTGGACAACTTCGACTAGACTCGTCAGGTTTGTGGCGGAGACGGTGACGCCAGATGACACAAGACAATGATGCTAGATGCATTGGAGGGCCCAGAAAGGTGGAGTTAGACGTTATGGGGGTGGGGGAGTCCTTGGAAAGTCCTTTTTGAGTTCAAAATTCGTCTTTTTACTTATTAGGTGTGTCAAATTAAAGAAGACGTTTTCATGTAAAAGGTAAGTTTTCCTCACATATTGGACAGCGACCAATTTTATTGATTTCAGATACTCCAAAAACAAAGGTATGCTTCCCTCCCTTGGATCCGTTCTGGCCACGTGACTTCAATTGGCATTTGGCACTTAGGTATACGGACGCGGGGACAGTGGTATAGGGACCTTTAGTGGATAGTGTAGGTATATAATGTGGTAGCAGATTGCGTAGTTTTGTCGCAGAAAGCTTTTTTTATGAAAGGTTCAGTGAATAATGTAGTAGATCGTTGGTTTCAGCGTGCATGCACGTCTTCGTGTTCAGTGTTGTCAACTGTAAGTGTTTTGGGGTTTGGGCGAAATAAGTGAAAAGTCATGGCCAATTTTGTAGCTAATTGAGCCCGATTCAATTGCGTTTGTCATGGCCAATGGAGTATGTCTGTTTGTGATAAAAAATGAAGTTATGGATGGCAAGCCTGAATAATGTATTTGCTAATTGGCTGATTTTATGGTAAACTCATCATTACTTTTGATGAAAAACTAAATTACTTAGGCCATTTATGCCACTTTAAGCACTTGCTTTTTAGCTGGATTTCAAGTGATTAGAAATATCATAAAATAACCAAATGATGGCGAAAACTTGATGATGGCGTAATGCCGAAAGCTTGTTTTACTGTTTTAGATATTTATTTTGCCTAAAATAAAAACACTTTGACATGCGTGAGATCATTTCAAGCCTCGTTATATATCATAAAATAATATGGATTACAAATAAATAGCATAGTCCGGTGTACAAATCGGCAAAGAAACGCACGCCTTCTGACACCATAATTTTGTGTTCTTCGCAGATTAAAATGACGGCAACATCATCCGCCCGAAGGAGAGAGTAGAAAGGAGAGAGGCGAGGAGGAGGAGAGAGAAGAGAGGAGTGAGCTCGTCCCGTCGCGTCCGAGGCGGCGCATTTGCGACCCGCGCGCGCATGCCTACCTGCACCCCACTGGCCCAGCCGGTACCGATAGTTGCACCTCCAACGCGCAACCCAGTCTCTCAAACGCAGCGCAACTATCGGTACGGTCCCGCCCACCGGGTCATCCCGAGATCAGCTGATTTCGCAGTCAGCTGTTGCCGATGACCCCGCGGTCGCGCGGTGGTGGGGAGGGTAGGTAGAGAGGGCTCGCGCGGGCCGCCTGACGTGACGAGTCGCGCGCACGCGCGGTGACCCCGCGCCGCCTCGGTCGCCACGCGAGCGACATCTACGGTCACGTGACATCATGACCTATATCAGCGGTACTAAAATCTGACCCCGCTATCAGAAGACACGAGAAGAAAACCAAAACATCGGAAATACCCCAAGCAGAAATGCGCGTGCGGGAAGCATCCCGAGCATATTTCTGCTAAACAAAGCGTTGTTGAAGTTTGGCATTGTTTTGGCGATCTGACTTGTGTTCGATTTTCTGCTCGTTGTGATATTTGAGCAGTAGTGAGTTGTTTTTCGCTCCGGCGTTGTCAGGGACCCGAATATGTCTACGGATAATGTCGAATACGGTAACCCGGTCCCGTGGGCATATTTGTGGTCCCCGCTCGCCCGCTGGGGCTTCGTCGCAATAAAGCCAGCACATTCGATGAGACTTTGAAGGCGAGCAGGTTCGTTTTAACCCTCGCCCTGGCAGGGGGGGGTCGATGCGACCCCCCCCCCTAAGGTTTTTCGAAGATAGCGTAAAAACGGCGGCGCGCAGCGCCGCCAAATTTGGCACAGCCTATGGGGCAACCTTTTTACATATGACCTGAAAATTTCAGGTCCGGGTGACCTTGGGTCAGGTCACCAGGTCAGAAAAACCGGTACAAGGTCATGGTCAAATTTCAATTTTCTTTTTGCACCTGTCCAACTCACAGTTTTCGACTGATTTCTTTCAAACTTTCAGGATGTGCTAAGTTCACCGAGTTGTAAAACATATATTCCGGCTTTTTTGAGGTCACTGACCTGAGGTCAGTTAGAGGTCATTACGTCGTAATGTTAAGCCTATGGGAAAATACTAAATTCGGAAAATACTGGAGATATCCGCTTCGTTCTATCACTTTTGTGCTTTGAAACCACGGTACTTAACAGCAGGTCACTTGGTGCTTCGTTGTTTGGTGTACTTATCCATGGGTCAGGTCAAATGAGGTCAACTGAGGTCAAATGACGTTTTTGCCAATAACTTGGCACATAATGACGCTAGAGCTTAAAAAATGGTACCATTGTGTTCCTGGTGATCAGCCGAATCGAATGATATGCGCTATGATGCAGTTTGGTTAACTTGAACTTAATTTATCAATTTAAGTTTACTTAAAATTTAAAGAAAACTTTAAGTACACTTAAGCAAGCTAAAAAGTATATCATTCGACGCGCCTTGACGTGCTGAGTTCACTGGTGCTTTTCTTTTTTCTCTATCTTTTTTAGATCAAAAGTTATAAGCGAAAAACTTTTGGCCTGTTTTTAGCGAAATTTTTACATTTATACCCCCCAAAACCCCCCTAAATATTGACCTAGAGCAACCAAATTTGCACAGGGGCGAGAACTCCAGGGGGCCCACCTACCTACCAAATTTGGTGTTTCTAGGTGCCATAGGAGCCAATCGCGAGGGGGGGGGGTCGCATCGACCCCCCCCCCCCTGCCAGGCCGTGTTATGAAAAATGCCCTGCCAGGGCGAGGGTTAAGGCGAATGGATACTAGCACGGTATAACTCTGAAGGGAAGGAAAGGGGGGATATAGTAGGCAAGAGTTGGAGGAAATGAGGGAGCATACTAAAAGAGGTTTTAAAAGGAAGTGGAAGACCAAGCGCGGCCAAAAGATGTCATACGCCTTTGAAAAGAACGATGATGATCACCTATAGAGTGTCCTACTAGAGGAAGCCGGTACAGGGACTATTTTTCGACACGGTTGCTAAACTTTAGCAACCATTTAGCCTGCTTAAAAAGCCGGTAGAGGTAGCTGGTTTTTGACATGGGTGCTTAACTTTTTTACGGTGTAGGGAAAATGAGGATGAACTTTATGAAGATGCACTCCAGGCTTTTAGTAAGATAATCTTGCTGCATACAAGCCTCTAGAGGGATTAGGCCACGTAGAAAGCGAGTAACGTATACTAATAAACTAATAAAGTAATAGTACCTAATAGGCAACAAAGTAAAGCAAATTAAAGCACAGAATGGCATATGAGAGTTTAAGAGAAATGAGAAAGCATACAAGACATGGGGGGGGGGGGGAAGCAATGAGAATGTGTGCTAAACGAAACTTTTGAGGAAAATTGAGAGCCGTAAGGGTTTCACAGCGAACTCCTGGCTCTTCTTCCAACAAAAGACGGCAATGTGGGCGAGAAGCGTGCAATGTGCCTAATTGAACCTTGACTTTGGCACTTAGTAGCACGTCACTATGAAAAACCCAGTGATAAAACTTCCACCCAATGGCTAATCACGACTAAACCACTGCGATCTCCAAGTATCATCTACTCTAGTCACTTTATGACATGGTAACTTTCACGCTCTCACTTTAAACTTGTGTTTTATCTTCACGGTTTCAATCCAGTACAGATGATAAGGTGTTGATGTTTTATAGAATAACGGTGGCGTGTTTCGATAACGCCAAATCAAACGCAAATCAGTCATTGGCAGGTATATGCTATTTCACTTGGGGTCATTTATTTTGCATTTACGCACATATATTCCCGATCAAACGGATAAAACCATCCAATGAAACCATTAATGTCAGATTCTCACATAACGACAGGCGGATATGACCATTACTGACAAGGAAACGTGAGCTTTATGGCTCACTCGAGTGGGCTTTACGTGCCGCACGGTGGATAACTTCCCGCAGATCTCTCGAGTCGAGATGCATAAATTGTCGGAAATACCGAAACTGTTTGATGAGAATGCTGGGATCGAGATCATTTACACGCCATGTATGAATAAAGAACACGCTTCGTGCTGCGCTCCGAAAATCATCATGAATATGGAATGTATGGACTCTCGTGGTTACTAACGCGTCGTTAGCGCTCGATTTCAAGTGGGGAAGTTCCGGGTTTCAGACTTCATAGGATTGAACTCTGTAGGTTTTCGAAATGCTTAAATGGCACGAGTTAATGTTAAACATTCTGGCTAAATGTGCCAACTTTGCTAGCCGGGATCGTGATCGCAGAGTGAAATTGACGATGTCATTCTTCATGTTTATAAACATTGTTTTTTATACTGTTAACCCGCGCACCGACGGGGGGGGCGGATATCCGCCCCCCTGAGGTTTTTCGCGGATAGCGGAAAAACCGCGGCGCGTAGCGCCGCGAAATTTGGTATGACTATAACCTCATCAATTTTACACATGGTGTGCAAGTTTGAACCTCCTACCTTTTAAGGTCAGGTCACCAGGTCACTTTGAATGACCCAACCTCAAGTCACTTTTTTGCAACTTTGTCACCGTGCCAGAGCTACAGTAGATGTCGGAGGCCTTTGAAAGTCGCAGGATGTTATAAGATCATTAGCAGCTACAATTTGTTTATCTCGGAATTTTGATATCGGTGACCTAAGGTCAGGTCAATTTCGCGACCTCCCCATTACCTATAAGTCAATGGGGGAAAAATCAACTCCCTGTTTTTACCACTAAAACGGGTCGGAATGGCCCCATATACCATACATGACTTCATATACGATCAACCTTCACTACCTTGAGGTCTGTTTTGCTGTTGGGCAGCTGTAAGGTCATGTGACGTCATCAAAGGTCACCAAAGTTTTTTGCCAATAACTCCGTACAGGAACAAGCTACAGCCACGCGGATGGTCTCATTGTGTTCAGCTCGTCAAGACGCATCGAATGATATACATGATGACCTCGAGGTCACGTGACCTGAGGTCAACCTTTGACCTTGACCTTTCGAGGTCAACATATATATCATTCGATGCGGATTGACGAGAGGATCACGATGATGCCCTTAGTTTGTTCCTATCTTGACTAATTCGAAAGTTATTCGAGAAAAACTCCCTCCATTTCTAGCGCCGCCATTTTGACTTTTTCGACCCCTGTGACGTCATCTTTGACCTGACCTGAAAATGACCTTAGTAAAAATTGTAGACCTTGTCCGTGCGTATCCGATGCCGTTTACCGCTTGTCGCTATCTTGCTTCGTTCTCGAGATCTCAGGGGGGGGGGCGGTCATCCGCCCCCCCGTCGGTGCGAAGTTGGCGCAGACCCCCGTCGGTGCGCGGGTTAAAGCTTTTGTACAAATCTAATTCATTTCACAATTGTACTCGCATATTTCAATTCAGTTCAAAATGACGAATATAGCTAATTTCCTTTAGATGGGCTGAACTCGCAAGTATATCGTTGACGACTGACGTTATACTTATTTATCACATAGGATGATACATTTCCGTCGCAACAACTATCATTATCACAAGTGATAGTTACTTCCTGAATATGAACTACAAGACACAGAAGATGAGCTCTTCAACTGGATGCTCTCAACATAAAAAGTGTGCAATAAACCGCTTGAAATACCTTGTCTCGTCATTAACCCACTTCTACAGACTCCTGTCTTGTCAGACCACCAATTAACCACAAACTTGCATTTCCTCTTCCCAACGTTGTATCTCAACCTGCGGGAAAATCATCCGTACGCCTCTCACGCCTCTCCTCTTTCACGCTTTTCACCCCCTCTCTCCCACACTTCTCACCCCCCTCTCTCTCTCTCTTTCTCCCTCGCTCTCTCTCTCTTTCTCCCTCTCCCTCTCTCTCTCTCTCTCTCTCTCTCTCTCTCTCTCTCTCTCTCTCTCTCTCTCTCTGTGCCTCTCTTCTCTCTCTGTCTCTGTCTCTGTCTCTGTCTCTGTCTCTCTCTCTCTCTCTCTCTCTCTCTCTCTCTCTCTCTCTCTCTCTCTCTCTCTCTCCCTAAACACGTCCGCTCAAGGTCACCCAAATCCACCCCTCCCCTCCCCAGTGCGACCACATCCATACCACACCGAGACCACACCTGCCCACATGGGTTCAATTTCAGGCCACAGTCAGGAACCGCAGTGCCCCAGTTCCGCTAGACAGCTGACTACACAGACAGCTGGCGTGACCTTGACAGCACGAGCGCAGTGACGTCACAGCATATGGCGGATGGTGCGAAGGCGGATGAGATGCGTGGGAGTGTATGTTTGTCTTTGATGTTTCTATGTTTGTGTGTGTGTTTGCGATGTGTCACAAGGTAGAGAAGATGCAGGAGGGAGGAAGAGAAGGTGAAGAGGGGGAGGTAAAGAAGCTTAGTAATGATAGTTGTTGCTGCTGTTGACAAAAGGGAGATAAAAATAACAAATGATGCAACTGTTTTGTAGACAATTAGACATGCCTGATGTCTATTGCTCGCTGCCGAACAAATAAAAAACACCAAGACTGTCCTAAAATAAAAAAAGCGAAGAAATGTCTTACAATAAGCCCGTCAATCAGTTCATTCAAACATTTTACGAATCACATTGCCCCCCAATTTTCATATCGTAGTTCTGAATGCCTAAATTCCTTGTCAGGTCCTCAATGCTTCCAAGCAAATCGCAAGCTCCTCGCCTCCTCAATGTACTGACACATTCCTCATGCATTCCATTGTCCTCACAAAGTCCACGCT